CGGATTTATTAGGGTTTTTCGCTCAAAGAGTCTTATCGTGCTGATAACGTGTTGTGAAAACTTCTTAGAAACTTTATTAATCACTGGAATGTATATATAGAGTACATAAGGAATCTAAGTTAAGTACAATACCCTGATGGGCCTAATGGGCCAGTATAAGAGTCCATATATGATATGTGTTACAACATTCCTAAACTTTTAGAAACCATCTATAAACTTATAATATTTATGATATTTGAACTTTGGATCATAATGATAATTTTGAAATATATATATAATATGAAATATCATTAATATGGTATTTTTAAGAACTTTTCTATATTTTTCATTAGAGAATTTAAACTTGAAGAAATATATCGGTTAAAAATCAAAATATTATAGTTTTTAGTTTTTGCAGGGGTGCCTATTATTAATAGACCATGTTTTTATGCCTATAATATGGTGACAAAATGTCGTACGATTGAAAAGACACTACATTATATACGAGTAAGCTCTTGTCAAAATCTGCGGTTTAACAAGAATAATGTTTTCGTGTTCCGTGAAATTTTCACTCCTGTAGTCAATATCTCCCTACTTTCGTCAATATTTAACGTTTGTCTTTAGTTCCGTTGACAGAGAAGAAAGTAGCAAGACTACAGTAAAAATCTACATTTGTTTGATCAAAACTAATATAGAAAAACTGCGAGTAAATTGAAAAAGAAGAAATTTCTTGTACTGGTACGCAAATTTATGAAATTTTATTATTTTCTTTCTTTTTTTCGTCATGAACTATTCAAAGGTCATCTTTATCTGAAGATAACTAGATAAGGTTTACTTTCTCATAAAAGCATTTTTTAACTGCTGCAATATCATGCTCACCCGTATGCATGTTGGCATGTTGCATTTGTGCCCATAGTTCGTAAGCTTATGCTGCATATTGTACGAGTGATACAAAATCTACAATAATATTATTTAAACGAAAAAATCAAAAACTCAACAACTACCAGATTACCTAGTTCACTCTTGGGGGATATAATTTAACATGGGGTCAACTCTTCCTTTGTTATGTGTGTGTGTGGGTACGTGTGTGAATTAATTTGACTAACCATGTTTTCTCATTAATAACAATTCTCTCTCTTTTTTGACAGAATAATCATTTTTTGGAATATATGGAGAGACAAATTGTTAATATATAATTAAATCAGATTAATTGGAATATGACAATAACACATGTTTTAAATTCTAAAATTTGACATTTAGTATTTCTCTTGAGGATGGCATTGTTGGGGTTTGAAATTCTTGCAACATACATACTTAAAAGACCATCTTTTGACCGAGCAGTGGGCCAAGTCTAAGATTCTATTCATAGTGTCTGATCCAAAAAGATTCCAAATTCTCATAAAAAGTATAATTCATGAATAAAATTGCGTTAAAGATATGGTCCTTCGGTATCAGACCGTGTATATACACCTATCTCTTTTCTTGCCTTGAATTTTTTTTGTTTTTGTTTTTTTTTAATACCAACACGTTCATTCTATAATAATATCTACATCTCTAATAATACGTTTGTTTTCTTTTTTTATAGAAACCATAATACTGTAATATATTTAAAAAAAAAAAAAACATAATATTGTAATGTCCACTAAATCATCATCTAATTGATCTTTGATAAATTAAATACTATATTTTATTGAAACGTAAATTATAATATTCTAACATGTAGACATAAAAATAAATAATTTGGTTTGGAACAATCAAGTCCATCGACTATCCTCTTATTGTAGGGTTAAACATATATTTCTAGTAGACAATTTCTTTTTTCTTTTTGAAATAAAATTACAGATAATTTCTTATATGTCCTAAAATGCACATATATAACATCTGGACAATTGAGTCATGTAAATGGTGAAATGAATCAAGTAGCCGATATGTTGTCAAATATGACATATGAAGTCTTAGTTTATAATACTCATGGTACATCCAAAATTTGAAATCATCTGTCCCCAAACGTATAGAACTCGAATTCGACATAACTAAAACAACACCATTCTAACGCGTTCAGTTAACCACGTCTACATATTTTAAAAGTTTATATGTTATATCAATCAATGTATAATAAATGTATTTCTCATTATTCTATGACTGTTACATGCATGCAAAGAAGAATTGATCATGGGAAGAACATGGAGCCATTTCCTATATCAAATGTTTTGTAAACTAAGAGAGATCTGAGTACAATGAGATGCATGCATGCGAAACAAAATTGGTCATGGGAAGAACATGAAGCCATTATGGGCAGTCAAACTTTCTCCACAACCATTCGTACACCTAAAAGCAACTATAATGCTTCTCTCTTTTGTTTTTTTGCTTGTAAAAGGGGGAAAAGGAAAATTTTAATTTTGAAAAATAAAATAAAAGATGTAAACTTTCAGAGAGCCTTTAGAAAAGATTGAAAGATGCTTATTTGACCAGGAAAATCAATAAGCTTTTTCGGTTTTAGTTTTACCATGGACTTGATTTTTCCTGTGTGCGGGAAAATAATGTGGTTTATTACCTATATATGTTATCATATTGTCACTTTTCAATAATTTTTTCTGGAACATCGTTTCATGGGAATTGCAGTTTATTTTACGCAGAAGGTTTGCCAATTTGCCACCATTTTTACTCAAATAATAGGTTAATTTTTCAAATATATTTAAACTACATATCTGAGAAAGTTAACTGAAATTTAGATGGACAAAACAAAAACTGGAAATTTAGAAAACGGAAAAAAGTCTCTCTTCACTTATGTTTAAAAACTTTTAAATATTGTAATTTATTGTCAGTGTTATATGTAGTAAGTGTTTCATGGTTAATTCATTATGAGTTAATGTTTCAGAAAAGTGTCAAAGAGTTTTGGGTTTGCAACAAGCAAATCAATGAGTCAAATCTACTATTGCACTAACTGTTTTCGTTTCAAGTATTTTTTTTTTTTGTTGAGTTTTGGTCGTATATTAAATTTTAAATATATACTATATTAAGTTGAGGTGAAGATGATCAACCCCATGATCAAACCGGTAAACACCATCATCCGTAATATAATGCAAGTTCTAATTTAGTGGAGATGTATATTGTGGAATTCCACATATTCGAGCATTAGATCATAACTGGTGTATTATCAAAGCAAAGATCCACTGATTCAACCAATAAATTTCCAAATACAGCTGAAACAATTTATCATTTAGCGATAGTTCGGACCCGAAAATTTCAAATTAGCTGGTCAACTACGAAAAATAGTACTATATCTATAGAAATGGCGGTCGAAGAAAGAAATAAAATAAAATATGGGTATCTAAACGCGTCGGAATTGATTAAACAAAATAATTAGTGATAATAAGTAAGATCTGATAGGGATTCGACCGGCGAGAAAGTTAAAGGAATGCACCGCCCAACAGTCGAGAATGATTCGAATTTTGTCTCGGTCTATATATTTATTAATTGCTTATTTGACTTTTATGAAACATTTTCCTGAAAAAATGAAGTATATATGGTTAAAATACAATCAGATGGAAATAAAGTGGTTAGGTCTTTACAATCATGAACAAACGTGTGGGTTGTCCCTGTCTCTTGTAAGAATCCAAGACATGCTTAATGACCGACCAACCAAATTACCTAATGTGATTGCAAATTCATTTGACTGTGATGTTGGTTTGTTCTTAGTCCTCCAAGAAAACAATTTGATTTATAAAAAAAAAAATCGCCTTAGAAAAGCGAGCTATATTACTACTATATATACGACTCCATTAAACAATACCATTGAAAGGCAAATTTAAATCCCGATATGTCAATAAATATGAATGTTGCAAAAGGATGAGTTTTAGATTAAACGAATTGAAATTGCAAAGCCATTTCGCTATTCTGTTAGTTGGTTAGTCATTCTCTAATCGTTGGTGATTTTGGTAAGCGTTGATTCGATTATTTAAAAATGTTGAACTTTGTTATTTGGTTTTTTTATTTGGTTTTTTTTATTTGATCTGATTGCGAGAAATATATATGTCCAAAAAAATATTACTCCAATAAAGATCGGTTCCAAAATATCGAAAAATAATAGGTCAAAGATTTTCTATTTTCTGGTTATAGAAAAAATCGCTGCAGAAAATCGATTTTGAAAAGCTTCATTGCATATTAATGCATCCACACAAAAGCTACGTATAACGTGGTGTTTGGAATATTTTCTTTTACGTTGACAAAATAAAAAAGAGGTATATTTTCTATTTTTTTCGATAGAATAAATATATTTGTCTATACAACCTCAACGTCTTCTATTTTTTTGTTTGTAAACTTTTGTTTAGACCATTCAACGTTGTTAACGTTTTTCTAATATAATTACAACTTTATTATCACATAAAATTATATTACGGGTAGGCCCTATACTGATAATTATAAGGGCCCATGGAGCCGTAATGGGCTTGAAGGTGGACCACTTCTAATTCATAAATCCAGGCTGTCACTGGTATGCAGCTGTAGTCCACGTGTCACAAAGATAAATTCTTACTAAAATTATTACTAAGAAATACACAAGTGACTGAATCTGGTGGTCCAATTTCTTTTTCCTAAAGCCTAAATTGTAAAATAACAGTGCATCAGTTTTTTTTTTTTTTTTATCAAAAGGCTCATTCTTAACTACATGAAAAGATAATGGGATGATTAGATTAAAGATAATGAATGATTAAGTTGACACGTGGCGGAATATCAACGGAGCGATTATACAGCTGGGAATTTAGAGGGTTTGACGTAGACTTGTGATCTTTCCACAGCATTTAATTAGCTGGCTATTAATGGACAAAGACATTTTTTTTTTCCTAGTATAGCTTTGAGCTCATGAAATTCCCAAAAAATTGCATTTCAAGGTAACGATATTTCTTTTAAATTTTTTATTCTTACAAAGCAACTTTGAAATGGACGAGATATTATTACAGCAATAATTTTTTTAATTGTTAAAAAATTGAGAGAAAAAATATTGAGAGGGATAGAGAGAGTGCGAGTAGGGGAGAAGTCATCTTCTTTATTGCTTCAAGAGTCAATCTTCTTCAATCTAATGATCTTCAATTCTTCTGGGGTTGTTTATTTTGTTTGTAACTTTTTTCAGAAATAATTATCATTTAATCACATGAAAAAACGAGTCAATTATCATCTTCCCTATCTATAATCTATCTCAATAATTGAATTTTTAAGGTCGATCAGAGTTAATTAACTATCTCTTGTAGACCCCCCACAACTATGCCTTTTTTTAAAACATACATAGCCTATAGGAATAGTGAAGGGTTTGTGCATAAAATGTTGTTGCTTCATCTCTCTCCTTATCTTACATCGCAGTGAGTATATAGTCTATTTTGTATATATGATGTATATACAATATTAGCTATGAGACAATGAGAGGGAAGACATAAAACACCTAAAAGTGAAAAGTACAAGACAACGAATCCTCCACTTTGATTTTTATCTCTACACCCAACTAAGCCACGAAGCACAACACAACTCGGCTTCTTCTGGATTTCTTCAAGAGTTACAGACACAACAAAAAGGTACGATTTTTTATCTCTGTTTTCTTCAAAGTTTTCATTTTTCTTTTGAATATAATCCAATTCTGTACTGGGTTCATGCTCTGTTTTCATCACCGTTAGTAACTGAATCTAAGTCAGCTTAAATAATTGGTGAGTTCGTTCGGATTTTACTCCAATTAGGGAATTATGGTTCTGAATTTTGTCTTTAGTCGTAACAGAAAAATTGTCTGGTCTTGATTTTATCTTCTTGTTTATAACCGATTTGAATCCAAAATCTCGAGAAACCGGTTTTGAATTTTCTATCCTGTGATTTCAGATTTTATAGCTTATTTGTGATTTTCCGACAAAAGGCAGAGAGCTTGGTTTGGGCATGGACATAGGAGAGAGCAACGAGAGGGTAAAAGACGATTCTGCCCTTCAAACCTCGCCGAGGAGTCCTTTAAGCTCCATAGATCTCGCCATCGATGGTGCCATGAACGCTACCATCGAGCAGCTTTATCACAATGTCTGCGAAATGGAGAGCTCCGACGATCAATCTCCGTCTAGGGCGAGTTTCATTTCGTACGGAGCTGAATCAAGAATCGATTTGGAGCTGAGGCATTTAGTGGGAGATGTGGGAGAAGCTGAAGAGAGAAAGAAAGAGATTGTCTTGGAGAAGAAGGAAGAAAGTAACGAGGGCAGTAAAAACGGAGGAGGTAACTTGAGTCAGAAGAAACAAGGTGAATCTCAATCAAACGGTAAAAAGCTTGCGAAACCGAAAATCCCCGGTTCGAGGATCTCGTCGAGGAAATCCCCTGTTTCCGTGGAAGATGAGAATCCCGAGCTCGGGCCTTTGTTTCTGAAACAAGCTAGAGAGATGGTTTCTTCAGGTGAGAATCTGAACAAAGCTCTTGACTCGGCGCTACGAGCGGTGAGAGCGTTTGAGAAAAGCGAGGAAGGAGAGAAACAACAAGGGTTGAATCTGGTGATGTCTTTGCATATCTTGGCAGGGATCTATGCCGGTTTAGGTAGATACAACGAAGCTGTGCCTGTTCTTGAACGCTCTATCGAGATACCAATGATTGAAGATGGTGAAGATCACGCTTTGGCTAAATTCGCAGGGTGTATGCAGCTCGGTGACATGTATGGTTTAATGGGTCAGGTCGAGAACTCGATTCTGCTCTACACAGCAGGTTTGGAGATACAGAGACAAGTTCTTGGAGAGACAGATGCACGAGTCGGAGAAACTTGTAGGTACTTAGCAGAAGCTCATGTTCAAGCAATGCAGTTCGAAGAAGCTTCGAGGCTTTGTCAAATGGCGTTGGATATTCACAAAGAGAACGGATCTAATACTACGGCTTCGATCGAAGAAGCTGCGGATAGAAAACTGATGGGGCTTATCTGCGATGCGAAAGGAGATTACGAGGTTGCGCTTGAGCATTATGTTTTGGCGAGCATGGCCATGTCGTCACAGAATCACAGAGAAGATGTTGCGTCTATAGATTGCAGTATCGGTGATGCTTACATGTCTCTAGCTAGGTTTGATGAGTCGATATTCGCCTACCAGAAGGCTTTGGCTGTGTTTAAGCAAGCAAAAGGTGAGAATCATTCCTCTGTTGCTTCCGTTTACGTCAGGCTTGCTGATTTGTACAACAAAATTGGGAAAATACGTGATTCCAAATCCTACTGCGAAAACGCTCTTAGGATCTACTTAAAACCTTCTCCGGGAACTCCTGTGGAAGAGGTTGCGACTGGTTTTATAGAGATCTCTGCGATATATCAGTCAATGAACGAACTTGAACAGTCTTTGAAGCTGCTGAGACGAGCGTTGAAGATATATTCAAACGCTCCAGGTCAACAGAACACGATCGCTGGCATTGAAGCTCAAATGGGTGTGATTTCTTACATGATGGGGAATTATCCTGAATCTTACAACATTTTCAAGAGCGCGATATTGAAGTTCCGCAACAGCGGAGAGAAAAAGACCGCTCTTTTCGGGATTGCTTTGAATCAGATGGGACTTGCCTGCGTTCAGCGTTACGCCATCAACGAAGCTGCGGATTTGTTTGAGGAAGCGAAAACCATTCTGGAGAATGAGTACGGACCGTACCATCCCGACACGTTAGCAGTTTACAGTAACCTGGCCGGAACATACGACGCAATGGGCAGGTAAAGTTTACACCTTTGAGACACATCTTCTCTTTAGGGTATGGGGTTTCTTGAGGTGCAAGCAATATGTTTGTTTGTTTTACAGGTTAGAAGATGCTATAGAGATATTGGAGTATGTTGTTGGCACAAGAGAGGAGAAGCTTGGGACGGCGAATCCAGAAGTGGAGGACGAGAAACAGAGGCTAGCTGCATTGTTGAAAGAAGCGGGAAGAGGGAGGAGCAAGAGAAACAGAGCACTTTTTACTCTTTTGGACAAGAACTCTGAGATGACACCAAATGGTGGACAGAGACCAGTTTATTGATTAATCGGATTATGGTTCGATCTAAAAATGTATATATACATATACACGAGATATGAGTTCTAAACTGGTACTTATACGAGCGAGAGAAAAGAAAAAAGAACATCTGATTCAGAATACTAAAGAAAAAACATGTATGTTGTAATTATTTTTGTATCTATTGTCAAAACAATTCTCGTTTTTGTTTGCAATCTGACAGATAATATCAAATCTAAAATGCATTGCCAATTGACACATCAACAACATACAGTTGTAGCCCCACTTGTTGTCACTCACTGCAACCCCTACTTTGACATCGAATATGCTTGAACTGCAAGCAAATGAAAAATTTGAAATATAAACTTAGAAGTACACAAATGTTGAAAATTTCATGGTCAAACTGCAAGCAAACTAAAATTTGAAATATAAATTAAGAAGTACACAAATGTTAAAAATTTCATGATCAACATTTGTGCGAAAACGCAAAATTTTACATGTTTATAAACTTTTAAATTTCACAATCAATTCTAATTATAAAATATTTAAACTAAGAAGAACTGTAAATATATAACATATATGATTAGAGAACTAAGAAGAACTGTAAGTAATTACTATATAATTTATTTAAATACCCTTAATCTACATATATGTTATAATGTATGTCTCATACTAGATAAAGTTTTAAATCCGCCTCAGAACCACACTATAAAATTGTGATTCATGATTCAGATTTCATGTTGTTACAAATAGTTTGATGTGTGAATAACACATTGTTACGAAAAAAACACTTTCAAAATTTTATTAATGTATAACATTTTCTTTATCTTCGTTTTTTTTTCTCTCATGATGGAAAAGATAAAACTGTTTGTTTTTCTTCATTATATTGATCTTAGAAAGTTTTCATATTCGATTGGTTATCAATTCTTGTAACAAATCCTTCTATCGCTCATTTCTTATCCATTCTCAACCCTCTCGCCAATTCTCCTTCACCTCTTTTATAAATTCTTATGGAATAATTATATGCTATGTAGATGGTATCGTTGGAATTGTATGTATATTGATTAAACAAAAAAAAATAGCATAATTTACATGATAATTGAGAAAGGAAAATTAAATATTGTATGCTAGGTACATTCATTAAATTCATATTTGAGCAACTTAATATTTCGTCAGCTTGCAAGCTTTCTGGATTGGGAGAGACGGATAGGATATTGACCCATCGAGGATCCGGTTAGCGACTAGCATATTCAAAGTTTCGGAATAATGTATACCATCCCAACTTATGAAATTTGTGGGGTTTTTGCAGGAGGAACTATAAAGTTCTGTGCCATTTGGAAATATTGTCTTTCCGCAACCCATTCCACGTCCGACCGCTCCAACGCAACAATAATCAAAAGGATCCACAAAACCTGCAATTAGATTTGATTGAACCGGAAGTTAGTAGATGGTATAAAATTTTGTTCTAGTTGGTTTTCGGTTTAGTACTTACCGAGATTCTTTGCTCTGGTGATCAAATTGTATTTAGCTGAGTAGACATCAACATAAGTAAAGAGAGAAGAAGGGAACTCTTTGTTCAGTTCGGAGATTTTGTTCTTGAGTTGCTTGTTGAATTCCATTGCCACATTGTTCAGAGGCTCCAAACAACCGTACCGATCTCGTGGTGTAACCGGAAAAGATTTCAGAATATACGGTAAACAGCCTGTCGGTCCGGTGTTATGAATTGAGAAGAATCTGGCTCCTTCTTTGTATAGCAACTAAAATTATATACCAAGTATATAATAAGGCATGATGTAATTAAGAATTTTACATGAATATTCTGATAGCTGATATATTAAGTTCCACATGGTCCCAAATAAAAACTAAACCGATAATTTAGATACTTACTTTTATAGCAATAGTGAAGCTTTCGGTGATTCCGGGTATAGTTGCTTTGAGTTGTTCCTCTGTCATGTTTTGAAACCCGATCGCGAGATCGTTCTGACCAATATCGAATGTATAAAGAGCTCTTGAGAAATCTTTGGGTCGTGCAATGACTCCTTTGCAAAATGGAGTTTTACCTGAGGCCGAAGAAAACGTTGCGTTCACAAAAAGAAAGTAAGAACCGGTATTAATTTTGATTCCGGTTTGATAATTGGAATGACTTAGCCGGGTTGACTTACCTTTGGTTTGGTTGTAGAGAGACAAGGTACGAGTCTTGAAGTGAATGAATTGGGAGACTTGAGTCCCAAGATGGAATTGACTAAAACAAGCAACGGTGGGGCGAATGCAAGAACCGCCAGTGGCAAAATTAGCGCCATGCCGATAATTGGCTCCAACCGAATCCAAGTATGGTGTTAGATATGGCAACGTGAGATTTTCAGCTGCCAAAAATCAGAAGAAATTAATACGGTTTATATATTGTACTAAACTAAATTTTACAAACTTTTGTCTCTTTAGATGTCTAATTCCCCGGATTCAAACACTAGACTCATATCTTTTGCTTTCCAAAAATATGAAGTCAATGTAGCTTAGTTTGTTTCTTGAATCAAGAAACAAATAATGTATTTTTTTTTTCTATTTTTTTTTTTAACATTATGGAAACTTGAAAAGCAAATATAACTTACTAATAAAGTCGATAATGAGACGGCCATCAGAATGTCTTCCGGCAGATCTTCCAAAGAAGGCAACTCCGTTTGGTGGAGGAACTTCTCCGATAGCCGCAGAGATAGCTCCGGTGTCTGAATTTGAATCTCCAAAGTTATAAACAGCCGGAAAATTGCAACTCTTGTGAGAGTTTATACGCGACGCGGTCGAGAATTTCTCATTCAGCCCGGAAAGAAGAAGGATGATGAAAAAAGTAAATTTGGAAGTCTCCATGGAGTTAGTAGCTAGATGCCAAGAGCTTGAATACGAAGGTTTTCTCCTATAAAAATGATAATGAAGTCGTCGCTTCATGTTCGTTGGCATGTTAAGCAGTATACTTTTTAAGGATTAAATTAAGGAAAAAAAGGTATCCATCCTATAAGAAACTATAAGTCCAACAAGTAGAAAATAAATATATAATTTATTTGGTGATATTTGGACGGGCAAGTTGATGATGGATTCATGTGGAATTTAAATCGATTGTTTGAAATATTTTTTTTTTTAATTTGTTAAGTCATTATTTAATCATCCGGTTGATCACGTGGGTAACCAGTATAGTTCAATGTCAACTTCTTATATATATCGACCCATTACGCTTCACTTTTACTCAATACTCGGACTGTAATTACAAAAAAAAAAAAAAAAATCGCAACTAGTCATGCAAATCACATTATATAGTTTTTCATGTATTTTGTTGTGTTAATGACCACCAATCTTTGGAAATATAATTTGAACTAAAAGATTTCTGAAGCGGCACACTGTGAGCCTGTGAGGTCGACACGGTCGCTGAACAATTGCCACGTCAGAGTAAGGTTAATTATTTATTTTTTTAGTTTTTTTTTCTTTAAGTAAGATTAATTAAGAGATCCTTCCTTTATTAATTACAATTGTTTTTTTTAATTCTGTTTTAGATTTGAGAATCTTATTTTTAGGAGGTTGAAAGATTCAAACGTGAAGGGAAAGGAAGCGAGACGAGCGCCGCTCTTCATCTCCCACACTCACTAACTCTCTCCTTCAACAATTGATTCTTCGAAGCTGAAGTGAAGCAACACGAGAAGAGCTCTCTCGTTTTTCGCTGGAAAGAAAGAGGTATCTGAATCTCTTCTTCTCCGTCTAGATATGGGGAATTTTCTTGCCAAGGAGCCGCCGCCTCCGGTGGTGCTTGTCCCTCCGCTCTTTGATTTCCCTCCTCTCTCCGCCCGTAACAGGTATTCTCTTCTTCTTCTTCTTTTCCGTTTTGATCCGTTGCTCCGGCTCGATTTTGGTCTGTTTCTGTAGCACTCGCCACTCGAAATTCAAATTTCAAAATCGTCAAGCTCCGATCAATTGTTGTGTTACTTGATCGATTAGGCGCTTAGTTTATGCATCTCTATCAATTTTTGGATTCTAATTACAGAAATTTTCGGACACTGTGTCTTGTGTGTGTATGTATTGTGCCAATTTGTGAATGTATGTGTGTGTGCCTACACAAGTATTCTATGTGTATAGTCTTTCAGTGTAAATATAACGGACACGGAAGCTCATCCTGTCTATTGATTATGATATATGATTAGATATACATATGAATGCATTGGGAATGTGTAATTGTTCAGTTTTTAATGAAAAATGTTGAGGTGATGCAGAATGTTGGAATCTTCATATAATCTGCTGTTTGGGAAGCTTGCATTGAAATGTCTCTTTGAGGATTACATTGAAGAAGCACGACACTTCTCTGCAAAGTTCCTGCTGAAGCCTATTGATGACCCTCACGTGGACTTGGTTGCATCTGTATCCATTAAAAGACTAATCGTTTTTTAGCTGTACATCATGATGCATACATAATTGGGGATGGTGCAAATTATTATTTTTTTCCTTAATAGTAAAAGGTTTCAGGTGCTTTAGATCGTAAAGTGGAAGGAGATCTTGTGGGAAATGCACTGTTTCGCTGGCAAAGGTAATATGGCATATGGATTTTAACTGTTAGTTGAAATTTGAAACTGCTACAAGTTTCTGTCGACAAGTAGAATAATGTTCGATATGTTTTTCTAAATTGTGCAGTGATGTTGATGATCCTCATACTTTTGTGGACCTTTCTGTGTCGACCTCCAACCCGTAAACTCCGTGCTACTTTTCATATCTTCTAGGAGCTCATCTTCATTATTGCAGTTTAACGTTTTGAAATAATTCTTTTGTTTGTCATTACTAAGGGTTCTACTAATGAGGTCTTCGGCTTACTACCCTAAATATGGGATCGGAGCATTTGCAGTCTACCCTTTACTTACTAAAAGAACGTAAGTTCCATTTAGGGGAAGAGGCCTGTTAGTTTACATATATTTGATGTTTTCCTATGATGTAATATTGTGAAGATGTATACATGTTGTTTCTGTAGTGAAAAATTATCTGAAGAATATGGAATCATGGGGTTGAGGTATGGCTCGACGAATTTATCACTCGGAGCTACCGTCTCTCCTTTTAATAGTAAGCACCTCCAGTTCCTATGCGGTTTCTAGTTGTTTGCTTTTGTACACAAATGCTGACCCTTTAACTCCCACATTCCAGCTGACGAATTGCCAAAGAGTGCATGGCTGGTCAGCAAGATGGGAAGGCTTTCAGTAGGAGTGCAGTATGAGCCGTTATGTGAGTTAGTTCATTGTCTTGGTTATCTCTGCCAGATCTTACTTGTTACCCATGAAATTTATACATTGTGTGATTGAAAGAAAATGGGCATCAAAAATCTTTGTGTTAGATGAAAGCAAAGACATGCCAAAGTACGGAGACCTAAGGAACTGGAGTTGTGCTGCTGGGTATGGAGTAGGGTCAAGAAGCCCCTTAAGCCCTTCTTTCAACTTTGGCCTTGAACTAGCGAGGAGCTCTCAGGTCATACTTTTAAAGTCTGTGTAGATGAAACACGGCTATTATGCTGTCTATATCCACAGATTTAAGCCCAAACAATCTCCTCAACTTCCCCACATTGCTTTACCAACGAAATATCAATATTCCATTTAGTAGTATTTCTCTTTATTGCATTCTTATTCTTGCTATCCTTCTTGTAATTGCAGTTTATTGCTTCGTTCTACCAACATGTAGTGGTCCAAAGACGGGTACGACTCTTTCAAACTAGTCCTTTTTTTTTCTGTGCTGCATCTATTAGTAGGGCTACTGATATATAGAGTTAAGCGTTATTTCTGGCTCAATATGAAATGTACTTGATGTATTTGGAACAGGTGAAAAATCCTTTTGAAGAAAACGAAGTAGTTGGAATCACAAACTACATTGACTTAGGTTTTGAGCTACAAACGAGGTAGTGAACACCTCTGACCAAAGAGACATTGCAAGCTAAGATTTGTCTATCTGCATGAAACATAGCTTAATCTTGTCTCTTATTTTAAAGGGTTGATGATTCCAAGACGCCAGACTCTTCACTGCAGATGGCTGCATCTTGGCAGGCCAATAAAAACTTCTTGCTGAAGGTATATAACTTCCTATGATCCAGAAAACTTGATGATAAAAGTCAGCATCTCAGTATGTAATTAGTGATATTTTGCAGGGTAAAGTCGGAGCTTTAAGCTCAACATTGACATTAGCATTCAAGTCGTGGTGGAAACCGTCTTTCGCATTCAATATCTCAGGTATGTATGGGGACACTATTGCTGAACAGTTCGAGAATTCTTTCTCTAGATTTGGTGAATGTATTATGGATTTAACCCGAAAATTCAGCAAAATTAAGAGTGAACATCATGTTTGGAACATATTTGTGCAGCAACTACTAATCATTCCACTGGAGAAGTAGAATGTGGATTTGGTCTCCGTGTTGATAGCTTAAGGGAAGCCAGGTCAGTGCCCTTTTTTAAGTTTTCATGGTTTCAAACCAAACGCATCTTTCGTCACATCTTAATGTCACTTGCTGTTTTGTTTTCTAATATAAATGAATCCTATGGCATTGCAGTTACCAAAGAGCTGATCCAAACTTCGTAATGCTGACACCAAACAAAGAACATCTCGCTGAAGGGATTGTGTGGAAAATGGGGAAGAGACCAATGTTTCAATCCGATTTAGACGCAGAGAATTTCACTGAACTGCCAAAAGAACTTAGACCACCCCAGAAGATTCTCTAAACTACTAAACCCACTTAGTATTTCTGTAATTTTATTTTACCTGTTTTTTTATATCTACTAGATATCTCGGCAGAGTCAACAGTATGACTACGAAGTTATAACATAGCACAGTCCTTTTTTTTTTTTTAATTTAATTTTTTTTTGTTTTTTAAAGTGCAATAAAACAGAGGCCACAATCCCATTTGTCCATGAACAGAAAGTAAATGGCGACGAGTTGTTCGCTTCTCCTTTCTACTCTCTTCCTTCACTCTCCTCCTTCCTCTCAATTCTCTAATGGAACCTTCTTGAATCTCTCCTCGCGCTCGTCTCCGAGCTCGATTTCTCTCTACTCTATCCGATCCAAACGGTGTTTTCGAGTTTTCTCGAAGCTTCCACTAGACGACAATGGTGACGATGGTTTTCTTACGTCTCTTGTACCTGCCGTCAAGCCTCTGCTCCTCTTCTGCACCTCCGTCGCTCTGTCGTTTTCCATCTTCGCCGCGTCTCCCGCCGTCGATTCCGCCGCTGCGTTCGTCGTCTCTACTCCGCGGAAGCTCCAGACAGATGAGCTCGCGACGGTTCGATTGTTCCAGGAGAACACTCCTTCCGTTGTCTACATCACCAATCTCGCCGTGAGGTATCGATTCTATCGCCTCTTCGATTGAATTTTTTTGATTTCTCCAGCTGAATCGGTGAAATTATCGAGAATAAGCTAATGGATTACGTTTTTTTCTTTTGTTTTGTTTGGGATTGAATTATGTTGATCAATTTCACTCTATTCATCAAAATGGCTTTGAGTGTAATCTTCTTCTCTCTTAGTTGTCTAATGTCAGTTTCGTATTCTCTGGGTTTTGAATTAGGCAGGACGCGTTCACATTGGACGTGCTTGAGGTGCCGCAAGGATCTGGTTCAGGATTCGTGTGGGATAAGCAGGGTCACATTGTTACCAATTATCATGTCATCCGTGGTGCTTCTGATCTCAGGTTCGTTTCTGTTTTCTTGGGTTTTTGAAATCTCATCTTGATTTGGAGAACTTGTTATTCATTACTTCTTTGGATTTCTCAGAGTCCTGTAAAACTGTTCTTGTGTTCATATATTGCACGATTTCTGTTGTTTTTAGTGTCTACACTAAACAGGAACAATAGTCATTGGTTGGTTCATCTAAGATATGGAAAATTCGTAGTTGTGGTGAATGAGTAAATTACTACATTGCTTCATATTCACTAGGATGTTTGTGTGTGATGGAGAAATTTACATGATCCATAACAGGGTCACTCTTGCTGATCAAACAACATTTGATGCAAAAGTTGTTGGATTCGACCAAGACAAGGATGTTGCAGTTCTACGTATCGATGCACCAAAAGACAAATTAAGACCTATACCTGTTGGAGTCTCCGCAGATTTGCTCGTCGGCCAGAAAGTCTTTGCCATTGGCAATCCTGTGAGTATACATTCTTAAAAATGATCAATGTCTATAGTCTCCTTTCTATTGCGGGTTGGGTCACAACAACTTCTTTATCCTGTACACACACAATATTAAAGCAAGAACTCTTTGGCCTTCTTTTACAGTTCGGACTTGATCACACTCTTACAACTGGTGTTATAAGGTATATTAAAGTATCTCTGTCTTTTCGTTTTTAGTTTCATCCTCCTCAACTTTCGATGTGTTCTTCCCAATGTTAATGCTGGAATTAATTTAACACGCCTAGTCGTCTTTCCAGTCTTCTTCTTTCGTAAAACTGTAGCATGTTTATGTATTATGATGTGTACAGTGGTCTGCGAAGAGAAATTAGTTCTGCTGCGACCGGTCGTCCAATTCAAGATGTGATACAGACGGATGCAGCCATTAACCCTGGTAACAGCGGAGGACCGCTTCTAGATAGTTCAGGAAATCTAATTGGTATAAACACCGCCATTTATTCTCCTTCTGGTGCATCTTCTGGAGTGGGCTTTTCGATCCCAGTTGACACCGTGAGTTCTCTTATTTTGCCTCATTAGTTTCCCCATTCCAAGCCCAGCCAGAGAGAGAGTCTCTTCTATTCTATCCTTGAATCCACTAACGAGAGAGTGAATTGTTTCCGAGTCTACACGTTCAGGTTGGTGGTATAGTTGATCAGTTGGTGAGGTTTGGAAAAGTAACAAGGCCTATCTTAGGTATCAAATTCGCACCGGACCAATCTGTTGAGCAGTTGGGAGTGAGCGGTGTGCTCGTATTGGATGCTCCTCCAAGTGGTCCAGCTGGGAAAGCCGTAAGCCTTTCTTGTTTCCATATGTATATAACTCTCTACGGCGTGTGGTTGTTTTAGTCGGAGATAGAGAAATGTGATAGACACAAATAGAACTAACACTGGAAAACGTGTGCAATGATGGGTATTGTTCCACAGGGACTTCAGTCAACAAAACGTGACGGGTATGGGAGACTAGTACTAGGAGACATAATCACGTCGGTGAATGGTACAAAAGTTTCTAACGGGAGTGATCTGTACCGGATTCTCGACCAATGCAAAGTCGGTGATAAGGTAAACTCGCGAGTGTCCAATTTTTTTTTTGTTAACTTGTTAACTTTTTTGAGAGAGTTTTTGACATTTCTGTTTGGAGCTGATTTTCTTTCTCAGGTGACCGTAGAGGTTCTAAGAGGCGATCACAAGGAGAAAATATCTGTAACTCTCGAACCAAAATCGGACGAGACTTAGAAAGGTTGTTGGAAAGAAAGTAAATATGACGGTAGAAAAAGTCCGGTTGGTTTATTATTCTTGTATGTCAATTGTTCGGAAAATAGATCGTCCAGTTGTGTACATATATAAGACAGACAAAATCTGTTGATATTGCATAGCCAGTCTTATGGTTTGGATTGGTTTGGATTTGAGTCGGACTCTGAGGCATAAACAAAGTAAAGAGAATACTTTGATATTGTCGGCTGCGTGGTTTATCTAGCCATTGCAAATTTTGGCTTAAGTCTGGATTTTGCTCTTATAGATCCGATCCAAAAAATTAAATTCAGCTTGCATGGTTTTGACTTTGTTTGGTTCAACCGTCATTCCGAACCGAAATTTGCATGGTATATTGTCGGGATAATTACGTTAGGTGTTACTTTTATGTGTGGCTAATTTCGTTATGAACTAGTTAAATGCATTACTAAAAAAAGTAGGTAGGTGGCCAACGTTGCTAAGAGGCAGAAGACCGAAAAAAATGTCTTTTATTAGTAAGAGATATGGTAGTATAAAAATATATGATGGTACGTTTAAAATAATAATTTGTTGTTAATTTAGTGAATATTTAGTGAATATCAATAGTTAACCAATTGATTAGTTATCTAGCAATATCAATGGTGAATTGATTGTTCATTTGGTTTCAATAATTCTTTTGGAATGAAAGTTAGATCCTTGTTTTCAGGTTCGAGTCTCCACTCAGGAAGGGATGGTTAACGCGCTTAAATAAATACTCTCTATATACAGTTTATAGGTTGTTTTAAAGTTAACATTTTATTTTTCAAAATTAGTGTTGTTATCAATTTTTAAAGTAGCTTTGCCAAAAAAAAAAAAAAATTTATTCTAAGTTTCTAACCTCAAATTGAAATAATAAACCATCTAAAAATGAAATTAGTTTTATATCTGAAATTGTATATTAATCTTTTGTTTGCCATGATTGTATATATTATATAAAAACTCAGTTGAGTTTCACAAATTTGACACATAAGCTTCTCTTCTTAAGACACATCAGCTTAAAAAATCAAATTAAAATCAGCCACTTGTCATCTCTAATTTATGTATTATAATCGATTTCTAAATTCTTCGTCTTCCTTTTCTCTTAAAAAAAAAATGTTTCATCGCTAAGAATCCTCGGTAAAAGCATATATTTTCTTGGTAAGATGTGCATTAGCAATTTTGTTGTTTGATATTTTCTCTCTTAGCTTCCTGATATAATTTAAAAGTTATCTAGTGTTCTTTATGATTGACATTATCTTACTTACGGCTTATAGTCAATTAGTTATTATAGATATATTTTAGAAGTCTATGTTATAATATTAACCGCTTGCTCATAATATTGTGAAAATGGAATTTGGTCAATGCACATGGTGCATCACCAGAATGCACATATCACCTTAAGGTATTTCCTTATCATCTACCCATATTTTTTGGTTGATATATCTATAGATTTATAACGCAATTCTTTCAGTTAACTGAAAAAGTGAATAACAATATAGACATGCTTCATATTATCCAAATTGCATCTAGATACTACCTTCCATTGGTCACAAGATTTTGTGTGGTTATCGTGACATGAATATATATTTTAAATAAAATAGACAATTCTGAAAAACAAAAACAAAAACACTTCTGAGATAGCAAGTCAATATAATCACATAATACTGTAAACAGAGCTTGCTTGTATTTTGACAAATTGGAAATTATTTAAATTAGCTCACATGTTATCTATACATACCAATTTATTCAGGCTAAGAGTTTTGATTTCATAAAAACTTGGTTGAGATTGTATCTCTTTTGAAAAAACTTTATTATCATCATAGTATAGGCTCCTGAGTAGTAGAAGGATAAAGTCTGGATCATTATCTGTTTACTCGAAAAGATAAAGGTTTTACTCTTTGTTGGGGGATAATTTTGGATATATATTGGGCAAGAATCAATCTATATTTCAGTTATCATTGGTTTGTTCGGTTTTCTTATTAATCTTGTCAAATCAACGATCCCATCAGAAAATGGTGGTAATACATGGTTAATGACTTCGAGGCTTGTGGGAGATGGATACCAACCTTAGAAAAGAAGGCAAAGAGCTTACAAAAATATGAAAATATGACAAATTTATTAATAAATACATATGGTCTCATCACAAAATTACAAACCACTTTTTTTTATTTAAATTAGTTTAAAGAACATTAAACAAATTCTTCAAATGCATTCTATCATAAATTAGATTGTATTTGTTAGGATAATTTTCTTAGAAATAAAAAGTTAACTCTTATAGATTGATAGAAAAATTCTTATTTTATTAAACACAAATTAAAATATATAAATAATATATTAAATTCGCGTATATACGCGAGTCTTCACCTAGTCTTAATTAGTTTTCAACATGTAAAACGAAACTCAAATGTTGCTGCTCATAAATTAGCCCGTAAATGCCCATACGACAATATCTTTCCTCGGGATGTATCCACCACCATGGCTGACTAAAACATAGTATTCCGATTTTTTTTATTCAAATTAATAAAGTCAATTTCGTCGAAAACAAAAATTTACATTTTTTCACCGTATTTCTAATGGGGTTTTTAGAAGGAAGTTTTAAGATTATATATATAAAATAATAGTTAAATATTAAAGGAAATTTTAAGAGAGGAGAAATAATATCTAAAATTGCTTATTTAAGTATTTCTTTCTCTTTTCTTAAGAACCTTTATTTCTTCTTTAAACACGATTTTATTTATATAATTTTTTAAAAACACATTTCTATACTAATTTTAAAAACTCCAAAGTTGATGCTCTTACTATTCTACACGTGGTCAGAGAAAGGTGAGATGCTCTTACTATTCCACGTGGTTAGTGAAAGGTGTTCCCACGTAAAGTTTAATAATATTTTAGTACAACCAACAAAACACTGACATAAATAGCATGTATTTAACTATTTATAACTGGGAGGAGTTAAAAGGATCTTATCTTCCTTGGTTATTGGTTGGGGACTTGGATGATCTCTAAACCAAACCGGTTTAATTGTGTTTTGCACTATCTTTGTTTTTGGGAATTACGTGGGGTCATAAAAGTCACGGGTTTATTCAATCGGATCTCTGTTAATGATTATTTTCCTACATACTTGGAAATGATTATGAGAACCTCCTCTCTCTTTTTTTTTTTTTTTTTTTTTCTGGAGTGAATTTCTAATTATGTATATTTACGAATTATCGATTCCCAACTGCCTCATTAGAGAACAGCTTGTTGTTGAGAACTTGACTATGCCAATCACATATATATGTTTGTTTGGCTTTCTTTACCTTGAGAAGTTTATCGACCCCAAAGTAACAACTTAAATTTATCAAAAAAAAAAAAGTAACAACTTAGACTGTTCTATATATATTGAAGAAGAACAGGTCGAAGCTCTGTAATTAAGTGGAAACCCGAGTCGCTGCGACGGTTAGAAATTTAGAATGGTTTAAATAGCACAGGAGCTTCTTCTATAATATTGTTCACCTAAATCCTAACCATTTTATTTTAATCAATCCCACGTAACTTGTTAGTTGGAACTCGGTAATAAAGTACACACACATATATAATGTGTTGTCTGCTTGTATTTTACTATTTTCAGTATACGTATATATTGCATGTATTTTATTTTTATTTTCTTCTCAAGTTCTTTTGGATTACGTCAAATCAACGTGATCCATAATTCCATATGTACATGTACAGAGAAGCCGCATAAATCAGTACATGGAATCTAATGTTTTCACTAAGCAGAAAATATATCTCCTCTCAGTTGAAAAAAAAGAGAAGAAGCTGGATATTTGAAAACAAAAAAAGGTTATTGTAAATGATGTAAATAATTTGAGAAAAAAAAAAACACAAGACTTTTTTTATTTTTGTTAGGGGTCAATTCTTAGCTTTGATTTATAACTAAAGAGTAACATCCAAAAGAGGATTAAGTTTTGACAACACGGCCAACTTGGCTAAATTAACAATCAGCATCAGAGTTCGCTGAACAGAAAATAAAATGAAAACATATGGAAGAGATGAGAGTGACAATTTAGATCCCTTATGTCAAGGAAGTAACAAGACCCCTTGTGTCATGGAGAATGGCTGCGATCGATCTCGTTCAAATCCTCAACCAAACGCAGGGTGTTAATGAGAACTTGATGATAGAGTCTGAGAAGACTTGTAGGGAGGAGCTCGAGACCTGTGGTAGTTGCTGTGCGGCGAGAAGATCGCAACGTCAAAGCTGATCAAGTGATCAGGTACGAATAACCGGGCATTTTCCTAACCTTGGAATATGGAGAGAACCCTTCTGTCTTTTACTATCCAACCACCCATGCCACCGTAATATGTTTTTTCATACGAGAAACATCAAACATTACACAAGACTAAGAATATTGTTTTTCATATATATATACGAGAGAAACATGATATATTACTACATACTTAAAATTGTAAATAAGTAGAAGTTGTTTCGATTACACGCTACTTTACATGATTTTGCGTTATTCGATCAAAAACATGCAAAAAGAAAAAATTATTCACTTTTTTAGAATTTTAGCATTTTGCCACCCCATCCTTTTTGAGATAAATGCCAAAATGACGTTATCTGCCTACCAGAGCTGTGCTCAGTTTCTTATTTCTTTTAAAAGGCAAATGCCTCAGGCCCCTATTCCACTGGTTTAATTTTTGGACCCCAGCTTTCATATTTCTACTAGTTAAAAAGATATGGTTTCTTATTTTTGTGTTGATTTTTAGTAATAGTTTTCTACAAATTTATTTGGGTTGATCTGCTTTATGTCATGTTTTTTTATAGGATTTCAGATTTCAAATACTCACTCATTTTGATTGTTATTTAATTTGTTTTCTCTGTTCTTACGATTCTATTATTACATAATTTTCTTCACTCATTTTATATTATATATTCTGTATTATTATTATTATTATTATTATTATTATTATTATTATTATTATTATTATTATCTCATATATAACTTGATCATTATAGTTACAATATTTTATTTTAACATAAAAAATGAATTTATGTAAACAATTTTAGTGAATAATTTTTCATATCAAATATCTAATTAATATTTTATTTTTGATACTAAACTCTTTTTCTCCACATCAATCATATATATTACATAAAAATAGCAAGGATATTTTTTACGCTATACCAATTAACTTGTTTTTATATAAAAAAATCACAGTTTAAAAAATAAATCTAAATAAAGGCCAAATTTTTTAATATTGCCTTAAACTTTAAAAATCTAAGCACGATACCCCTGCTTAGCGACCAATTGTATTTATAGTATAGTGAAACAAACAAACTGGTTAAGTGCGAATTCAAATAAAATACAAGTCCGTTATATAAACATATAATATTGGGGAGCCATTTTATGTTTAAAAAAAAAAAAAGATCAAACATTTGGCAAACAAGGCGCCTCGGATGTAGCCTTTTGTGTTACTTTTTTGTTTTAATACAAAAACAAAACACTTATAAAAATCACAGCCAAAATTTGGCTTTATACGGTAGCAGAGAGTAAAGCTACGTATACATTTAGCTAGTATACTTAAAGATTCCTATCTAATCATGCATCACGAAATCCCATATATATATACTCACTAGGCACGCTCTCTTTTTCTCTCTATTAGAGTCCTGTCTCACACAAATACATAAATAATCAGAATATACAAAAGTATGAGAACAAGGAGAAGATCAAAGGGAAAAGAGAATCACCAAGAATACAAGAAAGGGTTATGGACAGTTGAGGAAGACAACATCCTTAGAGACTATGTCCTTGCTCACGGCAAAGGCCAATGGAACCGCATCGTCCGAAACACTGGTCTCTCTCTCTCTCTCTCTCTCTCTCTCTCTCTCTCTCTATATATATATATATATATATATATATACATATGTGACCATATATATTTTACTAAACTCTAGCTACATCTAACTTCACTTTGCATAAATTTTCAATAATTATTAGGGCTAAAGAGGTGTGGGAAAAGCTGTAGACTGAGATGGATAAATTATTTGAGCCCTAATGTGAATAAAGGCGATTTCACTGAACAAGAAGAAGACCTCATTATCCGTCTCCACAAGCTCCTCGGCAATAGGTACGTCTCTCTCTTTCACCACATCAGCGAGTTCGACAAAGTGTTTAAATCGAATGATTTGAGCCCTAATGTGTTGGCAGATTTTTTTCAGTTTTCAATGCTGCTTTTCATACATAAAAACACATTATATATATGTCAGACTCATAATGTTTAAATTTCTCTAATATTTCCATTTATTTTCTTCCCTCTATGTTTGTATATAAATATGAACATACTTTTTGATAAAATAAATAAATAAATATGAATATATGCATTCCTTTATGAAATGTGTCAACAAAAAGAATGATATACTTTAGTTTAAGTATTAAATCATCAAAGACTTTCTAACATATATTATAGTACTATGTTCGTATAGTTAAACTACATGACTTATTATTACTTGTCCTAAAGATACGTAACATGATCTATTCATGTTATTATAATAATAACTTCTGATCATTTATCCCCCAAATTCAGATGGTCATTGATAGCTAAGAGAGTACCTGGAAGAACTGATAACCAAGTCAAGAATCACTGGAACACTCATCTCAGGAAAAAAACCATCGGAGATAACTCCCCCGCCGTCGTCACAACCACCGGAGACGGCGACTCTCCACCGTCATTGTTCAACAACACCGCCAAAACTTATTCTCATCATCAACGAGACAATGCAGCCAAGAACTTGGACGGCGTCGTATCTAAACCCTCGTACGAAGAGGATAAATCCAAAGTGGATTGGCAAAAAGTAACGTCGTATTGGCAACTACTACTAATGATCAGAGTCTCTACTTCGAGGAAAAGAACAACTGTTATAGCAGTAACGCTTTTTGGGCTAATGAACTGAACGAGTTCGATCTGAGTTCACTCCTTATGATGGATTTTGCTTACTGCCTCTAGTTTAATCATTTTTGTGTTTAATCATCATTAAATAAGAATATTATTTATATAAACACGATGTACTAGTACTTCTTTATAATCTCCTCATAAGAAAACAAAAAATTTAGTTTGATAAGACAATGCAGCGATATTGAGAAATAATTTGAATAAGAGTTTTTAAAGAAGGAAACCTTTATTAAAAATAAAAGATAAAATAATTATTATTTAGTATAGCTTTTGACTTATAATTTGTTTTAATTTGAAAACATTGTCAAAGGAAAAAAAGGTTCTATTCCTTTTTTTTCTCTTTTTTGACAACAGAAAAGTTTCACTCAAAAATCGAAGATAAACAAATATCTGTCGGTGTATGACCATCATATCTTTTAGATGTAACATATGTTTATTGTGTACCTCTAGTTGTGATGTAAACAATGATGACTAACACCCAGAAACTTTATGGAATCACTGATTATTTTTACTAATGTTTACATTTTGCGGTTAAAAGCTGTATAATATATATATATATATAATAAACCTATACTCCCTCCATTTCAAATTATTTGACCTTTTGATAATTTTCACATAAATTAAGAAAACAAAATTCAATTACACCGTGTCGTCGCCAAAAGTGTACTTCACTATTTCTTGATAGTCCAATGAATCAATTAGAGAGAGAAAAAAAAACAGTTAGATGAGGACGCAAAAAGAACTGTTGAACTTGAGTTATTATTCATTTATTCTTTTATTCCTTTTCCTTTTTTATACTGGTAATAGTAAAGATTCCAGCGAAAAAGGAAAGATGGATAAAATATATCTGAATAAATAACTTCGTACATCCAAAAAAAAAACTTCGTACATCCACTGTTCTTCCACTACCACCATTCAGGTGACAACGAATTTGTGATAACTGATCAGTATAGGTGTCCATTCAAAATTACTATATAAAATGCCATTTATGCCATTTATAAAAGGTAAACTTTCATCATTGTCAATTTGCTATACAATAGAATCCATAAATAAACGAGAGCTCGTATTATTGCGTAGTAGTTTAATACTTTATTTGGATATTTTCGTAGTTTTTCTGATATTTTTTTTTTCCACAGTTGATTTGCGTGCGGATCAGACATTTCCACACTGGGTATGACAGTAAATAAACCTGATAGGAAACACAATTACTTTGGGTGACAGCAATAATTGATTTGATTTGAAGTTGAACCACATATTTTAACTAATTAACAATTTTTTTTCACAATATTTAGATCATCTCAAATGGGAGGATTTTAGAAGAAGCTCTTCATATATTATATGTATAGAAAATAATAATTAAATATTATAGAGGCTTTTAAAATAGGAGAGAGGGTATTCAAAATCTCTTGTTTGAGAATCTCTCTTTATACATTTAGAGACTCTTCTCTTCATTTTGTACATAATTTCATTTTATATTATTGTTTTGAGAACTCTTACACTGTTTTCAATAAGCCATGATTGGAGATAGTTTTATCATTTATTTCTCTTGCGTTATTTTATTCCTTCTTCTTTTTTTTATTGGTCAAACAGTACTCTCTTCCTTCATTTTCATACAGATGACTTTTAATTTTTTCACTAGCAAGTTTAGTTCAAAATATCTTCAAACTGAAATTCTTTTATCTTCAAACAAATTCGTCGAAGCAAGAGAACAGACCAAAAAAAGGCTATGGCCCAACATTAAAAAAAAATGAAATCAAACAAGAAAAGAAACAAGGAGTTAAATATGCCTATTTTTAATGGCTAAATTAGATAATACTCCCTCTGTTCAGAATTATTTGATGTTTTAGAAGGTTTTTTTTGTTCAAAATTATTTGATGTTCTCACTTTTCAATGCAAAATTTAATGAATTTTTATAGTTTTTGACCTTTTATATTCTGCAGATTGTTTTCTTATTGGCTGAATGATATTTAAATGAATTATAAATAATATTTTTAGTATAGAAAAATAAAAATTAAATGAATCCTTAAACTGTGTGCAAAAACCTTAAACATCAAATAATTCTGAACAGAGGGAGTATATATTTTATATTGGTAATATACGAATAGTAGGTTCAAGTGAACTTGTATACTAAGCATAAGTCCGCCTCTGCTTACACATGAATGATGTTTCTCATTGTCCCATTTGTTTGAAGCTGATGAAGATACACCACATGAAGATGATGATGATGCAAGAGACGATGTGAATAAAGAAAATCAGGGTCAAAGTTTACCAATCGCACAGATTTTTGGAGTGAGTGAGGCCGCACAAGATGCACAACATTTGTAACACCATAACTGTCTTTAGGCAGATGAAATTCGACCAATCAAATGAGATAGACATATAAGTACAGTTTGTTGTTAAATACTGTATTAGTTTTTGTGTGAACTATATCCAGAAATGGTCCTCAAGCATCATCATCAAACAAAATTTATGTTGAATATGGATGACTAGTATAACGGCCCGCGTTATGCTTGTTTTTTTGTAAATACATAGTGTTAGCTTTTATTATCCACATCACAAAAGATAGTAGGAGTTGTTTTTGTAAGGGGGCAACTCCTAAACTAGTTGTTGTGATGTAGATAGCTCAACTTGATAAGCTGCCCCCAGAAGATCAAGACTTGCTTTATGGGGGGCTTACATGTTCCTTCCTCTTGTTGTTTATGGTCTTAATTTATTTGATGAATCTAGAGACTATTAGGTGTTGCATTGTGATTTTTAGTGTGGCTTTGTGGAACGACGTGGGACAAGTTAGGCTTCTCCTTCCCTTTATCACGTCTCACAATTAGAATGCTTTTTTAATATGGACTCAAAACCGGATGGACACCTGTCTCCAGCTTCAAAGGGAACTGGTTGCACAGGCTAGCTAGTTTATAGTATTTAGGAGACAGAGAAACAACTAGCTCCTCAATCACCAAGATCATGTCCTTCCATTGACTATTTTCAGACGCATTGACAAGCACATCAGAAACACTATCTCAGCTAGAAGACAAAGAAGGATATTTGATGGTTTTGTAGCTTTGTAGCTTCATTGATTATTCTTTTACCTCGAAATCAAATGTTTCCTTGTAAAAGTTCAAAGTAGTAATTTTAGGGGACTTCCTCTCTCTTCCTTATCCTCTCCCTTCTCTCTTCAAACAAAATAGTAGATCTCGTCCATCTGGTTTGTTTTCCGACGCCGGTGGCTCCCTTAGCACCGGCGCCGGACCTCCTCCTTTAGTTTTGTCTAGTTTCCTGTCTCTCTTTCCTTCAAGGTCCGTCGGAGCTGGTTGATCGGTGAAGAGAGTCTCGGTGGTGGTCCTTGCGCGACGGCGGCGCAGGCTCCACGGGGTCGTGGTGTCTGCGGTGGAGGAGGGGCGTTTCCTCTGTGGCTGCTGCTCCTTTCCTCTTCCGCCTTGTCCTCCTGCCCAGATCTGCTTTTCCCTTTCTTTTTCCAGCGTTTTTCTCTTTTCAGGCGGTTTCCTCGGTGAGCTTCTCTGTCGGTGGTGACGTGCTCGCTGTCTTTAGCGTGGTTGGGTGGTGTTTCCTCTCCTCCCGTTTTGGTCCCTCTCTGCCTCTGGTTGTAAATCGGTGTCCCCTTGGCAGTTGAGTGGTGGCGCCTTTACATGAGTCATCTTCGTCTCCAGCGGCGGCAAATCGGACTTTGAGGACGGGTCCTAAGTCCGGCAAAGGTGTCATTGGTTACTCTTGTCTTGTGTGGCTCAGCGTGGTGGCTCGCGTCTCTCCCACCTTGCGTGGCTCCACCTTCGGTGTCTCCCTGCGATGGCTCAAGGCGGGTGGCTCAGCGGTAGTTTCTTGCAGCTCTTTTGGTGGTGAAGCTCCGGTGCCGTCTTCCATCGGTGTGGCCAGGTTTCTCCGGCAGTGTGTGTTCCCAACCAAGGTGCGGTAGCTTTGCGTTTGTGCTTAAGGTCTCGGCTTGTGTTGGCTCCGGCGTAGTCTGGTGTTGATTGTGGAGCAACTCTAGACGTGAGATGTTGAGGCGCCGATATGTTGTGGCGGCTAGCGTGTAGCTGTGGGGGCTAGTTCTTGAGGAGATTCGTTCTTTTTGGGAATGGCGGTTGGAGGTGACTCTTCAATTGCCCGCTCGGGCTCCTTTGTCGACAGATGCATGTTAGTCCGTTATGGATTTCGGAAATCCTGTTAGTTCTCGGAGAAGCTGTAGGCGTTTTTCCCGGAGGTTTGAGGGCTGGCTTTACGGATGTGATGCTCGTGGCAACAAGGATGAGAATTCTAGCTCTTTTGAACTATGGCAAAAATAGGATGGTCTGCGTTTCGGCGTGTGATTGCTGCTTTCGCGTTTGGTTTTGCTTCGGTTTTCTTTTATTATTTTCGTTAACCGTTTTCTTAGCCTTCGTGTCTGCTATATCTTGGTTGTGGTTTTATTGTCTGTAGTGTTTTTTTTCCGGTTAATCTGTTTTCTTTGTATTCTCCGTAATTCTGTCAAAAACTCGAAAATGGTAATAAAATCTTAACATTTTTACCAAAAAAAAAAAATGTTTCCTTGTTTTTTTTCTTTTGTTTTTTTTTAATCAAAATAACAAATATTTGGTTACACTCTTTGTAAACCTTGCAAGAGTTAGACTCGCTTTTGTAAGGTTCCATCTCTCATTTGATAAATAATATAGACATTTAATGATTGGGTTGAGGTTTTCGACCTCGAGAGGGAAACTTGGGAGTGTTTTTCGGGTTCTTGTAACGAAGAGATGCACGAGAGAACTATTAATAGTCTTGTAGTGAACAAGAATATTGATGTAATGGATCGTTAATTTGAAAAGCATTGTCTATATAATCTTAAGAAAAATAGGTGGAATATGGAAAATTGGTTGAATAATGGATGGAAAGTTGGTTCGTGTGTTATTGATAGGGCTGGACAAAATATCCGTTATATTTGCTTCAATCCGTTATCCGTCTCGATTCGATCCGAAAAATCCGGATATCCATAATTTTATGGAGCAAAGCAAATACTAAAATTCAATATCCGTTAAAAACGGAGCAAATCACAAATACTAAAATAAATTAAAACGGATATCCGCTCTGCTCCGATATAAATATATATGTATATATAGATAGATAATAATTCATATAAAGTGTATAATTATTATATATAAATGTAATTTTTATGAGTTTTTGTTTATAAATTTGATTATTATAAATATTAAAACTTAATAAGTTAAGTAAAATAATATATTTTTAAAGAAAATACTGTCATTTTTAGCTAAATTTTGATTTTTAAAATTTTGATTTTAAATATATTATTATTTAAATATTTTTATGGGGCGGATCGAATATCCGGCAAATATTCAAATTTTTAGCGGATATCCGGAAAACGAATATCCGAATAATTACAGAGCGGATACGGATCAGAAACATGATTATCCGGACGGAGCGGAGCGGATCACGGATATCCTCAAAATCCAGGATATCCGCTCCGCGCCCAGCCTTAGTTATTGACAACATGTTGTACACTTTTAGTAGTGAGAATCGAATTAGCTTTTATGATCCGAGAGCTAGGTTTTGGATATTCTTGAAAGGTGTTGAAGACCTACCCGACATGCGTGGTACTCAAGGTTCTAGAATGGCGAACCATGGCGGGAAGCTTGCGATTTTGTTTATAATCTTAATGATAATATATGGGGGAAACAAAAATCTGGTGTAATGAGATCGCATTAGAAAGGCGAAGATCCAAAAAGAGAGATTTGGGGGAAGATTCTGTGGTCTAATCTTACGTCATATCCTCAATACATTTTCTCTCCTTTTTTACTTTATTTTGAAATAAATTGTGAATTTTTACCAAATGCTGGAAAAATTTTCTTCACAAAAGTTCGGGGGGGGGGGGGGGGCTATACTGTTTCTTAATAAACCCCCAAAAAAGAAATAAAAAGCCTGATTGAGAACAAGTGAAGGATTGATGCCCAAACAAATATAATTACTCAAACGTGAACCATTCCGAGAGTAAATACTGATTGAGACGATTCCGATCACACAATTTCCTTAATTATTATGCGATCTTTAAAAGTCACATTCTCTTACGCTTCTTCTTCTATACACACTACTTTTGATTTATTTACTGGAAGTATTTTTTTTTCTTTTTTTTTTGGGAGTAAAATTTCTAACCTGAATCATTAGTCACTAAACCATAATAATACTCTAATGGATTAAGTGGAATCGTCTTCTCTATCCTTTTCTTCACCTAACCTACTCTAATCACACCCTTCTTCATTGGTCAGCATTTTTGTCAAAACTCTAATCGGAGAAAATGGAGGCAGTGACGGCGATGAAGCCATTGATCAGAGTCGCTGCTCTCTCCGGTTCACTCCGTAAAGGCTCTTTCAACAGTGGTCTCCTCCGGGCCGGTATATTCCTCTTCCCTTACTCTTTGTCAATTTTTTAGAGTTTTGTTTGCTTAAATTCTTGGGTGGATTTTTATAGCGATCGATTTGACGAAGGAGTCGGTGTCGGGGATGCAGATTGAGTATATCGACATTTCTCCGTTGCCGTTGATCAATACCGATCTGGAAACCAACGGGACTTATCCTCCGGCCGTCGAAGCTTTCCGGCAGAAGATTCTTGAAGCCGATAGCATTCTCTTCGCTTCCCCTGAGTACAATTACTCTGTCTCAGGTACTTTTGAAACCCTTTTCTTATTCAATTTGTCTTCATGTGGATTTCACTGCTAAGCTGGATTCTTGTTCGCATTAGTTAAAGTTTGGGTCTAAAAAGTTTCCTTCTTTGAGCTTTGTATTTGATTCAGAGGTGTGAAATGGGATTATAGAGTCAATGGTTACAGAAAGATATGTTCTTTCTTCTTTGTCTTGTTCCTTGGAGATAGTGGTGGTAAGACATGTGAGATCGGATGTCTACAGAGAATGATTGGTTTGTGGAAAGCTTAGGGTTTTTGGTTTGTTCTCATTAGTTGTCTAAAAAAGTGTTCATCTTTGAGCTTTGTATCTGATTCAGAGGTATAAAATGGGATTATAGAGTCAATGGTATATGTTTGCTGCAGAATGATATGTTCTTTCTTCTTTGCCTTGTTCGTTGGAGATAAGACATGTGAATGTGTACAGAGAATGTTTGGTTTGTGGAAAGCTTAGGGTTTTTTGGTTTGTCAAACATCAAGAAGAATCTGATTGGAACCATTGATTTGGGTTAATAGTGTGACTCATGGGACCAACATAAGCTCAAATTGAAAGACTTTCACGAGTTTTACTGTTGTTGGCTTGTCAAATTTTCAATTTTTCTATCTTCATTTCCGAGTTATTATCTATTTGATGCAAGCTCTCTTTCTATGAACCTCGTATACTTGTTGCTTAGTGTTTGAGTACTGTGACATGACTTGTAACCAGTTCAAGATCATGACAAATTTGTTTTCTGCATTGTATGAAACATAAGGATTCAAAACTTTTTTCGATCTCCTGACTCGATCGGTTTTTCTTTACCAGCTCCTCTTAAGAACGCTATCGACTGGGCTTCACGATCACCTAATGTTTGGGCTGACAAACCCGCTGCTGTTATAAGCACCGGAGGAGGATTTGGTGGAGGAAGATCTCAATATCATCTTCGACAAATCGGAGTTTTCCTTGATCTTCATTTCATCAACAAACCAGAGTTTACTCTCAATGCGTTTCAACCACCTCAGAAGTTCGACGCAGAAGGAAACTTGGTCGATGAAGCGGCTAAGGAGAGGTTAAAACAAGTCCTTGTCTCGTTACATGCATTCACTCTGCGACTTCAATGTAAGTAAGCAAAGGCAGATTCTTCATCATTTGTGAGATTGATCGTGTGGTGAAAATAATAATATCAATTGTTATGATAAGAAACAGTGTGGCACGTATAACAGTTATTATTGCTCACTAAACCGTATTGTATATGTATTTACATGATACAAGTATGTTTATTCAACGTGTTATGATTTTTGTTTTTCGTTTCTCCTAAATAATTAGAGGGATAAATTTCAGCATTGGCAATTGGGAAGTGGTCTACGAAGACTAAAATTGGTCTTGGATAATTTTTTCCACCTGATTCTTCTTCAATCCACTTAAGATAAGTTTCCACTTAATTTTGTATGGTCACCAACATTATAACGAGACAAAGAAGTTGACTTTTGAGTCAGAAAGTGGGATTCAATGATTTCAGTTAAAAATGCATGCTTGAGTTCTGTCTCCAAGGACTTTCGAAAGCTACTCAGTAGAAATGGAGTAACTTACAAAGTGAAACTTACTTGTCTACATTTATATTCCATACGATGAAATATGATAAACCGTTGCTTGAAACTACACATCTTTATAATAATGATAATGTAGTCCAATTAGGAATGTGTAACTTAAATGGCTACGGAGTGGGGTATATATAGTATAGTCTATAGTCTATAGATGACCCTAATGGGCCTAGTCTTAATTACGAGACAATTACTTTATCAAGATATTATTCATTCATTCGCAGTTAGTAGGTACTAGCATTTACGAAAACAATGTCCTTTTTATCTAAAGAAATAAAGTTCACTTGTCATTGTATAGTTTATGATGTCCATCTATCAAAGTTTTAATTATTTGTCTTCATTTACATGCGTGTTTGTTGTATCAAAATATCTTCCTCAACGAACATACATCAAATGCATACACACTTAAAAACACGCAACTACTTGCAGCGTTTTTCTATTATTCACATCAAATCTTGCACCCAAATTATATATAAATAAATACACAAAATCATATAAACATGATGAAACTAGGTCATCAAATCTGTCTAAAAACCCAGAAACAGATGTAATTATTTAAAAAATTACCCATCTACATCTGTTACAAGCTATGAGATATATTGTACTTTATTATACGAATGTGAAATCGCATCTTTTCTTCTTCTTTACTTAAAAAAGAAATTTGATTTAAAGAGTAACAAAAAAAAACTTTAAAATTTCTTCGAATAGATCCAAAAGAGAAAAGAGAAGACTTTTATCCATTGTTGTTGTTGGATCAGAAATTCAGAAGGGAGGAAAAGCTTTTCCGTATCGGTTAATGTTGGAGAAAAGTCCAACAAGATCTTGCTTGTACGGTAAATATGATTTTCTCTTGTCTTCTTCCTTGATTGCTTTGTTCCTCAAGTAAAACTTCTCATGTGCAGATACCTTCTCTTTCTCCTTCTTCTTCACCGTCGTCGTCTCCTTGTTCTTCGAAGATTCGTTAATGGAGCTCGGATTCAGGAATTTGAGCGACTGTTTCCCGTCGCTGTTACTTCTCTTTAGCAGATCTCTGATTCGCCACCGTCTCTTCGACCACGACGACGTGGAAGACGATCCAGTCGATTTGCTCTTTCTGCAACCTCCGCTCGGTGACATCTCCGCCGCGGATCTCTCCGGCGTCCATGGACAGTAGATCTCGCTCGGGATCGCGTCGAGCTCATCTTCATCTTCATCTTCCTCCTCATCGTCCGACGACGACGAATACGCCTGTTGCGGCTGCTGCTCCTGATCGTTACGTTCCCGGAGGAACAGATCTTTTAACGGAGTCACAACCGCTTCCGGCGAAACGGAGTCAGGTTCCACGGCGGAGACGAGATTTTGGTCGAAAACCGGGAATACTAATCCACCGTCGCCGGAAGAAGACGACGCGTCACGATCCGATTGGAGAATCGCGAACTCGAATTCTTCGTCTCCTTTGTCCTTGTAATAGTCGTGGCTAACTCGTTCGGCGATCTCGGCGAGTCGATCGCCGGAGTAAGTACTGAAGCTAGGTGAGAAAGACGCCGTGGAGGCGATATAGTCACCGTCTTTCTCCATTATCTGAGAAGCTTTCTCTCTTACTTGTCTTCTAGCTCCGGGATTTACAGTTGACAAACGAAAAGAGCGTGAGAGAGAGAGAGGTTTTCTTTAATGGCGTTTTTTTTGTCTTCTTCTGTAATTGGCCGTATATATAGGAGAAGCGGTTGGGCACATGGAAATGGCAAACTCAGTAATTACTCACTAAAAGCTTAATGTGTGTCATAGCATCAAACTATAAAATAATATCAAGCATCATAACGTGGACTTTCTAGAAGCGTATCCTGCTATTTGATCCAGAAGTTTTGGTGTGTATTTTTTTAATACATTCTAATCAATGTATATATTTCACCTAATAAATTATTATGGTTCAGAAAAAAGTTAGTGACAACAAGACAGTTCCTCTCAAAATATCGACCGAAAGTTTATATTGGAACAAATATTTTAGTGCTATGCTCGGAATTCTATTAATTAATACTTTTGAGTTGATTATGATAAGAATACAGTATTTAGTATTTTGAATTCAAATGGTAATATTAAGCATTGAAAATTTGGCGGGCTCCGTTGATTATCATTCGGAGTCGGACGAAATTTGTAGTTTTTGAATTGGCTATATTTTGAATTTTATATGATCAATACAACGTTTATAACTTATTTGATTGAGAAAGTAAATTGGCAGAATGTTTTTGCTCCCAAAAACTAGTTTGATCAGAACATTTTCAACCATTTATTATTGTACATTTTCTTAAATAGATGGATATTACATATATATTCTCATGATAAACATGGCGACTATATAAGCATTGATCATCGCTTACGCTCTGCTGTTTGAGTAATATTTTTAATTTTATGTCTATTAACTATTGATTTACTTCTTCTATTTTCTACAACAATTATTGAATTTCTTATGTCATGTGTGACTGTGTTTGAATTGAAAAGTTGAATTGTAGCCCAAGCAGCCCATAATAAGGGAATGCATACGTAATTGGTGACAAAGCAAGAAGAATCATGAATCATTGCTGCTGCGTTGCATCAAATCTTATATATAATAATATTGTAATCTTAGCTTCTCGAAAACGAAGGTTCGAAATTGTTTCTTTTTTGTTTCAACTTACTCACGCAAAATATATATAATTGAAAGCAATAAATTCTATCCTGCTATAAGAAATACGATTCACATCACATGGGCACGTATATGTACAATATGTATACGTATAATACTTCTAGATGTCGTTATCACTTTTCTTGACGAAGTCTTTCTTACGAGCAAAGCTATAACTTGGACTTGAATCGCTATCAGAATCAAATCAAAGATCTCTCACATTTATTTTCTCCCACCACTAGACCAAAAATCGTCACACAATATGCGGAATTAAATGTCATAGAGCTTATAATACTTATAATTAATTATTGTTTTGCTTAATTGTCAATATCAAATGCTATTTTTTGCCATATCATTAAGAAGATGTTGTTGACAGAGGAAATAGTATTAATCTCTATAAACTAAACAATTTCTCAAGACAGTCCACCAAGAAACTAAGTAGTCACACTACAATCTACATTTTCACTCTCACATCTCCTGCGTATATTTACAAAAATCAGAAGAAGAAGAAGAAGACAAACAAAACAAAGCTATAAGTTGCGTAAAATACGAATCAATTCCAAGAATCTCTTCTCGATAAATTTGCTTTAAGATGATGCAGAGTAAACTCAACTTGCACCGGAAGCTCACCAGAAACGGCACTCGTCGTCCTCGTCGCAGTCTCTGGCCGTTCCGTTCTCCTCTGTTCAACAATAATATCATGGTACATGGGTCTGAACTTGATCTGAAACGCCCTGTAAGAGAAATAAGGCAAGAGAGCAGAGACCATGACGAGGACAAGAGTGAGCCAACAGAACGGACTCGGTCCCGAGGTCTCGACCAAGACCTGAAACGCTGTCGTGGAGAACGTTGGAGGAAGAGAACCGTAAACGACAAGAAACAGATACCAAAACCCTATGCTTCCCCAAATGAAGCAATGTTGGATCCAAGTGAAGTAGTTTATCGAAATCGCCATTTGGCAATTCACTGTCCATACCACGGAAGAGTACATTGTCACGCCAAGAACAGAGTAATCGACTACTTGGCCATCTTTCTGAAAAGCTTGAGCCGCCATTGTCTTGATCGTGAGGAAGAAAATGATCATCGAGCTTATGATTCCGTTCAACATCCAACCGAGGATCCGTTCCCAGCTGAATAATATGTTCTGTACTCCTTCTTGGTACAGTATCGGATACTGCGAGAAAACAAGAAAATCAAGAACCGGAAAGTGATTCTTGTTCTTGATCGAGAGAGAGAAAGAATGTTTTTACCTTGAGACAAAGGCGAGCAGAGACGTCTTGATCAAAGACTCCAAGAGCAATGACGGGAAGTGAAGTGAAGAAGACGTTGTAGCACGACATGTACCAATCGTTATAAGCCGGTTTTCCGGAGAAAGATGCATAAGCTTCGTACCAAAACAGTGTGAATCCGAATGTGAGATTCTTGTAGAAGAAGTAGCATATCTGAATTTCACAAAAAAATACAAAATCACTAATAAAGAACAACAAACTTCAACCTAATAAGTTCAGTTCTTAAAGCTTGTTACCATAATTGCTATTCTTCTATAACACCAATGGCCGTGAACAAGCAACAAACGTTCCAGAAACCGAAACTGAGCAATCGCAAAATCACTAGCCATCACTGCCTGTCAACAGAAAACTTCAGAGTTCTAATTCTGATGATCATTTCTTATAGTAAATTGAAGAAGAGATAAGAAAATCTGTAACCTGCATTCCTTCGGCACCACTTATACCGACTCCAATATCAGCTTCCTGAAGCATTCCAACATCATTTGCGCCATCTCCAATGGCCAGTGTTGTTCTACCTGTCCCGCTTTTTACCAATCTTGTAACCTAACAAATATATATATTCTAGGTCTCTCAAATCAGATTACTAAGACAAGTGAAAACAGAATGTAAAGTGGTGACATGAATCTTACGAGAGCCTTTTGTTTTGGGGAAGACCGGCAACATATAACAGAATTACATCGAATCGCAAGTTCCAAGAACTCTTTCTCCAGCTTCTTGTCTAATGCAAAAGTTAAAGACTTTCCATCAATCACTAAACCAAACGTTTCCGGATTTTCATTAGCTGAATTGCCCGTTGCTGCAAAAGTTTGTGACATTCCTTCTCGTAACTGTTTTTTAATACTCTGAAAAGAAGCCTATTTAACAAACGAACAAAACAAATTCTCATCATTTTCCAAAAAATTAGAGTGTTAAAAATCACGGAAACAAAAAAACAAGAAAAAAACAAACTACCTTAGCAACAGCATCTTTGTCTCCTTGTTTTTCTAATGCTTCAACGTCAGGTGAATCTAGAGTTATCAAAATCTTTTTCATGCCTTCTCTTAAGAGACTACAAGCATATCTGTCAACAACATCACAGCTTTTAACATTTTTACTTTTTACAGAAAACAAATGATAATCAAGAAAAGATATAAGATGTCTATGAATACCCGATATTTATTGCAGTTTCTGTCTTGTCGCCAGTTAAAACCCATATCTTGACCCCAGCTTGAGATAACTTGTCAATACAATCAGGAACCTTTATAACAAGAGAAAAAAAAAGAAAAAAAGAAAAGTAAGTCTAAAAAGAATCATATCTTTCTCCATCTTTATCAGAACTTTTTGGTTCTACTTACACCCTTCTGTAGTTTATCTTCCACTGCAGTAGAGCCAAGAAGAATCAAATCCTTCTCAATATTATCAGCAGCTGCATCAATCAAAGCATCTCTATCTTCACTGACCAAAGTTTTGGCTTTCAGAAACTCCTCTTCCCATATTCTGTACTCGTCTTCATCAACTTCTCTGTATGTAATCACCAAAGTTCTTAAACCTGCCTCTGCATACCTCTTGATGTGTTCTTTTGTCTCTCTCTCATTTTGGCGTCCGTGTTTAGCAAGTCTTTCAAACATTACACTGAAACACATGACAGAATAAGATATTTCCACTGATAAATATAGGATTACTTTAAGATTTGCCTCCACATAGAAAAAAAAGTAATAACCTGTCTGCGCCTTTTGAAAGCAACAATAACTGGTTTTCCGGATTTCGCACAATCACCGACATTCTTTTGCGTGAACTGCTGAACTCTAGGACATGAAGAAGCTCATATACTCTGAACATTAAAAAAAAAAAAAAAGAATCTGATAACTTCAGAAATGTTGTGTTCTCATGTTAGCCAATAAGAAAGAATCCACACGCTTTGTTTACCTGTCAACTTTCTCACCGGTCATGTGGTCAATTTCATGCAAGGAGATATTAGTCTGAGACCTTTCAAAGAATTCAAATCCAAGCTCTCGAGAAGCTATGACAAAAGCAGCTTCATCAGGAGACTCAGCTTCATATGTGATCTCTCTAGTATCACTGTTTACATCAGGAACAGCAGTGTGGCAAATAGCCAACACCCTAAAAAACTTCTGTATCAGTTCTGCATTTGGTTGATTAATCCATTCCCCATCAACTATTCTCTCATCCCAGAAGTTAAAGCCTTTAACCGACTTAGTCGAGCTCGCTTTTATCTCCTTGATAGATAAAGAATCATCATTATCAGCTTCTTCTTGAGGTCTCATCATACCCTTTTGCTTTCTCAAGGCCATTTCAACTTCCGTCATACCACGACCATAAGCAGTTCCAGCAATCGAACATTTCACAAACTCCATTGAGTTGCAAGTCAGAGTACCTGTTTTATCCGACAGAATCGTGTCGACTTGACCAAGCTCTTCATTGAGATTAGACGTCCTTGCACGAGCAGGCCTGTCTGTTTCCTCGTGGTACATCTCTTGGTCTTGGTTGATGAATATACTCTGCAAGACCTTCACAACCTCAATCGACACGTATAACGAGATCGGTATTAAGTAACCGTATAGCATCAGAGCGGTCAAGAAATGAAAGAAAGCAGCAAGAACCGCTCTCTGTGGCTCATAAAAGACAGTAGTCTCATCTGGTCTAAGATACCATCGAGTTAGCTTCCCATCATCACTGAGATCTCTTCTTGTTATAATCCCAAAGAACACAGAACCAGTAAACGATATCACAATCAAGATACTGAAGAGGATGTAAATGATCTTGTCCATTTTTTTCTCAATCTTGCTCCTCTTTGAAGGAGGATCAGTAGCATTCTGCATCACCTTGGTGTCATGACCAGTGAAAACAACCACGCCATGGATGTAATCAGTGTTTTTCAGCTTCGAGTCTCTCAAGAGCATCTGCTGAGGAGAGAGAGGATATTGTTTCCCTTGGAATTGAAGTGTTCCTACAAAGGAATAGAGATGCTCATTAGGATCCTCACATTTGATCACACCCCTGAAGTTCTTGATTGACTCTTCATCGGATGTTATCTCCAAGGCGTGCTTTAGCTTCAGATTAGTCTCCCCGTCTAGGTTCATGGTTTCAACATAACAGATTCCATCTTCATAGCTAGACGAAAGAAGAAGAAGATCAGCTGGAAAGTAATCATCTTTATGAACCTTCACAATATCACCAACTCTGAGATTTTTCCACTTCGTTTCTCCAAATGTGCCGTTTTTACCAAAAACTTGGACTTTCCTATTGTTAGCTTCAATGTCCTATTACGCAAAGAACCATCATAAGAAAATCAAGATCCTAGTCTAAACCATCTTATGCCAAAATGAAAGAATAAAAAGCCATACTTGTTTCCTTCTCCTCCAATCTTCAACTCCTTCTTTGACCATTGTGGCACCGATCACAAACAAGAGCGGTGCAAGAACACTCGGGGCGGTGTAAGGAGCCAAAGGGCTAAAGGAAACGAAAGCGACAACGAGGAAATATATATTTGCAACTCTTCTAAACTGCTCAAACAAGGACTTTGGGATGAAATTAGCAGCTGTGTACTTGGTGGTTGACACATAATTCCCTTTGTAATTAAGCTCAAGAGCCTCGGGAGTATCGGGATCATTACAGAACACAACTCTTGAGTAACCTCTTGACCCAATATGAGAATGATCTTCTCCAGAGGAAGGCTTAAAACACTTGAACGAATACAATTTACTCAAACGCACCCCTTTTCTCCTCTCTCCAGCCATCTTCTTAAAAATAAAAATTCTTCCTTTATAAAGACAGAGCTTTTCAAGAAATCAAGGATGATTTCTCTCTGTTTTCTCAAATCCACAAGAAGAATTAGAGGAGATTTCGTTCTCAACACGAAAAAAAGCAACCATTTTTTTTTCTCGGAGAAAGTCCACAGCTACTTAAACACAGATTTCAAACTAAAATCATGAATCACCAACCAGATCACGAATCCAAAACCACCAAATGTAGTAGCTGAGGAGAATCAGGTGGAATCTAATTAAGAGAACAAAAATTCCAAAATCACGGATAAGGAAATCGAGAAGCTGCACTAAACAGTAACTATCAGTTCAATTAAAAAAAGGAAAAAAAAAAAAACATTTGTCTGAAAGATTCCTTACTTGGTCCCAAGTGTTCCCAAAGATCTAATTCCTTACAGATAGAGAGAGAGAGACGAAAGAGAGAAAGAAACTCTAAAATAGTAAAAGAAAGCAAAGATCCTAAAGACTAAAGAGAAAGAGTGTGTGCTTAGCTCCGATCGCTACTCAACTTTGCCTCTTTCGTAAGTAAACGACAGCAGAGAGAACGACGAGTCAAGACCATTTCCCAAATTTTCTTTTTTGTTTTATTTCATTTTTCTTCTAACATTTTCCAATCTTTATCTTTATTTTTATTTTCATTTTTCTGTTTTAATTTTTTCCTCTGTTTGTGTTTTTGTTCTTTCCCCGTACGATTCCGTGAAGACTTGCTGACATTTGTCGGTCTTCGATGAGTCCAACGTCACAGTATGACACGTGGTGATATCTTACGGTATTTACTGATTAATTATTTGAAAACTTAGTATCGCACCGTTTTCTAGCTATTTCCACTTTAAGGAAGATAATTTATACGACCAGTAGTTGTCAAAAATTCGGTTTGGTTCATCTTTTACGGTGAAATAATAATTATTATAAAAAAGGAACCAAAAATTAAAAAATAGTACAGTATAAGATCAAATGCAATAGGTCACGTAAGATGCAATTGTAGTAATAAAGTGAATATTTTTCTGTGATGGAATTTATGTTTATTTTAAACGTAACAAAGCTTCAACACCTACCAGTACCATCCTCGTCTACTCTTCGTTAATAATACATTAATTTGCTGACAACATTTATAATTTTACATAATTTTAAACAAACAACCAAAAAAATATATTGTTGAAAAAAAAAAAGAAATACTATTATTTGATGGGCTTTGGAGTCTGTCAGAAGGTTTTTCAAGCCCATTGGACCCACTTGCTCTTTCTCACGTGGCATCTCGTAGTTCGCAAATCTTCTCCTGGATGATAAACCCCGTGACGGTTTTTCCAAAAAAATCCAATATAAATTTGACACGTGAAATTTCTTAATATGACTGTCACGGACTCGCAGGCAATTGTCAACTAATTTATTTATCGGCACCTACCTCCGCAGGTAGTGGTCATTCAAAAGGCGAGGCGCTACTTTATACTCGGTTCGGCTTGGCTCATCTTGGCGGCTTAATTTGATCTAAGTGAAGAAGACTTAATTTGATTTTTTTTTTGTATTGAAATGTTTTTGACCAGCTTATCAACTTAGAGCATCTCAAAAGAAAGGTTTATACAAGAGTTCTTAGAGTAATTGAGATCAAAAATAAATAAAAAAGAGTGAATAAGTTTAGGACCGATCTTTAAATAAAGATTAAAAAAACCAGTTCTTAGCATCACGTAGAAAAGTATTTACAGAATGAATTATTTATTTTTTAAAATCTTTAATAAGGTTCAACCATTGAAAGAGAAAAAATTAAGGATTTCTAAAAAATTTTTAAACTTTCAATTAATCAAAATTTATAAATAAAAAATTAGTAAGAATTCATGAAGAATGTTTACCATTGGAGATGATCTTAAACAATGTACAAAGTTTTTGACCAATCGCATTATACATCGTTTTTTTTTCAATAAACGATATATCTCGTTTTCTCAGTGACAAAATTACGATGATTTAACTGACAACTCTGAAGCAATCATTAATTTTCACATAAAGTTTGTTATAGGAATTGGTTTTGATGATATAATCCAATGTTTTACCAAAGAAATTTTTGATTTCTATAAAAGTTTAGAGATGTAGAAAAAAAAAACAAATATACGTTATAAATTTATGAATAAATATTTCTATATAGCATACGGATCATATCAAATATCTAAAAAGTATAAAATTTATATTAGTGATTTGGTAAAAGATTGAAACCAATTGAAATAACAAATGGGAACAGATATACATTAACAAAATCATTTAGGCAGGCGTCCCCAGGCCTACTGGTTATATGCTCCACATGAGCAAAATAGAGTTTTTTTTTTAATCTTTTCTAACATTGTTATTATATTTGACCGTAACGCCCGCAGATGAAAGCCAAGCCGAACATCCACATGTAATGGAACTACGTAAACCCTTTTGATCTCCTTTAAATTCGAATCCTTCCCGTCAACTTCGTCACCAAAAGAACCAAACAGATTAAGAAAAGGAAAAATATTATTAACCTAACAACCCTTATGAGAATCGTCCCAAAGACGACAGAGAACTACGAAGCGGAGCTTGTGGAGCTAAGCTCAGCCATTGCCGTCTCCACCGTGACTAAGAGAAGAAAAGAAGATGAAGAGTGGTTCAAACGATCAGAAAATACCATCAATGGTTACGATATTGACGAAGGCAATGCTAAGGTTGTCTGTATAACGGACGGTCTCACATTGCTCGGCCGAGCCATTACACAACGTCTCTTGCTTCATGGCTACACCGTCCGCATCATCGTCAATGGCCCAGGTAATATATATTTATATATATATATATAAAGATATACATATAGCAATATAGGATATAGGTTACTAAACCAATTATGTGTTCGTAATATACAAACTATGGTTTATACTTATCATCTATGTTTTGTTTGTATATATAATATGATTTTTGAATGACTTTTTTTTTGTCGGCTTGAACCATATTTGTAGATGACCTTGAGAGACTGAGGGTGGTGAGGGATGAAACGGCTACGTTTCAGGGGAGAATCGAAGCAGTGACGGCGAAGTTAACGGAAACAGAGAGTCTAGTCTATGCGTTTGACGGGTGTGACGGCGTTTTCCACACTTCCGGCTTCATAGATCCTTCCGGCGTCTCTGGCTACTCTGTGAGCTATCTTTCTTTGCCTTCCACACATATATTATTATCTATTTTTAGAGTTTTTCTCCAAAGAACATAATAATACCATATGAATTATTAATCGTATTCATTCTAGTTTGGTAAACCAACAAAATGAATCTTGTTCAAAATCCATCTGTGATTAATACGTTGGATAATCCTTGTATCGATGCTTCAAGCTAATATGGGGATTATAATTGAGGAGTTGCATTTATTTGTATATTCTGTAATACAACTATCGTAGAACGTTGTTGCATTAAATGAAAGCCGTCGACAAATTGTATTGGTAGTTTATAAAATGAATGTTATTCAGAAATATATGGCTGAGATAGAAGCCAAGGTTAGTGAGAAGGTGATGAACGCGTGTTCGATAACGCAATCGGTGAGGAGATGCCTCATGACTTCTTCTTTATTAGCTTGCCTGTGGCAAAACGGCACGCAGTTCGTCTCCCCTTCTGTGATTGATCACTCTAGCTGGAGCGACGAGTCTCTCTGCCACGACAAAAAGGTAATTTCGATTTAGTCTCTCTCTCAGTATGTAATATATCTGGTTAATGAATGTTTTGGAATGGTGATAATAATTGAATATTTGTTTTGTACTGATTTATGTAAATATTTTTTTGAAGCTGTGGTATGCATTAGGAAAGCTCAAAGCAGAGAAAATTGCATGGAAAATAGCAGAAAATAAAGGATTCAAACTCTCAACAATATGTGCTGCTCTCATCACTGCCCCTAACTTACTTCACCACCATCCTACTCCTACAATTGCTTATCTCAAAGGTATATTCAGTACATAGATAGATATATCCAACTAAATAGAGTTGTATTGATTGTTTTCATCTTATGTTACTATCAATGTATAATTCGTCCACTGAGTACTCACTATTGTAACTGTTCTAAGTGGGTCCCCCAAAAAGGAACCCTCACAGTTTTTTCATCAGCATTCGAGATAATCTATATTCAGCCTCGTATACTCGTATTCGTATACTCGTGGATATTGAATAGTTTTATGGATATATGTGAAGCTGTGGGTTATCCACTAAGAAAGTTTGGACATACAAAATTCGATAGAGTCCTGACAAAAGTGGTGTCTAGTAATTTGATCATTTTATTGATTTGAGGGTTTATAAGTTTAGTACCAACCAAATACTTTTCATGTTTTTAAGATATTTCATAATTTTTTTGTACAGGAGCCGATGAGATGTATGAAAACGGGGTACTAGCCACAGTGGATGTACACACGCTTGCAAAAGCGCACGTGCAAGTATACGAAGAAATGAATAAAGCCGCGTTTGGCAGGTACCTTTGTTTCGATAAGGTGATAACGAGAGAATACGAAGCAGAAAAATTAGCAAACGAAACAAGGGTTGATCTAGACAAGATTCGAGGCGACAACTACTTCTACTGCTACAGGGACACCGTTTATTTTGTCGAACAGAAGACTGTCTTCTCTAAAGTACAGATCATCGATCACCTGTCTTGATTAAGACATGACGTACTAGTAATTCTTTGTTTATTTTTAGCACGTACAAGTCACCGAATCTTGATCAATTTAAGAGAATCGAACAGAATTTTATACAATCCTTGAAGTCGATAATTGGAACAGTAGGGGCACGTAATGTAATGAGGAACAGCTTTCTAGTTTCTACTTGTTTAGTGGTGGGGAAGTGTATTGACACTTTGCTTCCTGATCCTAAAGTCAATTGTCCACCAGAGAAAAATAGCATTTCAATGCGTTTTACCAACTTCATACTTTTTTTTTTACCATCACGTACTTGTTTAGAGAGACAAAATAACAAAAAAAAGTTATTCGTAACACTATTGATATTATCGACAAAAGAAGCTGCAGCAAAGAAGCCTCATGTTTTGAGGCGAAGGAAACGAGCTCGCTTGAGCAGAACATACAAGTAACCTTAAAATATTATTTTATTATTTTTTCAATAGACTAATAAAACCAACATCGTGAATTCATGACCCAAAAACTCATAAAACCAACTAAAAAACAAACGTCGTAGTTAAATTAAAACTACCTAACTAAATAAATATTAGAAAATCTCTAAGATATTTGAAAAAATAAAATAAAATAAAAGTAGTTAATTAATACGCTGTAAATAAAATCTCCTAGAGCTATTAACCCAACAAAGTCCAATTAGATTGTTTGTTTGGAAACCATTAGCTTTGACGAGTGCGGGCCATTCTGCGTAAGCATATAACTTCCATTGGATTTTCTTTTTAAGGTTACAATGTATTCTTCTTCATAAACAAGAACCTTCACTTTAACACCATTTCCCAAATTCTGGATTAAATCACCTACCATCTCTGGAATTATAAAATTTTCAAAGTCCTGTCTCGGTAAATTAAGCTTACCTTGTTGGGAAACATCAATGTCACTTAACATCTTCTTTATGACCCATGGATCATATGGAGTTAAATCTAATTCTAGGTTGAGTTCTTGATCTTGAGCCATAGTTTCTAACTTGTAAATACTATGAATTTTTTTTTTTTAAATGTGAAAGATGAAAGCAAGATTGAAAAATAATAAAAGCCCATCGCTATGTTCTTATATATAGTTCTTCGATCAAAACAAATTTTCCTTTTTTTGTTTGTTTAAAAAAGCATTTTTCCTTATTTCTGCATTTTTCTATTACATTAAAAATTCTTAATATGCTGACAAATTTTTAAAAAGTTTTCATTTTTTTTCTTCTGTTACTCTACAAGTATTTTGTCGAAATTTACAATTCTTTTTTTTATCAGAAAGTTAAGTTTATATGTACAAAAATCATTTGGGATATTTTACGAGTTTTACATTTTCTAGTTGTGATCACTGATTTTGTTTCCCTTTTTAACAATTCTAAAACATATATATATATATATATATATATATATATGTATAAGAAAGAAAGTTTACATTTAAATATTTGAAATTATTCTTATATCACGTTTAAAAATGCTTTGTACGATTCTTGTGGAAGTTTTACATTTCCTTTACGAAGGTTTTTCAAAAATTAACGCTTAAATAAGTTCTCATAAGATCGGGTAACACATATCATAATAGGCTAGATGTTCACTTATTGTGTTGCTCTTCGTTGTGGAATTTGTTTGAGATTGATGATGATTTAATTTATAGTCTTTGATGGTTTAGGGTTCGTGATTTGTGGTTTCCAAAAGTTATGTGGAAATGGCTTTCTGCAAAAATCTCGGTGGTCTACTGAGACAATGGGTTGTTTCTCAGACCAGAAATGTTCCGGTTTAATTTATGCTTGGTTCTCTCCGGTACATGTCTACCAAGCTTTTCTCTGAGGTAAATAAGTCTTGTTCAAAAATGAATCTTTGAGAAATAGCTAATTGGCTACTTGGCGTTGACCACCTTTCTCTCACTCTCTTTTGTATGCATTTCCTCTTGATCTCTTTGATGCTAATGTGGGTTAACATTCATTGGACATTGCCACGAAGGATGAATTCAAGTTCATACCGGAAGGGGTTTACAAGCAGTTTTTGAAAGCTAGTGGCCTCAAGGGTATGAGATTGGGGATTGTAATGAAGCATTAATTCTGATCCCGATCATGCTCATCTTGATCATCACATCGAAATTGATGTCAAATTTCGTTATTATCTTGATTCGACCTATTTAGTAAACCATATATCTGCGACGAAAAAAAGAAAAAAAAAAAAGTAAACCATATACAATATCTGATTATAGCTCTGTTTTCCTTGGATGGAGACGAGAAGGCCTGACAAATCTATCGATACTGTTGAGATTTATGCTCTGTTTAACACTAAATTAGAGACCTTTTAGTGTCTTGAACTCTCTCTCTCTCTCGGAAAAAACAAGTTCACTCGTGTGTATGAAGAAGTATGGAAACGGATGCAGAAAAGAAAATGGCACAGGCGATTTAAGGAGTTCACGCCCAATGTGGGTCGCTACGTCTCCCCGGAGAGGTTCTCCGGATGAATCCACTAAATCCTTTAGCTCTACACCGAGCTTTCTACAACCATATTCTCTCTGCAACTTTACACAAGCTCTCTCTATCTCACACTCTTTCAGAGACATTCCCTCTTCACCTTATTTATATCCTCAAAGAGATTATTCTAGATACAAAGCTTTGTCTCTTTGCAATCCTTGTGCACAGATACGAAGGCGCTGCTGCAGGCTCTGCTCCTCCGGTATCAGAAAGCACGTTTGTGTTCCCTCTGCTTGCTTGAGTTTGTACGAGTTAGGTGGGAAGTCTTTTTCTTGCCTCGGAATCAGAGAATGGACTCTGCTTCTTCCTTTTGATTTCAAGACCGTTAGAAGACTCTTTCTCAGACTGAGGCTTTTGCTGTTGGATAAGACTCTTTCTCGTTCCAAGTCTTTGACCACAGCTCTTCTTCGTTGACCTTGATACACCTGCAAGTATTCAGACTAACTCCCACAAAACTCCACCTTGGTTTGAATACTTAACCTTAGCTTAGGTTCCTGATTTAGTTTCCTTTGGATTCTTCCCCTCTCCGGATTCTTTCACTCTTCTTAGTGACTTGATATTCTGAGCAGCTCCAACGCCTTTTGAAGCTTGCTCACAGGGACAATCTTGGTAAAGATGTCTGCAGGATTCCACATAGTCGATACCTTTAAAACTTTGATGTCTCCTTCTGCAATCTTATCCCTGATGAAATGCAGACGCACATCAATGTGCTTGGTTCTCTCATGATGCACAGAGTTCTTGGATAAGGCGATAGCACTCTGTGAATCACACATAACTTCAACATTTTCTTGTTCGAATCCCAGCTCTGCAACAAGACCTTTCAACCATATGGCTTCTTTCACTGCCTCTGTTAATGCCATATATTCTGCTTCTGTTGTAGACAAGGCTACGACCTTTTGTAAACATGATTTCCAGCTAATGACATTTCCGCCTGCAGTAAAAACAAACCCTGTGACTGATCTTCTCTTGTCCAAATCCGCAGCGTAGTCTGAGTCGCAAAACCCTCTGATTTCTACACTGTCCTGTTTCTTGTAGCTGAGCTTCAACTCCTGAGACCCGTTGATGTACCTTAAAACCCACTTGACAGCTAGCCAATGTTCTTTTGATGGCTTGCTCATGAAACGGCTGATTACACATAGGATAGGCCAGATCAGGTCTTGAACCGATCATAGAGTACATGATACTTCCCACTGCGTTTGAGTAAGGAATAGTCTTCATGTATTCTTCTTGAGCAACCAACTCTTCTTCTGTGGCAGCCTTGAGTTTGAAATGAGTCCCCAACGGTGTCTGCACTTTCTTTGACTGATCCATCCCATACATATGTATAACTTTCTTCAGATAATCCCCTTGAGATACTTCAAGCGTCCCATTCTTTCTATCTCTTTTGATTTCCATACCCAAGATCTTCCTTGCTTCACCCAAATCTTTCATTTCGAACTCGGATCCCAACAACTCTTTCAGCTCTTGAATCTTTCCTTTATCTTTTGCTGCAATAAGCATGTCATCGACGTACAAGAGCAAATAGATATAGGTGTTGTCTTCAAGCTTTTTGTAGTAAATACAATAATCATAGTTGCTTCTTTGGTAACCTGAATTCCTCATGAAGGTATTGAATCTCTGGTTCCACTGCCTTGGTGCTTGCTTCAGGCCGTAGAGAGATTTCCTTAGTAAGCAAACTTGATCTTCTTCTTTTTTTCCATTCGAAACTTGATAGCCTTCAGGTTGTTCCATTAGTATGTACTCATCAAGATTTCCATGTAGGAATGCAGTCTTAACATCGAGTTGTTCCAACTCTAGATCAAGGTTAACCACATATGACAGGATGAGCCTGATGGAGACGTGCTTCACTACAGGTGAGAAGATCTCTTGATAGTCGACCCCTTCTTTCTGCAGGTACCCTTTTGCCACTAGCCTGGCTTTGAATCTCGGTTTATCGGATCCTTCTGCACCTGGTTTTCTCTTATAGACCCATTTGCAGCCTATAACTTTGCAGTTCTTTGGTCTCTTAATCAAGGTGAACGTCTGATTCTTCTGTTGTGAATGCATTTCATCGTCCATAGCTTCTTTCCACTGATCCCAGTCTTTATCTCTCATGGCTTCTTCATAACAGCATGGCTCAGGTAACCTCCATCTTCTGTCACCATTAGAGCAAAGCCAGATACTAGATCTTCTTCTAGTTCTACTAAGTTTGAATCGTTGAACTTTTCAGGTCTTCTGGTCACTCTTCTTTCTCGGTCCCTTGCCAACTGATAGGTTCTGAGATCACTGCTGAGCTGAGAACTTTCTTCTTCTTCTGAGCTCTCGTCTTCCTGCTCATTTCTTTCTGCACTTGAGTGAGGTTCTACTTCTTGATCTTCTTCTAGACTTTTATCAGCTCCACCTAGATCCTTGAAGTCTCCACTGTTGACTTCGTAGATCAAGGGTATCCTTGAGCTTTGTGTTTCTGTTCCAGACTCTGATTGTTGATTTAAGTGCTTGTACATCTTGTCTTCTTGGAATACAGCGTCTCTAGATATGATGCACTTCTTGTCTTCAACTAACCAGAATTTGTATCCTTTCACTCCACTAGGATAACCGATGAAAACTCCTTTCTTGGCCCTTGGATTTAGCTTTCCCTGATCACTATGAATGTAAGCCACTGATCCAAAGACTCTCATCTCATAGTATCTTGGCTTCGTTCCTGTCCAGATTTCATCTGGAATCTCTAAATCAACTACAGACGATGGTGACCTGTTGATTTGAAACACTGCAGTGGCAGCGGCTTCAGCCCAGAAGCTTTTAGGTAGACCAGACTCACTCAGAGCACTTCTCACTTTGTCTAGAATGGTTCGATTCATTCTTTCAGCAATTCCGTTTTGCTGTGGAGTGTAAGCACATGTTTTGTGTCTTACTATTCCTTCATCTCTGCAATACTCATCGAATTCTCTGTTGCAGAACTCAAGTCCATTGTCGGTTCTGAGGGTCTTGATCTTTCTACCGAGTTGATTCTCCACCATCTTCTTCCAATCTACAAGGCTTCCATAGGCTTCATCTTTCTTCTTAAGAAAATAGATCCAGGTCTTTCTTGAGTAATCATCTATAAATGAAATGAAGTATTGACGCTTCCCTAGTGATAATGGAACATTGGGTGATCCCCATAGATCGGAATGAATGTAATCCAGCTTCTCCTTTGTTACATGCTTCCCTGTTCCAAAACTGACTCGGTGTGTCTTTCCATACACACAATCCTCACAGAATGTCATATCCGTGACCCTGGTTTTGTCCAAATATCCTTTCTTTAGTAGGACTTTCATCCCTTTTTGACTCATATGTCCGAGCCTTCGATGCCATAGTTGAGTTTCGTCTTTAGGGCCAACTGAGACACTTGCTTCTCCTGTGAGAACAGACCCGCTGAGAATGTAAAGCATATCTGTCTTCTTTCCTTTGATAAGTGTCCTGCATCCTTTGTTGATCTTCATGACTCCCTCTCTAGACTGAAACCAACATCCCTGATCCTCTAAAGTCCCAAGAGATATCAGATTCTTGGACATTTCAGGTACGTATCTTACATTGGTCAGAAGAACTGTTGTATTGTCTTCATTCTTGATCCTTATGCTTCCGATACCTTTGACTGCAGAGTAAGTGTCATTTGCCATTCTGACCTTTCCAGAGTTTACTTCGTTGAGCTCTACAAACCAGTCTCTTCTCGGAGTCATGTGGAAAGAACAACCAGTATCCATGATCCATTTCTCCTTCAGTTCATCTCCAAGCGACAACAAAACCTCTGAAACCATCAACACTGCAGCATCTTGAACCTGTCCTGTGACATTTGACGATTCACCAGCATCTCTTTGTTTGTTTCTTTCTTTCCAAACGAAACACTGCTTCTTGTAGTGATCGTCTTTACCGCAGATCCAACAAGTCTTTTTCCCTTTAGACTTTGACCGATGCTTCTGCTTGCCTTTGTCATTCGGTTTTTCCCTTTTCTCAGATCTTCCTCTGTCTTGAACGAACAACGCCTCTGAGCTACCTCTTGAGAGTTTACCACTTGCCCCCAACTCGAGCTCCTTGGATCTAACGGCTCCAATGATCTCTTCCAAGGAAAGAGACGTCTTTCCATACTTCAGAGTATCCTTTAGTTGCTCAAAAGGCTTTGGAAGAGCCATAAGCAGAATGATAGCCTGATCCTCATCAGATACAGAAACTTTAACGTGTTCTAGATCCGTTATTAGCCTTAGAAAATCATTTATATTCTCCTCAATCGTCATACTATCAGTCATACTATACCCATATAGTCTTTGCTTCAGATAGATACGATTAGGAAGAGACTTAGCCATGTAAAGCTGATCTAGTACCTTTAACATGGCCGCAGCTGTTTTTTCTTTGATGATTTTCCTGAGGACATTGTCTCCTACGCTTAAGATAATGGTAGATCTGACCTTCTTCATCTTCTCAGAGAGAGACTTCTCTGCAGTAACCTCGTCTTTGCCTTTAACTGTTGCTTCGAGTGTTTCTGCAGACGAATCTTCTGATTCTTGAGCTTCATCTTCTACCAAACCTTCTGCTAATCCCAAGATCTCGATATGAGCTAGCAGCTTTTCCTTCCAGAGCATGTAGTCTCCCTTTCCATCGAACTTTTCTACCTCCGTTCTTGCTGAAGACATCTTTCTTCAGACTTTGAGATAAGAAACCTCCGAACCTGGAGCTCTGATACCAATTTGTTGAGATTTATGCTCTGTTTAACACTAAATTAGAGACCTTTTAGTATTTTGAACTCTCTCTCTCTCTCTCTCTCGGAAAAAACAAGTTCACTCGTGTGTATGAAGAAGTATGGAAACGGATGCAGAAAAGAAAATGGCACAGGCGATTTAAGGAGTTCACGCCCAATGTGGGTCGCTACGTCTCCCCGGAGAGGTTCTCCGGATGAATCCACTAAATCCTTTAGCTCTACACTGAGCTTTCTACAACCATATTCTCTCTGCAACTTTACACAAGCTCTCTCTATCTCACACTCTTTCAGAGACATTCCCTCTTCACCTTATTTATATCCTCAAAGAGATTATTCTAGATACAAAGCTTTGTCTCTTTGCAATCCTTGTGCACAGATACGAAGGCGCTGCTGCAGGCTCTGCTCCTCCGGTATCAGAAAGCACGCTTGTGTTCCCTCTGCTTGCTTGAGTTCGTACGAGTTAGGTGGGAAGTCTTTTTCTTGCCTCGGAATCAGAGAATGGACTCTGCTTCTTCCTTTTGATTTCAAGACCGTTAGAAGACTCTTTCTCAGACTGAGGCTTTTGCTGTTGGAGAAGACTCTTTCTCGTTCCAAGTCTTTGACCACAACTCTTCTTCGTTGACCTTGATACACCTGCAAGTATTCAGACTAACTCCCACAGATACCAAACATGGAAGTCACTACTCACTAGGGTTAGGACTGAGTTCAAGATGTCACTCAACACATATCTTACAGATCTTGTGGAATCACCAGTCCGGTCCTTAGCAGATGCAATTGCCTTCTACAAGGAACTCTAGGCACGTCTTCAATAATCGAACAACAATTTAAGCAAATAGATTATGATCAGAAAATCTTTATTCAAGAACTAAAACCAATGCCACTAATTTTATACAATCCTTGAAGTCTAAACTAGTGTGTAAAGGACATGTTTTTACTATGCTAAAGTGAAAGAATAAATATGAAGAAAAAGGTCTCATATTCTATGGGTGTATTGTGAGTCTATCAAGCCATTGGCTATCAGTACGAGGAATTACTTTTACAATCATCGCAGTCAACCCATTTCAGATTAAAATTCCATTTTAAAAACACGAATTTACGAAAATACAACAAAAAATAGAGGCTCAGAGTTTTGCATAATGTGCTCAAAGAAGAGTTTATCAGGCTCTTCTCATACAAGAGGTGTCAGAAATATTAAGCATTAATCATCCTTGCCAAAATCCAATTTCTTCAGAAATCAAGTTTTTTCTAGACTAAACATCAAGTTTCATATTCGCATTTTGTAATCCATCCCTTTGATTAATCCCTCAATTTCATATTCGCATTTCGTAATCCCTCCCTTCGATTAATCCCTCAAGCTGAATGTAAAGTTGAGATCAAACACCCGATTTCCATTACGAATAAGGTACTTGAGTATGAATGTAATGTTAAAAGTTATAGCGAATAGGCAATCTAATGATTCTTAAACGCTTTTTCCATTGATACATTCACGAAGGTAGGAATTCAAAACAAATACTTGAATAATTCTCTAGTGATCGTTTCAATTTGTACGAATTTGAAATCAAGGCTCTTACACAATTCAAAATACCCCACAATTCAAAACAAATTGGAGTTTTAAGGAAGCAAACCACAGTTAAAAATAGTGATCTTAAAGAAGAAATATCGTTCTACCAATAACCCACAAAATTACAATGACCTGATAACATAACGAGAGAATTTCCTTAAAAAATCATCGATAAAAAGATTTTAAAAACCAAAACAGAAAAACAAAAATCGATTGTGGAAGAAAAGGGGTAGTGCTCATATTCTATGGGTGTAATGTGAGTCTATCAAGCCAATGGCTTTCAGTACGAGGAATTACTTTTACAATCATCGCACCATACCCAAATTCGAAAAGCTCGAGCTTTTGTTTCTTAAATCAATGTAAATTCCAACTAAAAAACAATACAAAAAATACTTAGAAAAGAAATTGAGGCTCAGAGTTTTGCATAATGTGCTCAAAGAAGAGTTTATCAGGCTCTTCTCATACAAGAGGTGTCAGAAATATTAAGCATTAATCATCCTCGCCAAAAAAAAGATCTTTTCTTTCAAAATCAACACTCACACACACAAAAAAACGGAAAAAGACTTCACAACGAACTTCAAACGGAGAAACGAGCTAAAGGGAAGATAGATGCGGCTGAGAAAGAGGCATAAGGATTAGGGTTTTTGTTTCAGATGATGATGGAATAGAACACGGGCAATGAACTGTATTTATAGATATTTAATGGGTTTATTCAATAGAAGGCCCATTAAAGTATTTCTCGCGTAAACCGTCGGTCTCATTTAGCGGCTTGCGCTCTTAGGCTATTTGCGGAACTTTATTTTCATTAATATTACAGGCCCATTAATGGGCCTATAAAAAGAATTACAAGGCATAGTTTTATGTTCTGCATAATATAGTCTCAGAGACCTTTAAAACCTTTTGTCTCCTAAAAGCTAAAAAGTCTTCAACTAATAAACAAACATCTTAATCAAGAAGAGGTTTAAGACTAGGAGGAATTAACACTCATCTTGCGTACTTTGTCCAGAAAGTTTCTTGATTCGTCTTCAAGTTTCATCTTCAATTCTTGCGTAACCTCTCCCTGTGATTGATCCAGCAACGCTCTCATCTCCTCAAGCTTCTTTTTCAAACACTCGATTTCCATTATTTCAGCTTCCTTCTTCTCATTTGTGTTTTCAGGTGAATCCGAAGAAGGAAACTGGAGCTTGAATGTAACGGTGGAAGTAGTAGCAAAGGGGCATTTCTTTAATGACTTGCGAAATGCTTCTTCTCCATCAGATACATTCAAGAAGTAAACCCGTGCGCAGGAGTTATTGTCGAACATACAGCTTCTGTTTTTGTCCAAAGCTCCAAACTTTTCGTATGTTCTGATCAAATCATCTTTTGAAGGCAGAGTTGCACCAGAAGGTCCAAAGCCAGACTTAATAACTAGCTCAACACTTGAAAATTGCTCCTCAAGTTCTCTCTTGTTCATCTTCTTCACCGTCTCTTTCTCATCCACTACTTGTTGCTTCAATTCAGGCTGCTTATCTTCCTCTGAAATGTTTCTCTTGTGATTGGCCCCATCATGATATGTAAAGCTTCGATAAATGGACACAAACTCTGTTATCATGTCACACGAGCTATTATAGTCTTCTACATATTGTGTATCAAGAGCCACCGAACGGATTAGATTCAGTACTTCCTCTGGTGCAGCTTCTAAACTCACAAAATCTAAGGCTTTTTCAGCAGCATTCTTCGTCATTTTGCTCTTTCTCGATCCCCAACCAAAATCTGTCATATATTCTGGCGAAAGATATTTGCTTTTCTTCCTCTCTCTTTTACCTGTCTGCACTGTAGTCTCACCACTTCCATTGTTCCTTTCAACACTTGAAGAAACATCAGACCTGAGCCTTTTGCAGAGTGAGGCCATTGGAGTTTCCATACCTGAATCCTCTTTCTTCTCACACTCTTCTAAATGGTTTGAGTCGTTTGATTCTTCTCTTTTCTCAACCCCATCTTCATCTTCATCCTCCAAACCCCTTTTGTTCTTCCTCTTCCTCGACGAGAAACTTTTCGCATCACGAGTTTCTTCCACTTGCTTCAGATCAGAGTTTTCGTTCTTAGAAACCTCACTCAATCTTCTCCTCAAAGTAGTAGAACCAGTGGTTGCTACATCAGCAAGATCAACGTTAATAGCTTCATCACCATATTTCCTCTTTTTACCACCAAGCGCAGAGCATTTTCTTAATGCTCTCTGCCAAGAAGATTTGCTAAAATCCAACGCATATTCATCGTCTTTGTCTTCAAGCCCTATGATATATCGATGCTCATCATATTGAGCTAAACCAAACCTTCCTTTAGACCGATAAAACGCAGATATTTTCCTCTTCAAAACCTCAATCTCTAGCAGATCACTAAAACTAACCGTCTTCGCAAGTCTCTCAACATCTTCGAGAACTATTCCAGGGTTTTCAAGAACCAAAGACGATACAACCTCTTTTCTAACATCAGGCACAAGAACACCTTTCTTTACACCAGAATTCACTGCTACACGACTAACCAGATCCTCATCAGGAACCAACAAATGCTCAACATGTTCACCAATCTCTACCACAGCTTCTTCCACAGCTCTGACAAAGCTTTTAGAACCGCTCGTCTTTGAAAACTCTCTGAAATTCTCAATAAACGGTTTCAACTGCGCTGGATAGCACCAAGCAAACGTCTCCTTCCAAAAATATGCCACAAGTAATTTACCCTTGTGCATTTGCTTCAAAGCCAAGTCTGAAGCATCTGAAGAATCGTAAACCTTTCCAGGCCACCATTGATGGCTATTGACTTCTCTTACCCACACAAAATCTCCCACACGGAACCCATTCTCTTCTTCATCATCAGCATTGTTAATCTCTTCCTCTTCTTCACAATTAACTCTGGAATCTTGCTTCGTATTCAGCAATGAAGAAGCTTCACTCATCGCATAATCTTCGATTGGTCCAGCGTCGTTAACACTCTCCATCTTAACATCATTTCCCTTCAAATTATCATCAGAACAACCGTCGATATGACCTGAAACAGCTCGCACTCCGTTTTCAGAAACCCTAGAATCGGTCGTTACAAAATTGCCCATCGAACACTTCTCTTAACACAACCTAGCCTACAGTAAATGCAAACTAAAACATTCAGAAAACTACAATTAAAGAAAACATAATCAACATTACCTACGACTAACAGAAGAAACTTGTACTTGCGACAAAACCAAAACCAAAACAAAAAAAAAGGTTCTTTTTTGGACGAGGAAACACACAAGTTTTAAGAATAAAGAAATCGAAATTACCTGAAGATAAAGGAGAAGCGGATAAAAAAAAAAAATTTGGTTCGAGCAGAGAATCCAAAAACACCTTCTTCCTCGAATCCTGCGGCGCAAAGTTTTCGTTTTTTCCCCTCGAGAGAAAATAAGAAGGAAAAAAAAAAGTATTTTTGTGATTGAATGCTTTTGCCTTACTTATCTATTGTATTTTCTTCTGATATTGTCCAAGATTCGTTTCCTTTTTTGATTTTACCTTACGTTATCAACAAAATTTTAAGTCTTGTTTTCCGACATTAACAAGAAGATCTAATAGAACGTCAAATACAATTTGCCTACCTCTCTTCCGTTTTTTCCCTATCCGGTTTTTGCGTTTGAGTTTACGATTTAGATACACATAAGATTATCAAAATTATCAGATTAATAATATGCAAATACAGTAATTATCCATATTTACTAGTTCGACACCAAACCCAGATTTTGAAACTCGACCACATTTGTCTACATACCACGTGAATGAGTGAGTATGGTCGTGTAGTCTCTATAGTTTCTTTGAGCTAGGCATTTCAACAAACATGTTATGTGCAGTTAACAAAGCATGCGTCGAGGGCTAAATCAATAATAGGAAACGAAATTTGATTCAAATTACAATAATTTCTCAAAGCTTAATCAACAATTCCAAACGCAAACTATACTCTAACAACAAAAAGACCCATAAATCCCGGAAAAAAAGACACATTTTTAATAAGAAAAAACATCCGATTGTTAAAACTTAAGCAATGGAAACCTTAGCACCAGCTTCTTCAAGCTGCTTCTTGGCTTCTTCAGCTTCATCTTTCGTCACACCTTCCTTAAACTTCTTCGGCAACCCTTCAATGAGCTCCTTGGCTTCCTTCAACGCCAAGCTAGTCAAAGCCCTTACCGCTTTGATCACTGCAATACGGTTACTGCTGGGCACTTCATTGATAACCACATCGAATTCGGTTTGCTCTTCCACAACCGCCGCCGCACCACCGTCTCCCGGAGCAGCCACAGCCGCCGCAGCAGGAGCTAGAGAGAGTGGTGAGACACCGAATTTATCCTGGAGGTAATCGACGAGGATGCGTGCTTCTTCTAGGGTCAGAGACGAGATCTCGGAACCAATCTTCTCGATTTTCTCTGGAGCTTCGACGGCGGCGACGGGACGGAGGTTGATTGCGCGGTGGCTGAGCGTGGAAGAAGAAGCGCCAAAGCGAGCCGGGAATTCGACTCCGGTGGGTCGGGAAGGAAAGCGATGGACGGAAGCGAGAGTGGGAGAAGATGATGAACGGATTGAGCTTGCGATGGAAAGAGTCGTCGCTGCCATTTTCGCTCTTCCTCTTGGGATTTGTTTTGTGTGTCTCTCTGAGTGTGTTTGTTGGGATAGATGGAGAAGATGAGAGGATAAAAAAACCAAGGATAAGGGGTAATTTGGAAAATATAATATATGCGTACGCTTGCTGTATTATGCGCGTGTATACACACCATGGGACTTAAAAGCAAAAAGGGGCGTTCCGAGAATCGAACTCGGGACCTCTCGCACCCAAAGCGAGAATCATACAACTAGACCAAACGCCCTCGTTGATATATTGAGCCATTTTTCTACTAAGTCCTCAAAAATATTCAGAGTTTGTAGTGGAACTGTGGAACATTCTCCATTTCAAAAGAAGCATATACATAATTGTATTCAGATTTTATACTAGTGTACTCGCATTGATAGCCTACTAATACCAATGTTGATGGACACCTAATCTTTTTCAGCTTTCTACAATATTTGTTGCTTTTGTTTTCGCATCTGTAGTCTAATAGAACGTTGTAAAATCTTAGAGGAATGCCTTCTCTGCTTCAAAGCAGAACAACTCTTTCTTCATTCTGCTTTATATGATTGGTGAAGACAGCTACTTTGGAAGCCATGCATGTCTCATATAGTCAAAAGAGTCATACTATGTTCATGTCTCCTAAATCCGTGTATGAGTATGTGACTTCTCCCATTTCCTATTTGAAGCTAGGCATTTCTACAAACATGTTATCTACTTATCTGCAGTTACTAAAGAAGCACCCTACAATGGCTAAATCCCTTTTCGGAATCCAAATTGATTCACATTACAATAATTTCTCAAACCTGAATCAACAATCCCAGACGCAAACTATGCTAAACAACACCAAACAAACAAAAAACGTTCCATAAAATTCCACAAAAGAAGAACACTTTTACATTTCCGAATTTCAAGAAGTTTAAGCAATGGAAACCTTAGCACCAGCTTCTTCAAGCTGCTTCTTCGCTTCTTCAGCTTCATCCTTCGTCACACCCTCCTTGAACTTCTTCGGCAACCCTTCAATGAGCTCCTTGGCTTCCTTCAACGCCAAGCTAGTCAAAGCCCTTACCGCTTTGATCACTGCAATACGGTTACTGCTTGGCACTTCGTTGATAACCACATCGAATTCGGTTTGCTCTTCCACCACCGCCGCCGCACCACCGTCGCCCGGAGCAGCCACAGCCGCCGCAGCAGGAGCTAGAGAGAGCGGCGAGACGCCGAATTTATCCTGAAGGTAGTCGACGAGGATGCGGGCTTCTTCGAGGGTCAGAGACGAGATCTCGGACCCAATCTTCTCAATTTTCTCCGGAGCTTCCACGGCGGCAATGGGACGGAGGTGAGTTGCACGGTGGGTCAGTGTGGAAGAAGAAGCACCAAGGCGAAAGGGAAATTCGATTGCGGAGGGTCGGGAAAGGAAGCCATGGGGAGCGGAAGCGGGAGTGAGAGAAGACGAAGAGCGGATTGTGGTTGCTATGGAAAGAGTCGTCGCTGCCATTTTCACTCTTTGAACTCTTCGGATTTGTTGTGTGTCTCTCTGTCTGTGTTGCTAAATTGTGCGAGAGACGAAGAAGATGAGGATAAAAAAAACCAAGGATAAGGGGTAATTTGGGAAACTCAAAAATACTAACCATTGCTATTGTGCACCTATACACATCAAGGAAGTTGTACCGTTCATAGGTTGACGAAAATACCCTTGAGAAAGGTAAATAAATTAAAATGGGCCATTCGGAAAATCGAACTCATCACCTATATCATAAATAATGACAACGAAGGGTCACAAAGACTTTTGAATATAGAGTTCACAGTGAAACAATTTCCCTTTTTCTTTTTTTGTCAACAACTTTGTAGTGGAAACATTCTTTTAATTCAAAAGAAGCATATAATAATCGTATATGTAAATCACATCGTGTTGTTTCGATTTCTCCCTTCTATATTTTTCCCACCAATGCTACAAACAAGAGCAAATCCCATTTCCTATGAATCCAAAAACCTCCCACGTGTTTAAAAGGCCTGCAAAGAGGTTTTTCACCATCTACGGCGTCTCCTCCCATACCAAAACGCAAACGCAGCCACAGATGCAGCAACAACGACTCCAGTCGCCGCGTGCCATATATGCAAAGGCTTCTCCACCATCACCACTCTTGAACACTGCCTCGCCATCTCTGAGCTCGGAACTTCCTTAACTTCCGGAACTATATGCTGACTCACCACGGTCTGAGCAAACCCAAGTCCTTCTCTTCCCAGTTCTTCCAAGTCAGTCACAGCTGGTTTCAACTGTGTCGCCTTTGAGATAGTTTCGTATTCTTCTTTAGTCCCTCCTTCAAGAAAAGACCCAACGAGGTGACCTTTTTTAACCCAATATGCTCCAAAGGCTTTACCGACTTCATACTCCCCAAAGTGCACAACTTCACCTACAGGGTCTCCGTAGAACTGCCACGAGAAGGCAAAGACCCTTGAGTAGAAAAACGGCAAGAGGTCAAAATCTCCGGTCTTTTCTGGCTCCATGATGGCTGAAACTGCGTGGCGTGCAGATTTCCTAGCCGAGTCCACATGCTCAAGCCTCCTCGTTTCGCCAAATAGTTTCACTGGAAATGTAGCTACATCGCCTATTGCATACACCGAGCTGTCACTTGACTGCATTTTGCTGTTCACTTTTATACCACCTTTCTCTATTGTTAGCTGTCCTTCAAACAAGCTTGTGTTTGGTCGTATTCCAATTCCAACCACGACCAAATCTGCTGGTAACTGGTTCCCATCTTTGAGATTAACCGCCGTGACCTGCAATTCGAAATCCCAAAAAGAGCATATCAATAAACAAACACAGCGAACAATGCTCATGATTCTTTCCATCATGGGATCAGGAGACTCCGTCGTTGTATTGATTCTTTCCATCTTTTAGTTCTATACATAGATGCAAAAAACCAGACATCTTTCAAGTTGAATCTCAAGCTTAAAAAAAAAAATATATCTAACCTTTTTATTCGAGTCAAACTCAAATGATGTCAAAACCGTTCCTTTGATGAATTTCACTCCTTTAGCCCTGTAGTAATCTTCATACAAAGTTGCAATCTTGGGCGTAAAGAGACGCGCCACTGTCATAAGAAACTGAAAAAGGTCAAGCCAACCACACAGACACAAGCTTTCTCTTTTTTACATGTAAGTTGAGTAATAATGGAGAGTACTTACTGCAGTGAGCCTCTGGAAAAACCATGGTCACATTGATCTTGTTGATCACTAAAGATGCAGCACACTCCATGCCGATATAGCCACCACCGATAACAACAGCATTACCATTGGAGCTTGATTGGATCGCAGTGGAAAGCCTATTTGCGTCGCTCAGATCTCGTAAGTAACAAACATTTTCAGCATCTGAGCCTTCCACCCCAAATTCTTCGAGCTTCAACGGCTGCTTCCACATGTGACAATAATAAGGCCACGACTTTAGCAGTTCAAAGCTCTAAGCTTTAAAATAGTACAAATTCCTTTAAAATTGTCCAGGATAGAGCATATTTGCCATATCAGTGTTCACAGCATCTAATAGACGTTCCAGTATTACAGATCCATTGACTTCAGTCCATTTAAGACTCTAGTGATAATAAGTAATAACAGATTGTAACATCTCAAAGACGATAATATGATGGTGAGAACCAGTAATTTATCATATACGTTAATGGCACCTTCTCACCTGCAGACGCTCTTACTTCGGAAAAACGAAATCATATATATTATTGTGCAATCCATACCCTGGCACCTGTTGCGATGATCAAGAATTTGTAACTTATAGTCTCCCCGGTGCTCGATAAAAGAGTCTTCCTCCTCACATCAACGGACTTAACACGAGTTCCAAGCACTAATTCAATTCCTGACAAGCAAGTCACAAAATTGTCAGAGCTTACTCTCATAGTCATAGCCCAAGTAAAGTAGTACTTTCTCAAAATTGGATGTGCACATGTAGTTACCATGTTCCTTGTACCATTTCGGGGTGAGCTTCTCATCATTAGCCCCAACACAAGTGTGGAAAGAAGGAAGGCGTGCAGGAGCTGCAGATAAGATCGTGGGTTAACCCTTACAGAGCCTAATGAGTGAACTATAACTGAATCCCTTAGTTCTTGAGAACATTCTATACATCTTAGCTTCCCCAAATACCAAAAGCAGAAAAACGCAAGCTATCACGTTTCTCTTACCTTCTGGCAGCAGAAAACCTTTACTTAACGCGGGCCTCTCATATGGTGCAACCTAGAGAAACAGAAAATGCAGAAGCTAATTACTTACAGAGGGAAACACATCATATCCCTTTTCCTCCCTCTTTAATATTGATTCACAACCAATACTTTATAAAACAAGCAGTGAATGGAAAAACATGAATCACAAATCAGAAGCATTTCTTCCATAGAGATTCGAGGACTGTTTGCCTGTTTGGAACTAATCGGTAAAACCATATCCAGAGCATATGTCACCATATTTGGAGGCTAGACGCTAACAATGCATTGATGTGCTATTAGACATGGCGATACTCGATATTCTTAGTCCATGTATTGAATCTTGCAAGCTACTCTTTAATTACTTTAACTTCACCAAATGCCTCAATATAATACAAATTTCCACCGTATCTTCAGTTTCAGTGAGAGAATTCCAAGCATGAGTTGCAATTAAGACTCGATGTAGAGAACTGAGAATTTCAAGAACCTTGTGCAAAACCCAAATCTTTATGGAAATCCACACGGAGTTCGTATAGTAGCATTACACCCTATTAGTATAAAGTAAGAGAAAAACTCTAGCGATAAGAGACAAAAGAGATAGAGACAAGCCTAACCAATTTCAATCTAATAACACCATCAAACCACCAAATTTTAAAACGAGGTCAAAAAGAAGAAACTTTCAATTAACACTAAGAATTCCAAAACCTACCGATAGTAAAACCAACTACAGAGTCACACTAAAAATCCAGGTGAGAGAGCTAATATATACTTCCTCAGATGAATCAGTAAAGGACCCACCAAGAACAACAAGAAAGAAAAAGCAAATCATAGATAAATTTCTTCTCGCTATCAAACAATAAAACTCAATTTTTTTACGGGAGCTTACGGGTTCTTCGGAAATGATGCAGAGTTCGCCATCGGAGACACCTCTCCGCGTGAATTCGAGAGCTGCATAACCAGCAGCAACACCTCCTCCGAGAATCACATACACGAACGCTCTTCCCATCTCGCTTAGTTTCTCGTGAAAATCCTAAACATCTACGTATATGTATTCTAGTGAATGGATTTTGTTTTTTAAAAATAATTTTCCCGATAAAATAATTTTTTGAGGCACACAGAATAGGAATTTTTTTTTCTGTTATCGGATCTTTCCCACCAGTGAATGAAACTCGACGATTGCAGTGTTCATTTACAATTGTACCCCTCTTTGACTTCTTTACTAACGAACGGTGGATGTTAATGTTAAACAAGCGATTACACAAGATCTCGACCGTCCATTTCTGGAGAAAGTTGTCACAGTGGGACCCAGTTTAGCTCTTTGCTTGCACGACTTGCTTGGCCCATCATCATTGGTAAAATGATAATAATATAACAAATATCAGATCGTCAGAATGAAATCTGATAATATGTTGAACAGATTAATACAAGTAATATATAGATGCATGCATCAAAGTTATCCACATCCACCTCCAAATCCCAACTATGCACATAGTTTTTATTCTCTTATAAATCACAAAATCACAAACTGTAGACTTGGAGATGTAAACAAAACAAAAAAAAAAAACAAAAACATGTGACGAATGATAGTTAGCCGCGTGGCAAGACCATGAGGTAGTTGGTATTGGGAAGTGTGGTCGAGATGAGGATATGATGCCCCGAGAATTCAATCCAAAGCGTTAAAAGCGAATTTTTTATATATGTCGCAAGACAAAACCAAACTTTTATCTTAGACTTGTTGGTTGGAGTTTTTTTTTTTTTTTTTTTGTGTTATTGTTGGTTGGAGTTTTTCCATTTCTCTGCCAAGTGGCTCTATACAGGTAACTAACTATTCTCTATTTTATCGAACTCTCTCCGTTTTCGCTAGAAAAAAAAATTCTTATTTTTTTTTGTTTCATAAACATAATAGTTTTTACTTTTATAGACTTTCTTATTAACAACAAGGCATTTATGTATTTATTTCTTAGAACACGTTAATGTAAGTTTTAAGCTTTTTATGGTGATGAGATTGTGTTGACTATTGAGTGCTAAGTATGTTACAAAGACGAAGAAACTAAAAATCCTCTGGTTCAGAACATAAAAATAAATGCTCAATCGGGCTTACCCTTTGGGTTCTTCTGCCAATATATATATGGGCCTTCTCTCACATGCAGGCCGTAAATGTAAAAGACACAGCACAGTGTAAACAACCAACAAAATATATAGTTTGTTTCGGTTGTGATAAAACAAACATAAACGCCTTAAGTGATAAAACAATCCAAATTTCCACAGATTTCAAAAATTATTTTAGGTGTTGGAGGGTTTGCCAAATTAAAAAAAAAAAAAAACATCATTGGTAATTTGGTATATATATAGAGAAGGGCCGAACATCTCCTAGATAAAAGTCTTGAGACAACTGACAGTCGTATGAACCAATTTAATTGTCTTTTCTATGTAAATGATTTAATCATTAATTACAGCTTATTTAACTAACAGCCCGGTAATAATCAAAATCTTGTTACGCAGATGAGCAGCCGACTTCAACATTAACTGAGGATAAAGAAAGTTAAAATATGTCAAACTCATCAACACGGGAAGAAAATGGTTTATGCTATATATAGAAAGTACAGCTAAGGCATAAGGCTAGAACAATGCACAAGCAAATAAATGAACGAAACAAAAGAGAGGATAAAAAACCCAATTCCTCCACGTTTATTTATGTGTAAATTATCAACCACTTGTATATATGTTTGTGACCGACCTGCCATGTGATTTTTCCTTTATAATTCACATGGGAAGTCGACAATTCCCACATGATAAACACGTTGGCGTAATAAAATAAATAAACATGCGGCCCAATTCCATATTAATTCTGGTTATAAAATATAATATAAGCATGTAATCTGGATATAATTAAGATACTATAGATTAGTCTGAGATGTATATTTTAATATATTTTGTTTGATAAATATTGAAAACTCCAGAATCTGGTTCATAAGTTTTTTTTTTGTCCGGATCAACCATTGATAATACCACATTTAAGACGTACATATATAACTAGTGATTTTGGAAACTCCCAGGTCCCAAGTACTACTAGACCACTTCTCACTTGGTTTTATATTGAAATCTAAAAATAAGAACGAGAAGAAAAAAAACTCATTTCAAAATACTTGTTAAAAAATTCTTACATCAAAAAGTAAGACACAAAATATATAATAGCTATTGAGGCTGAAAGCAGTTGAGGTTATATGCATAAATTCGTCTATTGTGTACTTTATTATATGACATTTAATAAATATGATATTTGATCTAAAAACCAATTTATGTTTTTAGACATAAATATCTAATTAGATCATGCATATTTCAAAAATTCAATCTTTAAATATTCCCGGAGCAAGTGATCGCTTAAACATGTATGTCTCTCATTTATGTTTATTCTAGTTACAAACTACAAACATAAATTATAAACTTTTCTCAAAAAATAAACATAAATGAAAAATGTTTTGTTATAGAAAAATAGTTTAGAATTCGAATGACGACGTAAAGACCAGACGGTCCAGACCGGAAAAGATAATGCATGCATTGGACCATTGGTTCGTTCCTTGCTACAATGCACTATTGTTTGTTCCGTTTCCTTTTTTACACCGCCGCAATATAGATCTCAAGGAGTATAAAACATGAAAATAGTTTTTTCATTTTTATATATTAAAAATCTACCCTAAAAAATGAAGACGCTACAAGACTACAAGTTATAAGTGTATTCGCGCTCTTTTTAAAATTATATATATATATATATATATATATCAAATTCAAATTCAAAATATATCAATTATATATATATATATATATACATTGCCCGTCAAAAATGAAATATCAATTATTCCTATTCTAGCCAATGCATAGAGAAGAGGAAGTGGAGTTTGGATTTATCCTCTACACATGCTTCGTTTGGACAAAATGTGTCGCTGGCATAGGACTTAAAGCTAAGAAGTTCGGTAAAGCTTAAATGCTTTTGCCGTCTTGCTATAGTGCTTACACTCCCCCACCTAACATCATGTCTAACAACCAATTACTCATTTTATGTTGATAATAAACCTATAAATATAAAACACATATAATTCCATGAATAATATATCTCAGATAGTCGACTCATATTGGCTTTTATATATATATAATTGCGGCTCAGTTACTGATTACGTTCCTAGCTCATCGTATCTTATTTTTTGTCCCATGTTGGTATATATCTATTTTAGGTGTAAATATTTATTGTTTTGAATCAGGATGAACAATAAAAAGAAGAATAAATTGTTCCTTTTTCCTTTTTTTCTTAAAAAACAAATCGATATCTTCGCCTTAAAGGTTGTGGTTTTGGCTAGTGGAGTTAGGCTCACGTTGGGTTCTACATGTTGAATGGCGATGCACAAAAATGGATAAAAATTGCTGAATAAAGGCAAGGACAACTGTACCGAAAGCTATCTATTTTTAGCCCTCATCTGACACGTGTTTTATTATAATTGGTGAGATTAGGTTCTGTATGTTTATGTCATGTGATATGTATATAAATCGATCCACATGTATATGTATACACACGCAACTCATGTGTTCGTGAGTGCATATATATGGACGAAGAATCAGTTCGTCTCGATTACCATACGCTTAAAATAATTATTCTGCTCTGTTTAAATTTTTATTTTCTTACGTCTTCCGATGTTTTAACATTACAGGAAGAAAAGTTGTTTATAAACTGTACGTATATATGTTAACTTAGATTCAAATGTGCTTAAATCAATTCGTCAATGAGTAGTTGTATGTTCTATAACGTTAAGTATGCGGGTAAAAGGTTTTGTTTAACAGAACTACCACACTATTATAGTACTGTATATGTTTGGGATGGTAATTAGGGGGAAAAATCCCTTTCAAAAAGGTACATTTATACCATGATTGACGCAATCATTTGCAAATCCAGTGGATCACATAACTCTTAGAATACGCATATACAACCATTATATATGTCAACGGGATCAATTACTTTCTCAGTTCATGAATATTGATCATGTTAATTATTATTTTTATTTTTGGTAGGAAATGTGATATGTTTTGTTAGCTTTTAGACAATTGCAACAGAATTTCCAAACTCCCCCTATATAATTTTTAATTGCTTTTTGGAAAGATTATTCTAAAGCACAATAAAAAAATAATAACAAATGGATTTTAAGGATAGTTAGACGTTTTCAATGTTGGTTAATGTGTAAAAGCTACAATAATGTATTAATGTATATCGGTATGGAACAGAGGGAAATTATAAACAAACGTTATATAAAAAATAAATTAATCATGTGTAAAAATTAAGTAGCTAGGTTCTCATATATACAATCTTAAGATAAATTATTTTATTCCTACGAATAAAAAATCAGAAGAATAAGTCACCCATTTCAGTTTTATTTATGTATAACATCAAACGGGGTGCAATAAAGTTCAAAACATATACCATCCAAGGATTTAGATAATTACCACCATATATAAAATTTATCCCAAAACCTCTAAACAACGAGGCAAAAACCATATACATGTCACGTACGAGTCATATTACTCCTAAAAATCACAAATCTCAAAATAATATATATTTCATATATTGTTTTCCGATATGGATCGAGACTATAATTGATAAATCAATTACCATTGAGTAGATGCATCGATGACCAAATATCATCCATGCCCCAATAGTTTTCACCGGTTTGATCATCAACGGTCATCGGTACCGAATAATCCGCTGTTGCAGTTGCCCCTGCCGTGGAATAATTTCCCGCTGAATAGTTACCGTAGTTGAATTCCATATTGGTATGTTGATACGACGTTGTTGTAGGAGAATAAGTCTCCATCGCTTGATCTTGTGTACAAAAGACATTATGGCTCGTTGTGCTTGCAGCTTGATCGTTGATTTCTGAGCTCTGATGAGATCCAACGGATGACGTCGTTGTTGTTGTTACATCGGTTTGTTTGATGTATTTTTGGATTCTTGTCCTCCAAAAGTTTTTGATCTCGTTGTCGGTTCTTCCTGGAAGGTGTTTAGCAATTTTTGACCACCTGTTCATATAATTTAGAGTCAATTAATTAATGACATAACTATATAGATTATTAATATAAGATTTGATGAGCTAATGATTGTGTGGGGTTAGAAATCTAATCCGTGACTGCATCGGACCAAGTACGTTAAGATGAATCCAAAACATTAAGGTTTGCGTCTATTTCAATTATGCTTTTCCTTTTTGTCACTAGACTTTTTACTTTTGTACTATATATTATTGCATGTACTATGTTTGGATCTTTGTAAAAAAAAACAGTTCTTAATAATTTTGTTGTGCTAATAAGCCTTACAAAGTTTATTGCTTATTCTTTAGTTAAAAGCGTTACTTTTTTGTTTGTTTATTAAAAGGATTTGTAAAGCGGAATTTTATGATTTAGTAAATGCTTCCTATCAAAAAATTTTTTTTTTAAGATATCAGAAAGGTGAAACTAGTTTAAAACCAGGAAAAAGGTTATAAAGAAAAAAAAGTAAAACTCTAATTCAAGAATTATGAAGATTTAAAGTGTAAATATCATTTGGCTGCTAAAGTCCTTTTTTGAAAGATTTTGACAGGTATGATAAGGTCTTGACGGCTTGACCTAGACCTAATAACCTATTACACTTTTCCGTAATTAGTATACACAAAAGGAGTTAACTGTAGATAAAATGATAACTTAATCGCACTTACTTGAAAAATGCGATACTTTTTATTGAATTACAGAATCATGTACCTTGTAATCTTGGGCCATATTTTCCAGCTCTTTGCATATAAAACAAATAAAAATTGAAATTCGGATAAAACAAAACAGACAAGGAAATAAATAAAGGCGCGTACATATTTCAGAAACGTGGGAAATCACTTGATAATTTCGAGAGACTTATATTCCTTTATAAATCATTAAGAAAAATATCTGGAAAAATGTAGCCACGAGTTTCGATTAAAATAGGCACGAGGTTTTCATGTTGTTCTTTATAAAAAGCACGAGGTTTAATGTTAGTGGCTAGAAAATTTCGACACGTGCAAATACCTCAGAACTAACGGCTAAGAACAAACTTCGATCAAAGGGTGTCACAATGGAATTAAACGCTTTTTTGATTTAGTCACCAAATGTGTTGCTTTATTGTCTTTTCAAAGATCTACGTGGCATATAGCCTCAAGAGTATATAAAGGATTCAATATTCGAAGATTTTGCCTTTGTTCTTTAATTCTTTCGTTACACATAGTGTATGTGTATCTATGTCCGTGTCTACATTCATTTATGTAAATTGAAACTAACCTATTTCCCCACTTAGCATGAAGTTCCATGATGATAAGTTGCTCCTCCGGCGTGATGTTTCCCCGTCGTACGTCCGGGCGGAGATAGTTCAGCCACCGGAGCCGGCAACTTTTTCCGGTTCGTTTTAGACCTATACATTCATATAATCAATCATCACAATCAATAATTAACTCGTACGTATGTGGATATCCCCATAATTGTAATTAGCACATATGTGTATATATATTATAATCATGCATGCTTATCAAAACAAAGTTATAGATTTTTTATCATCTTACATACTTTTGTTTTATCATTCCATTGTAAGATTAACGTCTTTGATTTTTTTTTTTTTGGATTTAGAAATATTCTTTATCAACAAACGAATAAAAGAAATCATTACTCGTTTCTTATCTATATAAAATGAAATAATAGATAATAAAAATATAATATCGATTAATATGTGTATATATATATATATATTTATGGAAGAGACGACAGAAAGAAAAATATATGAGGATACCTTTGCATGTTAAGACAAAACCCTAGTTCATTATATTAACATATATACAACGTAAGAGATATATATATATATATATGTGTGTGTATACATGTTATTGTGCTTAAATATAAGTGAAATCTTGATTTTAAAAAAGATTAAATGAACCTGCAGATTTCGCGAGAGAGTTCCAAACGCCATCTCCGTGGTTTGCAATATAGTTGATGAGAATAAGATCTTCTTCCATCGTCCATGGTCCTTTTCTCACCTCCGCTTCACTTGATGATCCCGAACCTCCACTACTTATTCCTCCTCGTTTCTCCATTTTATTCTTATTTATTTAACTATCAGCACGATCTAGTTTTATATAATTTATATCTAGAGAGAGGAATATGAAAGATGAGAGTGTAAGAGAGAAGGTTGAGGTGAGTTGATATTGAAGGTTGTGGAAGGTGAGCTACTGCTTTTATAGAGACTAAATTCACCGCGTGATTAGCAACCCTTAATCCAAATTCTTAATTAATTATGTATTACATTAGCTTAATTTTTTCAATTAATCACAATTTTTTTTCTTTCATTTTTTGGATTCATTTTATATTAATAAGTACATGGGACTATATATAATACATTAAATTACCTAACCATATACAATAACATATATAGTTTCATATCATCCATATGTCCATATGTATATATATAGGCTAAAGAGTGAAGAAATTGAAGTCTTTGATGCATTCATGCATGGATGATGTAAATATATATACATGCATGCATTGCTAATTTAGTTTCACATACATAAGCATGCTTCTTTATGTGTAGAAAGTATACCAACTCATATTGTTTTCCATTTAACCGTGTATAAAGTTATTCATTTAGGAGTGTAACGTGTTTATGTGTTGTATGTGTATGTATAAAACGCTAGTATTAGGTTCCATTGTAATTAAAACCAAAGACACATCAATGTGTTAAGAGTACTTAAGAACAAAGCCAATCAACAAACGATGACGAAAATTCAGTAGTATCATCTTTTTGGTTTAGAGTAGCAGCCGATTTCTACAATACACAATTTTTCTGATACTACGAAACAAGTACTTACCGGCAGCACATTTTACTTTGGATTGAGATATATGTGATCACCTAATAATATAACAAACTTACAGTACCAAAATAATATAAATTATTCTAAAAATACTTGTTTGTCTTAGCGATATTAAAACACTAGATTTGAATACTCCTTTTTAATTTAAGAATTGTATTCTACTATTCTCTCAGTAGATATGAGTTTTTAGTCATTTTGATTTAAATTTCTGTTAGTAGTGGAACATTTTAATATGATTGTTATTTTGGAAACCAAAACTTATTTGAAATTTTGTGAAAGGTATAGTTTAAAATTTTGTGAAATTTATCGTTTATTTTTAAACGGCTGTCTGTAAGTTGAAAAAAAGAGAAGATTTTATTTATAATTTTTTTTTAAAGAAAACAGTAAGCGCATAGAACAAATATCATCGCTTTATTTGTCAAAATGATAATCTTGATATATGCTCAGTTTTCTAATTTTATATGTACATTAGTATGATTTGGTCTATAGGTATAAAACGAATTATTTACCAACCAAACGCTTAATTTTGAATCGGTTTCGCAGTTTTGGTTTGCATCAGTTTACTTCCCGGCTTAAAGGATCCGAAGACTTCACGAATAGACTTGTATGCCGTTCCATTCTAGACTTTTATGTCAGTCTATTCCTCCCCGTAGCGTAGCGAGTACGCACAACCCTTGATGTTCTATATTATCGTCACAGGACTCCTTGTCGTTTTTCTAAGTCAACATCAATATTGTCCGTACCTTCAAATCCCCCTTGACCAAATATTATTTGGTGGTAATCGTGGTATATCTCGGTAAATTAATTGGCAGAACAAATTCACTATGTACTTCCACAACTCTATATGCTTTTGTAGAGGTACTCTCATAAGGAATTAGATAAAGTAAATTAGTAGATCACATTTAATTGATCATGACGCTAATTAACCTTTTTGTTTTGTTTTGATAATAACGCTACTTTACTTAATCAGCTAGATGTAACTGATCCCATACCCTATTAGTAAACAAACTATGATCAGGACAAAGAAAGTACAAAGATGGAGACACAAGAAGATCTGGACCCTCTAAAAGTTAACTCACTCATATCCCTAACCAAATTAATTAAAATCCACTTATCTTAAAAGTGACAAGTGACTAACTCCTAACTTAATAAAAACCTTTAACATCCAAATTAATCAATTGAAATACCCTTCACACTTCAGTTAGCCAATACTTGCTTTTGTTGCCACATCCATGCTCTTTTTTGCGCGATAACATGCTTTTATCTACTTTTTTAATATAAAAAAAGTTGTGATTAGATGGACTTTGACGTAGCCTGTATAGATCTGCCAACGTTATTGTTTTAGACTTCGATTTCAATTGCACTTTCTTTATTTGTTTCAGCTGCTTATGTTGTGGGTTTATTTGAAAAAATAAAGTACACAAAACGTAAACACAAACAATGATGTGTTTTTTTTTCTTTTTTTTTTCTTGTAACAATACAAACAACGATGTTTGGAAGTATAATTGATATGCTTTCGTGTGGTTTTATTTTATTTTTACGTTTACTTAAATGAAAGTTTTAATATGTATACAGTATGTGAAATTCTGTTTACAACATGAATGACCCGCTTGCGCTTTGATACCCAACTCCAAATCGGTACATATTTAACAATTAACATTTGAGAAGGTAAATGATTTATTGAGCTAATTCACAATATTTTTAAACGAAAAACTAATAAATAAATCCTTTAGATTTACAAGAGTGATCGAAACCTCCTCGTTAAAGCATAGTTAAAGAATTTCTATATTTGAAAGGGCACTTGATTTGGCGTATCATCCCAAAGTTTAAGTACTCTTAAGCCATTTTTAAGAAAACCCTTTTTGTGTGGCTGCAATTTAATTAGGTGGAAACGACTCTTTACTTAATTACTTCCCTCCTAAGCGCGTCGTATGCACTTCTCTACTGTCAAGTGTCAACTATTCACGACAAATCAGTTTTTTCGTTTCTATTGAAAAAGTCTATGTTAATTGTCTTTGAATAACAATAAAATAAAAATGTCCTTGCAGTTTTAAATTTAACTATACATTGGTATTATCACTTGTGATTATTTTAGTACTAGACAAGTAAACAACTATAAAATTAAAATATCTATAATTATGTATAAACAAATGATTAAAGTCTAGATATTCTATAAAAATGAATAGTGAAAACGAATTAGAATTCTCCAAACAAAGAAAATAAATTACAGATATGGACCAGATAAATCAAATAGAAATTTATATACTTTTTTTGAGTCTCATATTTATATAGGTAAGAGATTATAGGAAGAGATTTTTATTCTAAAACATCTTCTTTTTATATAAGATTAATGACTGGTTTAGTAGCCACCGGCGGTGTAACTACGGATTTCAAATCCTGATTGTAAATTAGCGCATCATCCTTCCAACATTGATTAATTTTGGGGTTCAAAGACATATAAATATTTTGGTGGCTAAGTGAATTAAATGTTTTAAAAAACATATTTTTAGTCCACAGTGAATTACATTCGTTGTATAATTGTATTACGACTTTTTATTGCAATGATTTTTCAGTTATTAACTTTTTACAGTGCTGAATGTCGATAATGTAATCGTTGTTTTTTTTTTTTTTACAGAAAGAATAAGTGTTTATCGTACACGCAAGGAAGCGCGTGAAGAAGAGGAATCTTAAAACAAGCAGAAACTGAAAACGTGGACTCATCTAACCTTCACAATAACCAAATGTTTAAAAAGGGCAAAAGCGTATTGCTTTATGTTATGGAAGATTTAATGGAAAGCCACATAAGTAAGGAAAAAACAAAGCTTATGGGGTTTAATGGCAGTGTCAAGTGGCTTAAGCTTCATTTATATGAGTGGCTATAACAGTGACAAGCATAAAATCACCAATTAGATGTGCGTGGGGACCTTAAGAGATGAAGGAACACACGCATGTGGATATTTGATCCCAACAACTAATTTTCATTAACAAAAGAAATACAACAACTAATTAAGTGTTTTTTTCTTCTCTGAATCCATCCTACAAGTTCTTTTTCTTTATTTACGAGTGAATTAGATTATAAATATTTAGGTAAATGATAATTGCTAGAGTTGTTATTAGAAAATAGTAAAAAAAAATGTTGAAATTTATTCTATGTAGTATGTACTGTAGATTACAATATTATAAATTTGGTAGCATATACTATCACGAAAATTTTGTGATAAAGTAGCGGGTTTACGGATAAGGCAGGCCAAGAATCCAATAAGATGTTGCATGTAAATCAAGTACAACCACAAGTTCCAACTTGGCCGATTGTTTTTATTTTATTGCATTGGACCCATCTTAATTAAATCTTAAATTCGGATCCAACGGGTTGACACACGAATATTAAACTGTTCTGGTTTCACAGCTATAACTTGTTCGATGTGTGTAAGAGAGAGATGCGGACGCAAAGGTAATTTCCAATCTAGGGTTTCTCATTTAGCACCTCCATTACCTCGTCCTCTGTTTTCGTCTTCTTCTTGTCATACATACAATTACGTATAGTTACATTTATAATATAATAAATAGAAAATAATTCACATTTACGGTTATGACTTAAACGACAAACTCATCATATATATCATTCTACAACTATATCATATATTATCTATAATAAAAAAATTTCTTCAAATATGTATATTGATAAAAAAATAATTTGAGCCTGCGAGTTAAAGTCTAGTTAACATTGAACATTACTATTTCCCGTCGATAAACGCAAATCTTTTTTTTTTTTATCTCCATAGAGTTGAGATAAATTAGATTTCTTTGTTCTTTGTTTCGCAAAACATTTCGATCTTGATATTTAATTTCTTTTAAATTTTGTTTTTCTATACTTTGTAAAACATAAGCGGAAGCGGAAAAAATGCTGAATGTGATCGCGAACATACAAACAATTGATAATCTATATGTAAAAGCAAACAAAAACACAGTCAATGCCAAGAAGAAGAAAGAATAGAAGCAGATAACAAGCCTTGTCACCAATGTTGTTGTCGTATATTGGCTTACGGTTCCGGTTTACGGTTTCAATCGTGTAATTTGGTTTAGTGCTTCCGACCAGGCGCATTGGGTTATTATGGTTTGGTTTATTTCCCGTTAAGTAATATTGTATTAGAAAAACAAACAACCAAAAATATAAATACAGTTTGAAAAGGTTAAAAAAAAATGTTGTTGTTGTAAAGCCGGTCGAGACTCGAGACCCTTATAGAATAGGCCTTCGTCGGAAGTGGCACAAGTGCTTTGAATGTACTTGTTTAGATGATGACCGAGAGTGTATAAATTTTAAATTCAAGTTTTATGTTTTTTATGATTCCGATTGATGAGTGTACAATTTCAAATTCAAGTTATATAATTCTATATAATTCTAAATTCTATGGGTCCCTATAAATCTATTTTCTTCTATCGGAATCATAATAGAATTGTATTGACCTTAGAAGATGAGGTTTATTTCAAAAGGACCCAAACTTTTCTAAACCTTCCTAGTGATGAAGAGGGTTCGAAGAACTGGTGGACTGCGTGTTGTTTTTTATGGTAAAGAGATGAAAAGTAACAAACATGCCGTTTTTCGGCCAAGTTTTATGCTGGATCTAAGGCCTCTTTCCGTACAAGTGGACATCATGCAGAGGCCCACAAAATTTCAAACCTCAGGCCATGCCACACGCCAAAGGTACTTTCCGGTCTGATTCCTTGTTGAGATCAATATGTTTTTTTTATTCACTTATTAAATATAATCAATTAATTTTCACTTAGTTAGTTAGTTGTCTTTGTATTTATTGTGGAAATTTATAATTGATTGATTGTGTCGTAAAAGAGTTAAAAAGAAAGTTGAAAAAAGAAAAGTTTGTTTAACGGGATTAATGGTTAAAGAGAAAAAGAATTAAAGCAATGCAACTTTGGTAGCGTGTCTGTTTTGGGTATAATTTCATTGGTTCAAATCCGATCATCGTTGTTCTTATGGCATTGAGTATTAATTATTCAGTTACAAAATCGAAATTTCTTATACACTGTTGTCATTTTAGCTTCTACTGTGTGTGTGTGTCTGTGTGTTTCCATGCTGTAATCTTCAACTTTAGAGGAATTTGAAGTTATCTCCATATATAGAGATCCTATTTTATAAATAATATAAATTTTTATGTAAAACTATGGACTTTTTATAGATACCTTGAATTTCTATTAAAAAATATGTTCTTTTCCTTAAAATTTATCGTTTTGCATCATCATTCATCCGTTTTTTAGATATTATTTCTTTCCAAGAACTGTATGGTAATAAAAATGAGTACTTATTATTATTCTACCATTGGATATGACATATAATATCTAGATATGTGGCTTTATATGCTATAAAATTGTCTATGGCAGAAACATAAATGAAAAAATCTATAATAAAGGAAAAATAAGTATCACTAAACTTGTCTATGGCGGAAAAACAAATATAAAGGAAAAATAAGTATCGATTCTCCATGAGGATCACACAATTTCATTTTAATGCAAGTTTGTGATGTTAATAAAAAAAAAGGAAAAATAAGTATCACTTACAATACAACAAACAAAAGTTAAGTATTAATGTAAATTATTAGAAATTTGGCTGTAGATGATATTCATTTTCAAACATTAAACTTTAACGTTTTTTAAGAAATTCAAAATGATAATAAATAATAAAATGTAAATTATCAAAAAACTAAATTTTGTGGATGATATATGTGTATAAAAATATTAGATGTTTTATCATCTTTGAAGTTCTTGGTCAATGTTTTAGAGTTGAGCCCTGTGGGACCTACTCCGTTTACAGAAAGAAATTGTGGACTCAATGTTTTAGAGTTGAGCCTTGTGGGACCTACTCCGTTTACAGAAAGAAATTGTGGACCCCATGCACTATTTCGAACCGTTAGATTGACATTACAACACCAAAAAGATGATCACACGGCTGGAAAAAACGATGCTGCTTTCATGTTCAACACGTGTCCAAACGTGCTCGAGAATTTTTTTCGCAAGCATTAGAAAGGTACAAACTACCTTATAACGACTTCATGATTATTTCATGACAAGATTTAATTACTACTTTACCCTTGGACTAGCAGATTTTCTTTTGGAAATATTTTTCTTATTCTAAAACAAGTAACCAAAGGCTAGATTTTTGCCAACTCATCACTCTTCACAATTGCTCTGCTCCTATTTATAAACTCTTAATATTTTACCATTAGCTTTACTTCTCCCAGCTTTTCCTCTTCCTTAATTTAATTGTCAAGCTTGAATTTCATTTCAGCTATCAATTTGATTTCTTCAGCATCCTTTCTTTGCAGTGTAGTTAACTGCTCTTTTCTAAATCTCTATGTTCTTCACCAACTCGATCATTTCTTAAAATCTAGTGTTTCTTCTTTCCTTTTCGTAGTTTTTTGTTACTCTATCTTCTATTTTCCGTTTGCATTCTTTGCTTTTTTTTTTCATCGTATGGAGTTCGAGTCAGTGATTAAAATGCATTATCCATATCTCGCAGCCGTTATCTACGATGATAATCTCACCTTAAAAGATTTCCATTCATCTCTTACCGATGATGTTTCATGTATACAAAATATGCATCATAAACGTAGCCAGGTTAATTTCGATAGGTCACATCTCCCATCGACCATAAACTCCTCTCCTGATATTTGTCACAAAAACCAAACATCGAAGATCTCAAACACAACCTCCGATCATAATACTCTAAATCTAAATATTGTTCCTATTCACTTTGATATGCAGCCTCAAACATACGAAATACCCTCAAAAGATACTTTTAGAGGCATCATTCCATCTCCATGCACCGAGGCTTTTGAGGCATATCTTCATGGCATATCCAACGACCAAGATCTCTTCGATATGGCCTATAGCACCTCACTAGGTGTTGAACCCAAGGATGTACCCAACGTTTCACATGTCCAACGTGAAAATACTATGTGGGAAAATAATCAAAACCAAGGACTCGTCTTTGGGACCGAGGCAATCTTCAATCTAGCCATGGTTGACTCTAACCTATACGATGCGGCTAAATCAATGGGTATCTCGAGCGCAAACGTTGATCCCATCATGAATCGACGTCATCATAATCAAATATTGATCAAAACCGATCAGATCAAGAAGCACAAGAGATTTCAGATGAGGAGAGTATGTAAACCCACGAAAAAAGCTAGCATCATCAAAGGTCAGTGGACTTCCGAAGAAGACAGGTAAATTCCCTTTTTTTTTTTTTTTGGAATTCTCATTGATGTTTTTGATTATATGGTATGCTTGTTATTTCTTAAAAAAGAGTAATTTACTACACAAGATTTTTTGATGATTCTACCTATATTTAGGCTATTGGTGCAATTAGTGGAGCGTCATGGGACTAAAAAATGGTCACAGATTGCTAAGATGCTTCATGGAAGAGTTGGAAAACAGTGCAGAGAAAGGTGGCATAATCATCTCCGTCCTGATATCAAGGTTTTTTTTTTTACCTTACCCTCTTGTTTTTTTTTTTTGTTTTCATATTTATATATATGATACAATGAATCATACATATATCATTATATCATTATGTATATATGGTCGTCAGTGTGTGTTTACAGTAAGAGAAGCATACATATATCATTATACCTATGTTTAGATGTCCATGACACATCAACGATGTGTTCATTATGTCACTTCAATTGACATCGTATCATGATATGGATATATAAGCAAATATAACTACACGCTTTCAATTTATTTTTATGATTTACACATAAACTAAATATATAATTGTTAGAAACTAAATATCCAATTGAATGTGTTTATGTTGATTTTTTTTTTTGGGTGATGAGACTTTAATTTAAAATACTGATTCTATTATATATATTATATTAAAAATTGGTATACAATTACAACTTATTTTTCCACAAAGAAAACAAAATATCATACTCTGTTTGTTCAGATTCATAGAGAAAGTTCTAAAAAAAAATTAAACAAACTTTTTTCACATTTGTCAATATGTCTACGGTCCTAACTCATGCATGAATACTTTAAACTTTTGTTTGTATATACTTATATGTCTATGACATTTTAATTAATGCATTTCGTCTTGTTGTTGTGGACAAATAGGTCACAATTGGTAAGCATTCAAACTAAAGACAATTTCACGTAGATTCTCTCGTAACAACGTAACAGACAGAGACAAATAATAAAAATAAGTAATATGTTTATATGTTACAGAAAGATGGTTGGAGTGAAGAAGAGGATAGGATACTAATTGAAGCCCACAAGGAGATCGGGAACAGATGGGCTGAGATCGCTAGAAAACTCCCTGGACGCACTGAAAACACAATCAAGAACCATTGGAACGCGACTAAACGCCGACAACACTCGAGGAGGAGTAAAGGAAAAGACGAGATCTCCCTTGCACTTGGCAGCAACACTCTTCAGAATTACATCAGATCTGTTACTTACAACGATGAGCATACTCTCATGGCTGCAAACTCTGACGCAAACGAAAACGTCGGTTCAAGAAACATGAGAGGTAAAGGTAAAGCTGTAATCGCTGCAGTCTCTGAGTACGGAGAGAACAGTGATGAGAATGATTGCAAGTATATCGTTGATGGTGTGATGAACTTGGATTTAGACGATGGAAGAAAGGAGAAAACGGCGTCGTTGGCAGTTGGGTCAGGGTCAACGTCTACTTCTGGTTCGACGTCTGGATCAGGAAGTGGTGTAACCGTGGAGCTTGATGAACCCATGACAGATAGCTGGATGGTGATGCATGGGTGCGATGAAGTTATGATGAATGAGATTGCTCTGCTTGAGATGATTGCTCATGGCCGTCTTTAGGTCGCAATTTAATCAAGCCAAACTTGATTATATCTTTAATATATAAAACTATGCTTTATGTGAAATCAAATTTGTGCTTTTAATTGACATGTAATATATATTGTGGTTTAATGAATGCTTTTTTTCCCGGTCTCTCGGTTTTTTTTCTTGTTCCTTTTCGGAAAACCTCTCGTTTAACAAAGAATCTATAGATAGTCAATTTTCCGTCGTGTGATTCCACAAGTCCACAGCAAATGCACTTAATCACTATTCAATAATTGTGTATCTAGCAGGAGGGTACTAGTGTACCATCGAAATAAAAGTAATTTGCTTACAAATCACAGTTAGAGTTTTGTCAAAATGTTGGCAACGAACTGGCTGTAGACTGTAGTGTTTGTATATTTCTTTCCCCTTTGGTGAACAGAAATCATGTTCTTTGCTTTAAGTACGTAATATTTGGTATCCATATTCATTAACGATCTTTTGAATTAATTTCATAGCAAATCGAACTTTTCCAATCAAAGTTATAAAATAAAACGCTTCGTAAGAATTTTATGTCGGACTAAAAAAAAATCTTGCTATTCCTCAAAGAATAAAAAAAACATTATAGGTGTTCACCATAAATAATAGAAAATATATATGGCCTTGTAGATAGGTACGTATACCTTTTTCCATTTTGAGAGGTTTTTTGCCTATTTACAGAACGCACGAGACGAACGACGCCGTTTCAATGCAACAAACGGAGGAGGTCCCACCTGTTCCTCTCTATCCACCCTGTCTTGGTCTCCGACTTCTCGGTTTCTGTGGCTCACCGCCGCCATTCGGATGCTTCTCGGATTTATACGAATCCCTTAGCTTCCGAAATTTCTATTTGACTTCTCCATCACAATTTCACGATTACTGTAGAAAGAAGAAACTTCTACATTTCTTCTTACATTTCGTAAGTATTAAGAACACCATCAGTTTTGGCTTCTTCTGGAGAATTTATGTATAGATTTTTTTTTTTTTTTTTGACATCTTCATATATAGATAATATAGCACAATTCCTGAAAAAAAATTTCGAAGTCTCGTCTTCTTCAGACTCGGATTACAAATCTGAATTATTATTATCTCTGTCTCTGTAGGTGAATCGATAAGCTACTTGTATTCCCTCTCATTTCGATCTGGTTTCTCTACCCGGCGTTGATCCATTGGGTTTCGGATCTGAAGATCCGAATATTCAGTACGGATCAACTGTTTATAGGAAGAAGAAGAATGAAATCCCAGGGTGTTTCGGCTTTTACCAGCTTCGATTACTGGTTTAATTGGAGAGTGTTTCTCTGTGCGGTTTGGGTGTTGACTCCCATGATTGTTGCTTTGTTCGTCATATGGAAGTACGAAGATAGCTCAGTACAAAACCATCGACGAATTGATAATGACAATGGTGATAGTGAACGCAATGATGATGAGCTATGCATTGATGATGTTTGGAGACCTTGTTTTAAACGAATCCATCCCGGTTGGTTACTGGGTTTCCGGGTTCTCGCCTTCTGCTTTCTTCTAGCGAGCAACATTGCCCGGCTCGCTTTTCGTGGATGGCGTATTTACTACTATTACACTCAGTAAGCTCTTCAAAATCTCATTTTACTGTGTAAAAATCTTCATTTTAGGGGTTTGTTCAGGATCACTGATGCTTTGAGGCACTGAAGTTGTTTCCATATTCTTGATACGATTGAGACTTGTTTGATTCGGTGTTGTCTTGGTTTCTTGATAGGTGGACATTCACGTTGATAGCAATCTACTTTGGGGTATATTTTGATTTCAATGTTGTGAATATATGTTATGTTTTGTGTTCAGATAGTGATGATGAATGTGTTTATTTGGGTATGTTCTGTAGATGGGATCACTGCTTTCCATTTATGGGTGTTTTCAACACAAAAAGCAACTGAGCACGAGATTAACGGCTGATCAAGTAGGAAATGATGCAGAGAACGGATTTCGTTTGCCCCTTATAAATGGGGAGAACGTGGTTTTTCTCGAGAAGGGAAAAACTTTGGACTCAAAGGCACTACAGTCCTGTGTCCATGTCTTGCAGATTATATTTCAGGTAGACACAAATCCTTTTGATATGAATATAATTAGTAACTTTTAGATCTCTGAGTATAGCATCGTGTAGATTATCTGTGATGATCAATGATGTTGTTTTGGCATTTGTGCGTTTTGGTTTTGTTGAAAAACAGATGAGTGCTGGAGCGGCTGTGCTTACAGACAGTATATATTGGACCGTGATTTTCCCGTTTCTGTCTTTACAGGACTATGAGATGAGTTTCGTAAGTTTCGCGCCATTTCCTCAAGAATTTTCCTTACCATATACACTGTACTAGTAAAAGCTGGTGCATGGCACTTTCTATGTTGCATAAGTTCTGTTACTTGGAGTTTTATACTTGCCTTGAATTTATTTGAATCAACCTTGACCGGCTTGAAAACTCGATCTCAACATTTCGACTGCAAATTGTGTTTTCAGATGACCGTGAATTTGCATACGAGCAACCTCATTTTGCTGCTTTGTGACACAACTCTTAACCGTCTGGTAAACACTCCTTTTCTCTTCCGCATTTAAGATGTGACCAAGCGTTTTTTTTTTACATTAATGTATCAACGTGAGTTTTTTTTGGTGTTACTCGCAGAGATTTCCCTTGTTCAGGTTCTCTTACTTCATCTTGTGGACAGGAAGTTTCGTTATCTTCCAATGGATTCTCCATGTTTTTGTCTCCGTAGGGTAAAAACTCGTCTTTTTTGTCATCTTATATCTTACACTTTGTTTCTTGATCTTTCCTAAGTTTCTATTCCTCGATTGATTTAGGTGGCCATATCCATTTCTCGACCTGTCAATGCCAATGGCTCCAGTGTGGTAAGCCTTCAAAACATTTACATTCTAGATAAGTCAGCAGTTTTATAGAGAAGAAGAATGAAAATATTTTGTTACATCAAAATGCTTCATTCGCTAGACTATTTTGCCGATCCTTAATAGTTTACGTTCATGCATCTGCAGGTATTTGTTGGTAGCACTCCTGCATTTTCCTTCTTATGGCTTCTATGCATTATTCGTCAGTATCAAACACAAACTCACTGCTTAAAGTGATTTCAAATGCAAGAGTTTTGCCTCGAAGAAGAGTCAATTCTCATTTCATTTCATTGGTTTCAACAATGAAAGAAACACAGTGCAAACAGTACTTTTTACCCATATGTACTCAAAATCTCAGAACAGAAAAGTATATAGTTACCACAATTTTCAAAACATTCTCAATCGTTTTGTCATTGAATAAATCTTTATAGCTGATCTAATTTGGTAGTGTAGAAACCTTCTAACGCGATGAATGTGATCTGTTTCAACCAGTCATCAAATGGTTAAGTCTTGTGCAAACCAAATGCTTCATCAGCCTGCAAGAGAACGGCTTGTGCTAGTCTTCCCCTGTTTGACCAGTTTAGTCAGAGCCATATCGATCTGACCAAACACTTCCTCTTTAGAACAATTTCCCTTGATCGTTACCGTTATATCTCGGTACATCGATAACACATCTCTGACATTTCGGTTATGAGTCTTTAACCGGAGTTTCACCTTCTCTTTGGTATCATCAAACCGTTGAGTGAGCCTAGCAGCGATCTCTTCTGTCTCCGGAAGAGAATACTTCAAGTGGTATATCTTCCCAGTGACAGGATCTAATCTACGCCCGATCACTCTATCGATAAGAATATCTTCAGGCACTTCAAGGAGAATGAACAAATCAGGCTCGAATCCAAATCTCTTGAGAGATGTTGCTTGTGATAAACTCCTTGGGTATCCATCTAAAAGCCATCCGTTTTGCTTCGACAAAGCTTCTTTCACCATCGTTACAAGTATTTCATCAGGAGCCAATTCTCCTTTCTCCATGAATTCTTTTGCTAGTCGTCCGTTTTCGCTTCCGGAATCGATTTCAGCTCGAAGCAAACCTCCAGCTGATATTTGAACCAAACCATATTTCTGAGTAATGAGCTCGCATTGTGTGCCTTTACCTGAAGCTGGAGCTCCTGATATTATGATTCTCAAAGGCTCAGCTTCTTCCGCCGCCGCCTCTGCCGCCAACGCCGTGATCTGAAAACTAGTGGCGGTTTGCTTCCGGCGAAGACAGAGTAGGGCGTTTCTGGTGGATGAAAAAGATGACCGTGAAACAGATTTGTTAAAACTGATGCTGCAGCAGAGTGACTTTGAAGGTGAGACACATGGCGGGCATAGAGTCATCGCCGGAGAATTCACACAGCTCGCCATTTCTATTTCCTCTCCTTTATATCTAAAAGCACTACAGAGTTAGATTTCACAGGCTAAAACTGATATGACTTTTTACTTCGAAAAGCAAAATTGGAGCTTTCTTCTGTTTTAATATCCCAAAATGTATTTTTACTTTTAAAGTGCATTTCCATAACTTAATTTCAAGCTTTCAATAGAGAATAACGGATTCGAAAAACACTACAAAACTCGGATCCAAATACGATATCAATATACATACGATCAAGCATCAATTATCGAGGATCTAAGCAAAACAGGATGAGCAAGAAACTTTGAGCTAACAGAAAATCGAACGGCTGGAAATGGATCCGACTCATAAATGTAGAGCAGAAAGATGGAAAACTATCGATTAAAGCTTACAAGTAAACTTAAACAAAGCGTTGGAGAAATATAATCTCAGCCATGAATATATTTGAGGGCAGTAACAGAGAGAAGATGTACCACTTGCAATAAGCCTGAGTATCTGCGAAGCTGAGACGTTTACCGGCGGAGAGGGAGAGCGATATTTTCCCGTTTCCTCTATTTTTATTGACAGCGACGTGTAAATAAAATTTTTTTTTTTTGATAAGGTGTAAATAAATATTTATGAACTCACCTCAGTAAAAGTAGCGTATTTATCAGATGAACCCCTAAAAGTTTTTCAAATTTTTAATAGGCCCAAATCTTTTGGCCTTCTGATGATGTGGAGCCTTTCAGGAATCTGAGAACCGCGCGGCGTTGTATAGCTTGCCTTCCACTACAACGGTAAAAAGGATCTTGACGCTACCCTGAATTTGAACTCACTCTCTCGATTTCTCTCCATTTCTCTGAGCTCGTTGCTCTTCAAGTTTCGTCTCGCACAGGTGTTTGATTCTGATTTAAAGGTGAGTTTGATTGAGATTATCCGTGCATTTCTCAATTGTATTTGCTCGATTCGTGATCGGTTTTAGTGGAGTGATTGCGAGTTTCTACTGGTCACCATCTCGTAACTTCCTCACACATTTCCTCTGAAATTTTCGCTAGCGTAATCTGTTTGCTAAGTTTGAATTTGGCGATTAGTTTTGAGATATCAATCGGTTTCCGCATCAGGATCAGAGCAGATTTTGGTTTAAATTCGTGGATGGCGATGGAAAATTAGTGTTGGTGTTTTTGATGTAATCGCTATATCACGCTGATAAAATCTGCAGATCGTCAAATTGCAATTGGTCATGGATACACACACTCTGAAATCTGTCTCTGATTTGCCTGGAAACTTCCGCTCAGCTTTTAGTTTCAGGTAATATCCCTTTACAGTTAGATTTAGTTTTGATCTTGTAGTCACTGTGTGCTAATCTATTTATTGCTCGCTTTAGATGTATTTTTGCTTACTCAAGGAATGGTTGGATGAATGTTATCTTCAGGAACATGATGATGATTTGCTTTTCTTTGGTCCTTTATCAAACACTGGTTGTGAATCTAAAACTTTCCTTTGTGTTGCTTCTGGCTCGTTTGTCTTCAGATACTTCAATTCGCTGCAAAGCGAGTGCTTTCCACTTTGCTTTCACTCCGATATCAACATGGTTATTTCAGCGCCAACGGGAAGTGGTAAAACCGTACTTTTTGAGCTATGCATTTTGAGGCTCCTCTCCAAGTCTATCTCTAACGAAGGAAGGTTTCTCCATGCTAAAGGAGCTCTTAAAACAGTAAGCTTTTGATCATGAGATTTTTTGAATGTTTTAATGCCTTCGTTTTTACAATAAATACACCAATACTGGACAATAAGTTTATTTATGGTTTCTTCAACCTCTGTTGTCAAGGTTTACATATCGCCGTCCAAGGCTTTAGTACAGGAGAAGCTGCGTGATTGGAATCAAAAATTTAATTCATGGGGAATCAGTTGTTTGGAGCTGACAGGTGATAATGAAACCTACAGCACAAAGAATATACAAGACGCAGATCTTATCTTGACCACACCTGAGGTCAGATAACAATTTATATTGCTTGGTGTATTTACTGTCTGGAACATGTTTATAGCGTCTGATTTTCCCCAAAGCTTTTAGCCAGAACACAAGCAATATAAGACATTTCATTCCGTGTTAACGCAAAGTACATAGTTTGTATCTCCTCTGGCTGTAGCTTACATTTTTTCCTACAGAAATTTGATGCAGTGAGTCGTTATCGCGTTACCAGTGGAGGCTTAGGCTTTTTCAGTGATATTGCGCTTGTGCTCATTGATGAAGTTCATCTGCTGAATGATCCGCGTGGAGCTGCTCTGGAGGCAATAGTCAGTAGGATAAAGATTCTTTCTAGCAATCATGAACTAAGTTCAAGTCCTTTAGCCTCCGTACGTCTTCTGGCTGTCTCAGCTACTATCCCAAACATTGAGGATCTAGGTAAAATACAGTTCACAGTTCTAGTCATATTTTGCAGATTTTATAACATATTGGTTTTTTTGCTTTGTTAACCTGCTTCGAGAGTAGAAATTGAAAAGACTTGCTTCAAAACAACTAAAGTGATAATACTTATTCAATTACTGCAGCGGAATGGCTCAAGGTTCCTACCGCAGGAATTAAGAGGTAAACTATGGATTGCTTTTAGAAATATGCCCTTACGTGGGGAAGTGTTTTCATTTTCTTCATTGTTTCCCTTCCCATGTTATATAGGTTTGGTGAAGAAATGAGGCCTGTTAAGTTGACGACTAAAGTTTTTGGTACCTGTCGCATCTCAAAGTCAATATTTTGGCTCTTTATTTATTTTTTGTTGTTTAAATGTTAAGATGCCCGGGTTGATGAATTTGGTTAGCTATTGATGAAATCCTGTTTTCATGAATTTTAAGAAAATGTTTCTTGTCTTTCCTGTAAAGGTTATGCTGCTGCCAAGAATGACTTCTTATTTGAAAAGGTATACAGTTTCTGCATCTTGGTTTTCAATAGCTATACCCCCTCTTGTCCTTTTCGTAAAAACGGAAACTAAACCAAGTCTTGTTTTCCTTTCTTTTCTTTCCCCATATCCAGCGCCTCCAGAACTATATTTATGGTAAGCGGCTTATCATGATTTTCTTCTGTTATTGCTGTCTTGCTTAGGTTGTAACTTACACCGTTCTGTTGAGGAAATATATAAACTTGCAGAAATTTTAATGCAATTCTCAAAAGGAAAATCTGCCTTAGTTTTCTGCTCGACACGAAAAGGCGCTCAAGAGGCTGCACAAAAGCTTGCTCAGACTGCAATGACCTATGGCTATTCAAATCCATTTATTAAAAGCAGAGAACAGCTGGAACGGTTAAGGGAGGCTTCGCCAATGTGCAGTGACAAACAAATGCAATCTTATATTCTCCAAGGCGGTATGGTCTGTTTCATCTTTTAGAGGTTTTGATCATACCTTTGATTCAGCATTGTCCTGCAAGCTGAATAGCACCGCAATGTCCCAATTAGTTGGTTATCACAATGGTGGTCTTTGCCAAAAAGACCGCAGCCTCGTGGAAGGGCTCTTCCTTAGTGGAGATATCCAAGTTCTTTGCACGACCAACACTCTTGCTCATGGAATCAACCTGCCTGCACATACAGTTGTCATAAAGTCAACTCAACATTTGTACGTCTTTGCGTAGATGGTTCCATTAAGAATTTTTTTTGGAACTTAAGTTAATATCCACTGACATAATTTTCCTTTCAGCAACAAGGAAAAAGGTCACTACATGGAATATGATCGTTCCACACTACTACAGGTGTGTTATTCAAGCATGTGTAGTTGTCTAGATGATATTGCATTCTAATTATCTGTACAAGCTACTGGAATGTGCTCTAAATGATATTGCTAGCAGGAGAAGTAATCTCTCTTTTGCAGATGTGTGGCAGGGCTGGTCGGCCTCCATTTGATGACACGGGAATGGTTATTATTATGACTAGAAGAGAGACGGTTATATACTGCAACTTTTCTCTGTGCCTGAATCTCTTACTTTATGTTAACCTTCCCTTATCTTATCTGGCTGTGATTTATTAAATGATTACAGGTCCATCTCTATGAGAATCTTTTGAATGGATGCGAGGTTGTTGAATCACAGTACGTATTGGCCGATAAACTTTTTGGAACTCTTTGCTTTTCGGCACATTCTTCAAAAGCTATTTGTTGACTTTAAAAAACATTCTTCTGTTGTTTTTATGTTTTTGTCTCAGATTACTGCCATGCTTAATAGAGCACCTAACCGCAGAAATAGTTCAACTTACTGTCTCTGACGTTTCACGGGCAATTGAGTGGATGAAATGCTCATACCTATATGTCAGAATGAAAAAGGCATGCTCTTATGCGCTCTCAATGATTCTTACGGTAAATTTTTTTTTATCATATATGGTTAAACTAACTTTTAAGTTCGTATGGACAGAATCCAGAGAATTATGCTATTAAGAAAGGAATTCCTAAAGATCGAGTTGAGAAGCATTTGCAAGGTGCTCTAGTGACGTAGTTACTGTACTCATTTTTCCCTTTTGAGGTTCTCATTTGTCCTAGATTTTATCAGAGCTTTGCCTTCAGAAGATCAATGAGCTGTCACGTTATCAGATGATTTGGACTGACACAGACGGTTTTGTTTTGAAACCAGAAGGTATTGAGATTTATGATTACTTATCTTCGATTTCGAAACAGAATTGACTCGTTATATTTTGTAGAGCCTGGAAGGCTGATGACAAAGTATTATCTAAAGTTTGACACAATGAAGTACATTATCCATGCGCCAACGGGCTATAGCTTGGACGAGGCTCTTCATATTGTATGCCGTGCGGAAGAGATATCTTGTATGTCATTTCTGCTTCGGTACATAGCTCTTTTTACTTAATGAGTAAACTAATTCTGTTTATTTGGAAAAATGAAGGGATACAGCTCCGACGCAATGAAAAGAAGACCTTAAATGATGTAAATGCAGATAAAGAAGGGCGGCTTAGATTCCACATCAACGATAGTAAAGGAAAGCGGAAAAAACGCATCCAAACCAGAGAAGAGAAACTATTTGTGCTTGCAAATGATTGGTTGACAGGGGATCCTTCAGTCCATGATTTATCCATGACTCAGGTCCACCAATATTATATTCATGGCTCCCTCTAATCACTTTATGACACTTACTTCCTACCTCATCTGAAAATTGGATCTTTTGTCTCAGGACGCTAACTCGATATGCTCCAACGGATCTAGAATAGCCAGATGCATGAAAGAGTACTTTATATACAAAAAGAATTATAAAGGAACGATTAGCTCAACTCTTCTAGCCAAATCACTTTATCAGAAGCTCTGGGACGACAGTCCATATTTGCTGAAACAATTGCCTGGCATTGGAATGGTTACAGCAAAGGTTTGATGTCTGTCTGCTCTTTATAAGATCGTTCACTGCACCTTACCTTTCAGATGCTTCAATGATTTTTTTTTTTCTTGGTAACTTTTGTCTAAATACATTCTTTTGCTAGGCGCTTCACTCGATGGGAGTCAGATCATTTGAAGCTCTTGCTGAAGCTGATCCAAGAAGGATAGAGATTGTTACCGGTCGAAAATATCCTTTTGGAAATCATATAAAGGAATCTCTATCTTCCTTACCTCCAAAAGTAGAAATCAAGGTCGAAGAAGTTGAATGTCATAAGCAAGGTGTATCTAAACTAGCAGTCACATTGACACGACTATCACAACCTCTGCAATCCACAAAACGCCATTATGCTGACATGGTTGGTTTCCTTAACTTTCTGCAGTTATATTCTAACTCTGCTGAAGATAGTGTACCTGCATCTCCACGTCTCTGCATAGTCTTGTGATCTTCTCATTAGTAAAAGATAAGTACTATATGAGCTACTAATCTGTATCCTTTTCTGGCAGATTGTTGGTTCAGAGGAAGAAAATCTTATCCACTTTCATGAGAAAATAAGGTTATGCGCGCTTGCTTTTCTTCTGATAACGAATTGGTTCATGGACTTTTTACCAACTCTCTCGTGTTTCACATAAGCCTCTTGTAAGACATTCATGTAAATGTAACTAATCAGTGATACTTTTATGGCAGCAGAATGGAGGACTTCTCCAGGTCTGTTTACCTGTCGGTCACTCTATCATCATCAACCAACCCAGTGTAACTCTTCGTCGAACATGGTTTAAGATTTGAAATAATTCTAATCTTCTTTGTTTCCTCTTTCTAGTCCCTATAGCGTAACCATACTCCTGGAAAGGCCCCAACAAGCAAAGGTGACTGTGAAGGCTGATCTCATCTTCGAAGAATACAGTTAGGTCTTCAAAATAGCATCACTGATTTGGTAGCAAAACTTGATAACCAAGTAGTGAGTAAGAAATTGAAACATGAAGTAACTTATCAAGTGTGTGTATTTCCGGGATTTTGTTTTGTAGTTGGTATTGATCTCCATGAAACGCTTCTACTGAAGAAGGCAAAAAACAGCAAAATATATTACCAAAGCGAAAACAGGCTGCCACACTATTATCCTCCGATGGTGGATGTCTACATAGTGGATGATGACAACACAGTTAAATCCGGACCTTCAAACCAGAATGATCAAAAAGATGAAATGTGAGTCCATTTTTTAGTACTTTCTTGCTCAGAATGTGTCTTATTATCAAATTTATTCCCTCTACCCATAAATACATATGTTTGTCATGAATACAACTTTCTGCTCAATTTACTTCTACAGGCCTAGTTTCAAGCTCTTAGATGAAGATTCAGAAGAAGGTTAGATGGTCACTACAAATTTAAATCCACCACAAGTTATTTTCGTGTGCTTTGTATTCCATTAACAATTTTTCAACCCAAAATTCCTTGCAGAGAAAGAGCCCTACGTGACGATGGAAGAAGACGACTGCGTCATTATCAATGAACATACAGTTTTTGACCACATACGTGAAAAAGCAAAGTGTTTTCCTTCATTGGCCACTTTGAATCAAACCTCTCCGGCATCAGGAAAATCAACTCTGAAAAGGAAGAGCTTATTGGAGAATTCTCCTGAACTCGATCCTCTATTTCAGTATAATTCTGTGCTTGGTTCACCTACAAATACTAAAAAAATCAAACAAAGCGCACAGAAAATTACAAGCCCGAGTTATGCAAGCCTTGCAGACAATAATGGTGAGTAAATCATCATTCATTCTGAAGTTTATTTTACGTTTATACACTTTTGGTTAAACTCTAACTATTATCCTCCCCATTGATCTGAAAAAGGGAAAACAGAAAGACCATTCTCTGATGAAACAGTATTCAACTACATAAGGAAAAGGTCCAAGAATTCTCCGGTACTCGTCACATCAAAAATCGAGGATCCCATAACCATCTCTTCTCAAGAAGGAAGAAACGCAGAGATAAGTCCGTATAAAGCCTACGGATTAATGGTTAGTCCTTCTGCTAAAAGACAAAGCATCACATTCGATGCTACTGCAGAAATGCTGTCCTTTGATATCTCAATGGCGAAGAGAACCAGCACCAACTTAGAGCAGAAGAAAGCATTCTGCTCGATGCTTCCAAGTAAGTCTAAAGTCTCTGATTCTTTTCTTGGATTTAAAAGCATCTTCTCGTTTCTGTGACTTTCTCATTTACACGCCAACACAAAAACTAGCTCCTAGAGAGCACATGCTAATGAAGTAATGATAGTGGTAGTAATAAAATTGGACCGAGGTGGTTTGTAAGTAAGATTACAGTAGATGGGATGCAGTTACAGAACTGCATGACGTTTTGTGTTTCAAAAGAAATTTGTATCTAAAGATTGGAAGTAAACTGGCACTTTCTACATGGATTTCTAAACCATGAAGACATGAAGTGATGCATGGATCTTATAAGTCTATGAAGACGAAGAGACAACTCAACCTTAACGAAAGTAATAGATAAATGACAAAAAAAAAATTGTATTCTGCACTGGATCAACTGTTTACGAAACAAAAAAAAAAGCATTAAAACGAGAAATATAAAACTACAGTAATAAGAAAAAATTGATGCTACGAAGAGAAACTGTCTTATAAGCACCCTGACCCTGAATATTACTCACACTGAAGTCCCTCCGCTAAAACCGCACTCCGAAGATCAGCATATGTCAGCACAAAACTCAATTGCTTTCTCTATTCCCTTTGATCTGTAAGGTGCAATGCTGTGGTTGATACCAGCTTGAGTTGGACCCAACAAATCATTCTCAATGCACTTATACATTTCTTTGCAGAGGTTATCAATCACAGGACATAAAAATTTGAGTTGATTCTTCATCATCTTTATGTCATCTTCACTATATTCATCAAAAGGCTCTTCTAAAATCTTGGAAAGTCTCTCAACATTACCTTCAAGTTGCTGCTGCTGATCTTCAAACAGATTCTTCTTCATCTCTCTATCCAAATCGCTCATCTCATCTTTGAACAGCTCTTCCCCAAACATGTAGAAGGCGAAAGGATACGAATACGAAAGAATCCGTCTTGATCTGAATAACAGGTCGACTCCATCTGTTAGCCAAGTGAGATCTTTAAACACCAACTGATCATTCTTTTCTGAAATGAACTCTGCCTTCTCAAGAATGCTCTTCCTACGTTTATCCTCTAGCTTTGATGAATCGGTATGTGCTTTGAAATGGTAATAGTAATGCGTGTACCTGTTTAAATCCCTCTTGGCTCTCTCCATTTGCCTCACTTTGTCCTCTTTGTACCTACCACAACTATGACCCGAGATACTCGTCCAGGTATGGTCTCTTCCAGTAGCTCCACCACACAACCAACAAAAATGCTGCCCACAAATACAAGTCATGAGATTGCATCCGTCACTCCTGTGGACAGGTTTGTTGCATTTGGGACACACCCTCGTGTGAACTGTGATCCAGTTAACTGTCTCAGACTCATCTTCACACTTCTTTCTCCATAGCTTCCACATCAGACAAGAGCAAGGAGAGTGAGACTCGCTCAGACAGCTGAAACAGAACTGAAGACCACAAGAACACTCGACCTCGACCTCCTCATCTTCCTCAGCTTTTCTTATCGCGTTCCCGCAATGCGGTGTGCTTGGACACCACTTGACCATCTTGTTATCTTCCACGTATGACTCAACGAGGAAACGATCAAACTTTTCAGCTAACTCCGGAGAAACTAGCTTCCTAACTACATCTTCATCGCAGATCGCGTTGCACTTGTGAGCCATGCATGTAATCCTTTTGCTCTTGCCTTCGTTGATGTTCACAGTAAAATGTTCCTTCCAACAATCGTTGCAAAAGCAATGACCACACTCCATTCTCGTCATCGCAGAACTTGGTATATCGTCTTCTATGCAGATATCACAACTCATCGTCTTCCTCTTCCTCGAACTAATCAAGGAAGGATCAAAGACAGTAAGACCAGCACTTTTGAACAAACTGTCTTTGCCTCTGTCACCATAAACTCCAATCAACTTATTCACGTTCCACTGGTAATGAATGAGAAGAGTCCTCGCTTGGTTCTCCTTAACCGAGAGTAATTCCATAACCCTAGCTAAAACTTCCTTCTGTGCCAGTACAAGAGATTCCTTCGTGATGATCTGGCTCGTTGATTTTTTGGAGGACACCTCTTCATGAGCATGATCATCATTGTAGTAATCTTCATAATTATCCTCCTCCTCTTCCTCTTCCTCCTCGAAGCTCAAATAATCGTCATCCATCGATTTAAACTTTTTATTAGAATCAGATTACCGAGAAATCGTCGGACGGAGGCGATCGAGAGCCAAAGGGAGAGAGTGTAGACGAAGAACACGAAAAGTCCTGATATGGTGGCGACTGGCGAGATCTTCTTCACATAATATTTGTAGGACTCACTCGAATAACGCAAATCTTTTGGGTGTTAGTTACTTTTATAGATATATCTTTTATTTTATTTTTTTTGGTGCGAAATAGATAAATATAAGTATGTTTTCCTATTCGAGTTGAATTAATCAAGTAAATCTCTTCTTCTCCTTATTGTATATTTTCTATACTGTACAAAAAGGAAATAATGTAGGTGAATTTTTTTTAAGGTGTTCGAATATATGCTAAATTTTCATAGCTTAATCTGTTGGGTTTCTTTTCTGAGTTCTTGAAAGATTAAGTTTTTTTTTTTTTTTTTTATGATGACTCTTTGGGCAGGAATTATGGTATATAGCCAACTTATGTTGGTTCATTGATTGAATGATTCATATTGAGATATCAAGCTTTATAGAATAAGATACTGATAAAAGTATGTATTGTATGTTTGTATGTATCTTAATTTCATAAATTTATATATCTTACCTACTTTTTAAAAATTGCCCCTTTTAAACGACTTACAACATTTGTATTTTTATTTATTTTGTATTTTTTAGATTTAATTTAGACTCTTCTAAATTTTCCTTTTTGTGTTGTTTTTTGACAATTATTTTGTTGGTTGATTAGATTGAACTTGTGACATGAAGGTAAAATGAGAGATTCAATATTTCCTTTGATCTTTTATTTTGTGATTTACGCTAGGTTTCTCTTTCGTCTAGATCTTGTTAGTTTGGTCATTCCATTTTCTATTTCGCAAGGATTGTTTAAAAGTCTTTGTTTTCTATGTTGTTTTCAATTTGTATTTTCTTTCTTGTTTTAGACTGTTGGCTCAAAAAACATTCTTCTTTATGACTTGATTTGTTTTTTTTAATCGTATGACTTGGATTTTGAATTTCATAATTTAGGAATATGTGGATAGGCAAAAACATAAATAAATAGGAATATTGGGTCGTTCTGTAAACTGGAAGAACTCTAGGGGTAGCAAATCCAAATTTCGCTTCTAGTTTCTCTCCTCCTCGTCTTGCCTTGTTTCCTTGCAATTTTATTTTGATAACAAAAAGCCCCTCCTCTCTCTCTCTCTACCCCACCCTTCTCTCTCTAAGCTAGCTCCTTCAAACCCTAACGACGAGAGCAGTCGCTATCGGCGACGTGATTCTCAGGTTTCTCCTTGTAATTCTGGAAGGACGACGGCGAAGAATCTCCGCCGCGGATTTAGTCTTCATCGACGATCGCTGCGCCACTATTGTTTTCTCCAATTTCTTCTCAATATGTCCATCCATTGTTTTTGATTTTGGTCATCTGGCCTGAATCCGAATTTTGGCTGTGAAGAAGAGCGGCAGAGTCACTGGTTATTCCGGGAGCACCTGTAAGATTTATTTCCCTTTTTCAAAGATTTTTTTTTTGTTTTTTTTTTATTTCTGAAGCTCTCTGGGTTCTTAAAAACCCTAAGTTTCTGCTGATTGCTGTTACTATTCTGGAGTTAGCTTAACTGGTTAGGGGTTTCGAGTTGTTGTGTGAATTAGGAGCTTAATCAATAGCATATGCGAAGCATGAAACCATAGTCTGTTGGATCTCGAGAGAGATAATTGTTGGTTTATAATCACTAAGGGGAAGATGAGACTTAGGTAGTTGTTGTACGGCATTGATTGCACATTACATCGTTAGGGTATCGTTTGGTCTATTATTCTTTGTTGTACAGTAATCTGATGGACACTACATTGTATCAGAGTCTTGTATGAGCGACAAGAAGCTCTGCATTATCCAAGTGGATCGATGGAAATTTCCGTTTCCTCTCCAAAGCAAAGTGTGTTATCTCCACCCGATTGTATGAGTGACCCTGAGGAGCATGAGATCAGCGAAGAGGAGGATGACGATCGCAACCATAAGCACCGTAGGAAAGAAGAGACGAGGTCTCAGTCCTTGGAACAAGATTCTTCAGACCAGACATTCTCACGGCCGTACAGGAAAAATTATAGACATTTTGAAAATGGCAATACGTTTAGTGAACATGAAAAGCGGTCTCAAGGGGCAGCGTCAGGACAACGTGTGCAGTTTGATAATCAAAGAACAAGATCTAACCCAATGTTTTCAAGGGACACTGGTCCTGGTAGAGGTAGAGGAAGTTATGGCTCTTGGAACCAGCGTGATTCCAGGTTTAATCCTGTTGATCTCTCATCTCATATGGTTCCGGGCATGTTTGGAGGAAGGGGACTAGCTGGTGTTTCAGCTGCTCAAAGTGCACGATGGCCTGCTTTTGGAATGCTTCCTGGAGTTCCAAATGGTGGCTTGGATGGTTTCCATCACTTAACTGGATCCCTAAGACCACCATTAAATGCTTCACTTAACATGGGTATTCCTCGGCAGCGATGCAGAGACTTTGAGGAACGTGGTTTCTGCCTCAGAGGGGACATGTGTCCGATGGAGCATGGAATCAATCGTATTGTTGTCGACGATGTTCAGGTATGTTTTCATGAATTATTTGTTTTGGATCGGATTTTAATTGAAAGACACAATAGATCCTTGAGGCTTTGCTGGAAATTTGATAACTGTTTGCATGATCCTATCTATACTGATTTTCTTGATTAAGTTGCTAGTATTGTGACCATTTTATGCCCTTCAGCAGTACTTCTGGGTGACATAAAATTAAACTCTTTAATGTTTTCAGTGTTAGCTCTACGTGGCATGGCTCTACTTTATTCTGAATTTTAGATGCATATTATCTTGATTCTCAAATAGCAAATACTTTGTATTGCATGATAAATTTCGTATGACTACTATTTTGTTACACTGTTCTTCTCTTGTGTATACTTAAGTGATTAAATTTCCTTCATTTTCCATTTGTGCAGAGTCTATCACAGTTCAACCTTCCCGTTTCAGCCCCTGGTGCACCTCATCTGGCAGCTTCTTCTAAACCAGTGCCTGCACAGTTTGGGTGTGCTAATTTCATGAATACTAAAGGAGCTCATGGGAAGATTAACGAGGGTGGAATGGCTGTTGATGGCTTGGGTTATGGTGATGCATATCCTAGTGTAGGTGGAACTGATTTTTACGATCCTGATCAACCTTTGTGGAATAACAGTGCTGGTGAAACATCTGGGGCATTATCTGCACTAAATCCTCATGGGATTGATGAGAATGTAGCTCTGGATGACAATAACCAAGATGGTCCTGAAAATGCGTGTGGTATTCGAGACTCCAAAAGCACAAGTCAATCGGTTTGGGGCAGAATGCGTGGTTCTAATAGTCAAGCAAATTTTAAAGAGAAAGCTAATGCAGTATTAAATTCATCAGCTGGTCTTGATGATCAATTGAAGGAAGTCTCAGTAAATTCATCCCGCCACGGTAAACAAAACCATGTTGGTGAAAGTGTCTCAAATGATGCGATGAACAATACAAGAAAACCAGCGCAAAAGGCAATGCGGACTCTATTTGTGAATAATGTTCCCCACGAGAGCAACAGAAGGGACCTCATTCTTGCCCATTTCCAGAAATTTGGGAAAGTTATTGACATTCACATCCCAATAAATAGTGAGCGAGCATTTGTTCAGTTCTCGAAACGCGAAGAGGCTGAATCTGCTCTCAGGGCACCTGATGCTGTGATGGGTAACCGCTTTATCAAACTTTGGTGGGCAAATAGAGATAGTATACCTGATAATGGGCTGTCCACTGGCAATGGTGCTCCGATGAAAGGTCGTGGTATGACTGCTTCTGGAGGGCAGAACCAGCTTCCTATTGCTTCAGCATCAAAAAGCAACCATGCATCTTCCATTGCAAAAGGCCCCGCCTTTCACACCGGTGGAGCTCCATCATCCTCTGAACAGCCTAAGTCTGTGGGGGTCACTAGTGGTCCCAAGGTTACTCCGCTTCAGCAGAAAAAAGCAGAAACTCTTGAGCAGTTGAAGGAGGAACTTCGAAAAAAGCAGGAAATACTGGAGCAGAAGCGTAATGAGTTTCGCAAAAAGTTGGCGACGTATCAAAAACAAGTAAGAACAAGTTACTAAATCCCTTCAACCCCGTCAATACCTTTTTGAGGGAAATTACAGTTTAAGCAGTCACTAGAAAATTAAGCAGAAGTAGAAGTATGAGATTCATATCATATTGCTCTAAATCTTATTTACTCGGACAATATTCATATCATTTTGCTCTAAATCTTCTCAGGGTACGGTTGTCAAGTGTGAGGAAGCAGATGAGCCAGATGCTAAGCGCGTTAAAGTAGACACAGCCTCTAGTTCTGGTGCCGCAATCTCATCACCAAAAACAGAGTCATCAACAGATAAGAAAGTGCCTATCCAGAAACCACTGTCTACTGCTAAACTAAGCACAGAAACGCAATCACCCGATTCAAAAATCTTGAAGCAAAGACCTTATTCATTTACCACAAGTTTGAACACTCTTATGGTAAATAGGTATAAGTTAGACAACCGCACCACTACCATCAAAGTGGTTCCTCCTCTGCCAACCGGGTTAGCCGATGTACGATCCCTTTCTTTGCTCTACTTTATGAATGTGCAAAACTTTCCCATTTTTCAAATTAGATACTATTGAACTCTACCGGTATTATTAGGTCACTTACTGATGGTTTGAACTACTTTCTACTTCTAGGTTGCTGTCTTAAAGGAACATTTTTCTTCTTATGGCGAAGTCTCAAAAGTGGAACTTGAAGGCAGTGCATCAATTGATAGTGGCAAGAATCAAGATGAAACATATAACGAAAACTGTGGAGCTTGTGTCACATTTGTGAAACGCAGCGCAGCCGAGAAAGCGTTTGCTAATGCAAAGTGCTGGCAAGAACACATGTTGCAGCTCGTGTGGGTAACACGTCAAAGCAACCAAAAGAATAATAGTAGCAATACTAATAATAATCTCTCAGCTTCTCGTGACCACCTTAGCAGCAAAAACAAGCCCACTTCTTCTGTTTCTAATGACCCTAAACCAGCAGATGAAGTCAAAGCCTCCTCCTCTACGGAAGAACCAGAGAACACAAACGTCTCTGGAGAAGAAAATTCTGTGGATGAACGAG